ATTCAACGTTTCATCTGGCAATTTGGCCCAAGCTTGGATCAAATACATTCTTTCTCTTTATTGTTAATGTTTGTTTGTACTGAATTAGAAAACACAATGGAAGATGAGTTTGTAAGTATTATTATCAAGGTTTGACTTTATAATTTCGAATAAATTAAGCATTGGGTAGATTGTTATTATTCAATGAGTAGAAAACTCAAATTTTTTGATGTTTTGTGACTCAGTATAAGTCACTTCTTCGGAGAATAGTATGTGCATCCATGAACTCGCCTCATCAAGTTCGAACCCAAATTGTATGATCAGATTGTTCGAAATGTATTGCGGAAATATATCACATAATTCTGATAAACTTCATCTTCTTATTGCATTATCGAAATTCATTTATTTCAGTTAGTGGATACTTTCTTCAACTCTGAACACTGAACTCTACCAATCACAAATGTATAGCAAAACTTTCGAAATTTATTTTAGAGGTACTTAATAATCAACAAAGAATTGTAGTTTGGCTTTAAACTTCGATTTCTAGGTGACTATTTTTATCCTTAGGTTATGATGGGAAGAGAAATCAATTTTCTATTGATTTACTCATTATGAGTTTTATTCAACATTAAATCCATTCTAATTCAATGTAATGATTACTCAATGTTCACAGATTGAAATCATGAGTCAGTTGAAGCCAGAACACCATTGAAAACCTGGAAGCACTGGACGGCCGTTTCGTCCTAGCATGGGGCTCCTCAGCAGTGCGCATCCACGACCCCGTACCACCCGGGGCTCGAACCCAGGACCTACTGGCTTCGCGCGCGAGCACTTAACCATTAGACCACTGAGCCGGCATCCAACGGTGTTAATGTCTAACTTCAACCAATCCACTCAATGTATTATTTGTTTTCTTTTATCGTATGATATTTTATTCTGTATAATATACGATATTCTTATATTCCGTTGAAATGAACTATGTTCAGTATGTGAATTGTTATAACTCTAAGTATTTTTCATGTATGTGATTTAATCCTAATTATTAATCAAAAATGGGTTTAAAATCAATATATAAACCAGTGTATTTCAAACTATTTTGATCATCGTCGTCGTCGTGTTTTGGGGCTAATAAATCTTCACTTATACCAGTCTTTGTGTTCTTACTTTCGCGTCGTAGGAATTGCAGAGGTTTCTCGTTCCGAGTATAAGTGATCGGCGATTTTCCGGCACAACAATTGCGACGACCCGAATACAACACCTTAGCCATGTAATGAATGAGTGCTGCTAAAATCACTGATTCTTGGACGAGAAAGCTGTCCACTGTTTCTTGATTTTCAATGACACATCACATAATTTTAATCCATGCATGAGTTTATAGAATCATAAGCTGAGCGTCCGATGGTACATTCTTTCAACTTAAATACTGATCATTAACTTAATTGTATTGTTTTGTAGAAAAATAAAACTCTCTTAATTAAAAAAGAAACAACATCACATAGCACAACAGCTAACTTAAAAAAATCACTACAACCTAATACAATCGTTGCAATTTATATTCAGACTTTTAAGTTACTCATCATCATTTTTTTTGGATCCAAGACAAGTACATTTCAATAGTCTTTCATTTTGAATTGAATAAATAAATCCCTAAATTAATCATTATGAACTGACTTGAAATTCTCTCATTACTTCAATCCATCTTACGGAAAAAGCTTTATATCCTATATAATAACAATGATATTAGTAAACTAATTATCCATATACATTACAATATGATAGATACTATTGATTGACATAATTCATAGGAGGTCATTTATACATTGATTAGAATCATATTAATTTACGTAAATTATTTAATATTCATATTTCCTTCAATATTCTATTCATTAAAGTATACTAGTTGTCTATTAGAAATCAATCAATTTATATTATGTAAATATTTCTCTTATGTAACAATGAAATATTATTCTCATTTAACAATCAGTTGGTTTACTACTGTGAACTTGTTTTACAAATTTTTGTGTATTTTATTAAAAAAAATTACTTTTGACAAAACTGTAAAATGTTCATAGTAAATAAAACATGAGACAACTTAGAAACTATCAGTTTAGGGGTTGTGGAGATTATTAAGTTTTTGATTCAGATCATGAACTGATTGATGTTAGACTACCATTGAAAACCTGGAAGCACTGAACGGCCGTTTCGTCTTATTGTGGGATTCCTCAACAGTGCGCATCCCGTGAGACGGATCACTGCTTTCAGGTTTCCAATTTGTCCTTACCCTTAACCTACCCGGGTAATACTGATTTATTATCTAAAGTGGTTATCGCATTGGTTCTGTGTACTTTATTATTATTTTTTTTCTTTTTGAAGGCTTACCTTTACAACCTATCTGGTTGACCATTTAATTTTCATATAAAAATGTCTTAACAAGTATATGTGTGATCAGATTGTTCGAAATGTATTGCGCAAATATACCACATAATTCTGATAAACTTCATCTTATTGCATTATCGAAATTTATCAAAGGGACTAATTTTTTTAAATGAATGAATTTCACAACATGTAACTAACAAACTGTAGTTGGAAATATGGACCACTTATTTGCGACTTATTAGTCTAAAGGTTATACACCTACTATGAGATTCAAATTTCCTAAGTCCGACCTTTGTAGTGGTCATGGATGCATGTTACCAAGGAGTCCCATGCTAAGACTGGAAATCTGTGCAATGCATCATTGTTTTATAGGTTGTCTAACTGTAGACAGTCCATGATGTTAAGACCACAAAACACATGATCCAGTGTCGGAAAAAATTATCGAATAAAAGAAATGAAAAGTATGTGATAATTCTAAACTTAACCATTTAAGTAAAATTCAAGAATAAGTACATCCTTGCTTGTGTGATTGACTTAAGGCCAATTCAACTCAGATAAATTACGATTATTAAATGAACTTCATTTAGGAGATATTCTCCTCACTCAATTACAATGAGTTAATACTGTACCATAATCTAATGGTATCACGCTTGTGTACTTGTCATAAAATTATATATTTCAAACATAATCTTAATAAGATGTTATCAATAATAATTATCACGACATTTTAGTAATCTAAATTTACTGAAATTCTATCAGATTTTAATGCCTTTTTGTTTATTCATTCTTTTGATTGCTTATTTACTTACACCTGTTACTCCCAGTGGAGCACAGCCCGCTGACCACCATGCTCCAATCCACTCTGTCCTCAGCCTTCCTTTCTAGTTTTATACAATTCATGTTCATTCTTCTCATGCCTGTCTACATTTTTAGGAGTAATGTGTTCTTCGGTCTTCCTCCTCTCCTCATTTGACTTTGAGGATTCCAGTTGAGGGCTTGCCTTGTGATGCAGTCGGGTGCTTACCTCAATATGTGTCCTATCCACTTCCAGCACTTCTTCCTGTTTTCTTCCTCCGCTGGAATCTGCTCTGTGCTCTCTCATAGTAAGTTGTTGCTGATAGTGCTGGTCAACGGATCTGAGGTATTTTACGCAGACAACTGTTAATAAGCATTTGTATCTTTTAAACGATTGCTCTCGTAGTTCCCTAAAATTCCGCACCGTACAGTAGAACTGTCTTATCATTTGTATTGGAAATTCTAACTCTGTTGTTGGCAGTTGACAGCTGTTTTGAGTTGCAGATGTTTTTCAGTTGTAGATATGCTCCTCTTGTTTTCGCAATCTGCGCCTTCACATCTGCATCAGATCCACCGTGTTCATCAATAACGCTGACCAGATATGTGAAGGTTTTCACATCCTACAAAGCTTTTCTATCAAGTGTGATTTGATTGTTGCCTGTTGTGTTGTATGGGAGAATTTTGCTTTTCCTCTAGTTCATGTTGAGACCTACTGCAACTGAGGCTGCTGCTACACTGGTCGCCTTCTTCTGCATTTATTGTTGCGTGTGCGATAGGCGAGCCAGATCATCTACGAATTCTAGATCGTCCAGATTCACTCTAGCTTTCCACTGTATCCCATGCTTTCACTCAAATGTTGACGTCTTTGTAATTCAGCCGATCCACGGGAGAAGGAGAAAGGGTGAGAGTAAGCAACCTTGTCTGACACCGGTTTTTACTTCGAACGTATTCATTCGTTTACCAGTTATTACTGTTCTTCATTACATCGAAATTTCAAGATATTTATTTTGGTTAATGAAATTCTTAGGATAGTGGCTAGCTAAGGGAAGATAATAAATGATAGTAATAATGATAATAATCCATTGTTTATTAAATCAAACAACACTGTAAGTAGAATACTTTATTTTAAATTTTAATGACTATTATTATTATTATTATTATTATTATTATTATTATTATTATTATTATGTAACCCAGTAGAGAAAGTTTTGGTATTTATAGTAGGTTTCAAATTTCAGTGAGCAAGTAAAATAAAAAAAAAATCCAGGGGCATTCACTTAATAAATTGTTCAATTTACATTTTATTGTTTCCCCTATTGGTATGTGGTACTATAAGTAAAATATGATTGATCATTGAGCGTGAATAAATAGACATTCAATTTAATAAGTATTAAATATGTGATTTCTTTTCATCATTATTGATTTCTAGTTTCGAACTCACTGAAAGTAATTACTTGTAATTGTGTTGAATAAATCATTATCTAGTCTATATTCTGGTTCTTTATTCTGGATCGTGAAATCGTGGATCTGATATAACGTAACTAGTCTAATTGTCGTATTCACGAATTATCATAGTAAACATGAGAGAGAGAGAGAGAGAGGAAATATTCTAAACCATCCATTATATCAACTATTAAACACATTTGTAAATAATTCTAACAGTAGAGTTAACTTACTTAATACAAAATGTGTTTTTTATTAGAAAATGTGTATAGAGGAACTTTGTATTCAACATACTTTATGCTTACATTAACTTTATCTTTACATATAAATCAATCGTTTCTTCTTTGTTGTATCATGTTCGAACAAGTAGTTGCATATCTTTATCTTCTGCTTATTATTATTTTTAGGATGATGCATACGGTCAAGATTTGTATATGTTAAATAGATGTTTAGATGATATTGAATGGTTTGAAAAGAATTTTAGAAAAAGTTTTAGATCTTCACCAGACGAACTTGACAATAAACATAGTAAGTTTTATAACAATAAAATTATTGATGAAATAGTATCTTTTCTTTTTAACAACAACAACATTTTCATGTTAAATAGGCCAGTGTATAATAATTTCAATAAACATTTATAATAGTTATCTTCATTGTAGAAACTACTTTAGATGAATCTATGTAAACACTTTATTGAATTGTATTTTGTGAGCAGTTTCATTGTCAAAGCTTATTTTGTAACCTTGTTATACTATTCGACCAAAAGACAATCTATGAAGATTGATAAGTAATCAAGGTTTAATGTCTAACCTATGTTCTATGTTCATTCAAAAGCCTTGACCAGTGGAACCAATCCATATCAGGTAGAGACAGGTATCTATCTCAGCGCAATAAAAGATGATTGCGCAATTTCATTGATTAGTTGAAGTTAGACATTAACACTATTGGATACTGGCCCAGTAGCCTAGATGTTAAACGTTTGCGCCCGATAACAAAGGTCCTAGATTCGAATCACGTGCACTGCTTAGTTTTCTCTATTCGACATTGATTGTCGGAGCCAAAATTGTTTTTTTTTAAAAAGGAAAAACGAAAAAGAAAATACATTTAAACAAACATTGTATTAATCCAATGATCGCTTACATTTAGTCATGAAACGTCAAAAAATCTAATTTTTCTACTCAACGGATTAAAGATAGTTAGAATCATTGATTGAAAGGTTTGAAAGAAGATAGATAACACCACTCCGGTTCTAAATTTTCTATTGTTAGCCAATTATTGCTGAAAGAAAAAAGAAACTATAATCCATAAGTACCTTATACTAATAACAATGATGTATTCTCCAAGTGACTAATTTCTAGAGGTAATTCTTGGAGTTCTTGTCAGAAGTCGTTATTAGTTGAGCTCAGTCATGTGAGAAGTGCAGTAGTTAGTAACCAAAACCACTGAAAGATGGTTGCACAATCCTAGGTGTTGAGTGAAGTTAGATATATGAATCAGTGAATTTCAGTGCAATGATATAATGATTTACTACTCACCCCAAGACCTGAAGGTCCTGAGTTCGATACGCAGTGGGGTCATGAATGAATCATACTGAGGAGTTTTAAAATAGCTGCCCAGTATTTCATGGTTTCGCCAGTTGTTTAACTAGGATTAGTCCGTGATGTAAACTATATAAAATTCTCATCATTATCACTGAGAAAACAGTCAATTTATCGTTGAGGTTAAATATTTACACACTGAGAGGTTTGTTATTTACCAAGCTTCTAAGAAGCTTAAAGATACAGAGCACGGATTTCTAAACTAGTGGTTCCCTGTGAAGCTATTTAATAAGAAATTCAAATCATTCATAATTAATGCAGGGAGATTTCAAGAATATTTCGTGCTACGTGGAGTTTTGTACTTCTGTAAAAAGAATGCTCTGAACTTTTAATTAAATTTTAGAGATAGTGACAGCGAACTTCAAATTTGACTTACCTATACTAAACAAATAACAGTAGACTGCATTGCACTTCAATAGATTATTTATAATACATCCGCTAACAACAATGTCCGTAAATACATCAAGGAGTGTTATAGTTGTTTATTTCAAGAGAAATTTCAATAATGTTTATCTTATAAATTAAAAGAAACAAACAAATAGGGCTATACAGCAGTTGTACTACTCAAAACTCTATATTATGTATACATACATCTAAAACATCTAGCACCTATACAATCGCTTTTATTACATATAAAAGTAACAATATACGAGTGACTCAACTAATTAGGTTTTTCTAGGTAATTCATCTTTTAGCATCGGTGTCACCATTGAGCGCGTAGAAAACATTAATCGCAGTTCTCCGGTGTTAAAAGATTTTTGTATTGTCCTACGTAATCTTTGAGTTAATATTTCTTTAGCCACATACCCTCTGAATTGTAGACATATGAACAGGGATTTCTTCTTCACCATTTGCATTCCACTTATTTTCACCTTCATGTTCATACATTTAATTATAAACTTTCTAGGATAACCGTTCTCTTTGAGAGTATTATGCAAGGCGTTAAGTTCATATTCAGCTATGTCAGCAAAACATATAGTGCCCATTCGGTAACTAAGGGTTTTGATCAAGTTTTGTTTGTATTGTAGAGGTACGAAGCTAAGGAAATGAGTATACTGCCCAGTCCATATACTTTTCTGTTTAAGTCCCTTTTTAACTATCCATCCGCTCTCTTAGTTAAGAGAACGTCCAAAACGTCTATTCGACCATCATTCTCTTCTTCAGATGTAAACTGAATGCCTAAGAACCTCTTGCTATGACATATTATCTTTACAGAGGATGAACGTGTTATCCATATATCTACAGTAAAATGTGAAGTTTTTGATAATCTTTCTTAATGGACCATCTTCTACTGTGGCTAGAAAAATATCAGCTAGCAAAGGACCCAGTGGTGAACCCATTACAACAGCATCTGTTTGTCTATATATTTCACCTTTGAACTTGAAATTCACATTCATGGTGCATTTGAGTAATAACTCTTTCACAACATTAATTGGAACAGTAGTTTCAATTTCATTTTCAATCAGCTGTTTACTTATGTGTTCCACGGTTTTTATGAGTGGGACGTTTGTGAGTAACGACATTACATCCAATGACATCATCTTTAATCCCACCGTATTTGGATTTTTGATTTTGCCAACAAATTGGAATACATACTTAACACTATGTTTCACAAACTTTTCATACAGAGGTTTCAATACAGCTAACAACCATTCAGCTATGGTATGGTAAGTAGAGTCATACATATCTAGAATACTTCTTGATGGGATCCTCGGTTTGTGTACCTTTGGCGATCCATATAATCTCTGCTCCTGTGAAGCGAGTTATATTGATCAAAGTTCTAGGAATTTACGTTTTCGTGCTCGTGAACACCTCCTAGCGTGGCTAAACAAAGGTTTAATTAAGTTTTATTGGAAAGACTTTATACTCTGTCGCATTTAAATTCATGCTGTTTCATCTTAAGCTAATTAAAAATTATGAACTTAGTTTTGTGAAATTTTCTATTAACTTTCTTTCTTCATTAAATAATTCAGCATTTTTTTATTGAGATCATGAAGCGAATGATGTTAGACTACCATTGGAAACCTGGAGGCACTGAACGGCGGTTTCGTCCTATTGTAGAGCCCCTCAGCCCTGTACATCCACGATCCCAGAGGTCTAGAAGTTAAGCCTTTGCTCACGAGACCAAAGGCCATGAGTTTGAATCCCCTGAGCGGGATTGTGGACACGCACTGCTGATGAGTCCATAAATAGGACGAAACGCCTATCTAGTGCTTCCAGGTTTTACATGGTGGTCTAACATCAATCGGTTGATTTTCTCAAACAAAAACTTATCAATCTTCACAACCCCATACTGATAATTCATCATTCTTTTTTTTATAGCTATAAATGTAAAACAAAATAATGATGAACCGCCAGATTCTACTGTAGCAGTCGATTCTTTACAAAAAGTTAAATATGCATTAAATATTATTGAAAAAATTCGTAAATCAGTACCATATATATCAAAAGAAATTTTTGTTTATTTAATAAGAATTGTTCGTAAAGTTCATACAGTTGCAAAATCAAAACAAATTACTAATTACAATCCTAATATTGTAGTTGATGTAATTGAACCATTATTGAATGAAAATACTATTACGTCAATATTTAAATTATTATCAGTTAAAACTAAAGAATTATGGTTAGATCTTGGACCTGCATGGAATACACCAAGGTAGGTAATTTACAAATATACTACTTTTATAATTGTGATCAATTCTCTTATGAAATGATTAAACTAAACAATTACCTAGTGATATTTGACTTTCAATGTTTATTTAATTGATATGTTAAAGTAATCCTTACATATCATTGAAATTAACGTTAATCGTGTATATCGGTTATAGTGAGCTATCTGGTATCTCTAGTATCTTGAAGAAACAAATAGCGTATGAACCAATTATTGGTCATCGGCTACCATAGGACTCCATCTTCTGACGTTGCTCCACTCTCTTGTGGGGCAAACCTTAAGGTCAAATACTCCGACTTTGGCCTCTAAGAAAACCACCTGCTTCTGTTTGAGCATCCGGGCAGTATCATAAACCACACAGAAATCATATGATTTATGTGGTGCACATAAATTCGGTGCCCCTTCGTACCAATATTTATATGCTAAAATAAATAACTAATAAAAATAACTCAAATATTATCCTTTCTTTTAGTCCAATGATTTGTAGCATTTCATTTACTGAAACATATTCAGTAATACATTCTCTGTATGATTTAATGAACAAATATATGTGAATCCATGGAAATAGAGTATACTTACTTTTTTAATAATACAATACAGATTTTATGATAGATTATTATCATTTAGAGAATCATTGGAAATCGGAGAGTATTGTATTGATTGGGAAGACAAGAGGAGACAATCGAATATACTTGAACACAAAATTACAGTATATCTTAGTAAAATCTGAGAACGACAGAGTAAATATTTCATTTGCAAAATGCCAATCAATCGTCTGAGCATTGATTGTTCCTTCACTTTTACATCAATCATTGTCTGTTCTCGTTGTGTTTTCTTTGTTATTGATAAATATCTGCCTCCAGACATCTGACTTTCGATTGATGATATATACTACTTATATCTTTCGACATCAGTAGCACACACTACAGTATGTCTGTGCAGCAAACGGAATTTAAGCCGCACGACATCTCCACAAAATTATTCTAAGTAAATAATAATCACAGATTTTTAAGGTTCAAATTGGAAGATCCGGCGTATAGAACGTTCAGTTAAATATCAAGTAAGGAAGTAGATAACAAATGTTTTACAGAAAATCAACAGTTTGAAAATATGAACAGATGATTTTAAGCTGTGTGATTCAATGACCCCATTATAACCTCTGAAAGTCCTGTATTCAAATTTTTGTGAGGTTGTGTGTTATTAGGCAGTCTCAATAAAGAATGAGAAAGATATCCAATACCCCTTGATTTTTCGGTGGCTATCTAGCTGTTATTAATTCAGATATTTTCAAATGTATTAAAGTATTTGAGAAATATTTCTGAATCTATGATCAGTTACTGGATTATAATATTTTTATGATCGCGAAATTTTTGCCAACATAATTCTCTATTTGATCATCAATAAATTATGGACAGAATATGGTTTGTTTTCAAATGATATTAAATTTCACTTCTGAAATCCCCTGATAATATTTCGTATGAATAGAGACACAGTAATTAATTTATGTGGTTTAATTATGAATTTTACACTGTCATCCTGAATTACAACATCAGAAGCGATCTCAAATTCTCATGGAGCTAATAACCTTAAGTCAATACATCGGTTGAATTTGGTTCATATATATTATTAAATTATGTCACTTCTATTTCATGCGTTATGTATATTAAAAATGATATCAGGAATAGTCGCGAATAGCTTTTCCTTACTTAATCATTTTCAGTGGACAATCTAGACAGTGATTTTTATAGTGAACTGACTTCATTTGTGGAACTAATGTAAACCAAATGGTAAAAAATATCTGTTTTGTCTTTGTTCAAGAATTATCAAAAAGTTTTTCCAATGATCACTACATAAAACTGTTATAAAGTTCTTCAGGTATTATGCTGGACAAAATACGTTCATACTACTACGTTAGAAACCAACTGTCTACATCTTTGACTACAGTCAATGTATAATACGGCTTTGTTTTCATCTGATTTCATTGATAAATTATTGTCTTATTGTCAATTAGATCAATTCTAAAGTACACCATAGTTTTCAATAATTGTTTAGTGAAAATTACTTTAACACTTTACAAAATCTCTATGACAAATGATATTACTTGATTAAGTTATAAAATGGTAATAATAAAAGTACATTCTCAGAAAGGGTTTTGTGGAGAGTTTTAGAAATTTCACAGGTTGAAATCATGAGTCAGTTGAAACTAGACCATAATTGAAAACCTGGAAGCACTGGACGGTCGTTTCGTCCTGGTATGGGTCTCCTCCCATACCTAATGGTGGTCTAGCTTCAACTGACTCATGATTTCAACCTGTGAAAAGTACATTCGCCATTCCTACATATTTTTTACCATAAATAGTAAAATCTATTACAACAAAATCAATCAATTTATCTATTCACAATTTCTTCCAAGAATTTTATTATTATAACTTTCATTCACTTATTTTTTGCTTCTTTGTTTAAGCTCAAAGTGGCCCAATCCATTGAACATTTATATGCCAATATTTTATCATCCATTGAAAAAAAGATCTAGACATAGATCAAATGAAGCGATTAGTCGAAATCCAGTAGTAGGTATCTGTTGATTATACTATTTTTTGTTTTGTTTTACTATGTTAATATAAATTAGAACAAATGATACCTTATATGAATACAAATATATAAATTTGTCTAATTTTAATAGGTTAGTAATAATTCAGATAACTTTGATTCAAGAAAAATGATACAAATGTTTAGTAATAAGTACCTTCTTACTTAATCAGACTGATTATTGCTTAATCATCAACAACCATCTAATAAAACTTGTACCATGTGACTTGTTGGAATGAAATGGTGATAATACCCTGTATTTGAACTGGATAAATAAAGAGTTTTGCGTTGTCAAGGGTTCTAGTGATCATAGGTTCTACGGAGTGCGTGGCTGTAAATGCGTTTTGTTATGAAGTTATAAAGTAGAATCATAAAACGATCTAGTATTCATGATTCCACCAGATAATTGACACTTATACTGATAAGTAGGCAGGTAAATGTTTATTTTGTTTCATATATTTTCCTCATTATCTTAATCTATAAAAAGCATTTCTAACTATTTAATATAATTTAAATTAAATGACTTGGTGCTTAGATTTATCTAATATTTCACTTAATAGTGAAAACTATTTCTAATCAATTAAAAAAGACTAAATTTTATGTGTAACCATAGAACCAAACTTTTTGTTAGTCATTCGAAGATACTGTATAGTGATCATTCAGTCATACTCACTATGTTGGTGAACTCTCGAATTAACAACTTCTTAAGAAGCCTTTTGAAATTCATCATGAAGCTAGTCACTGAAAATGAAACTTTGATTATTTATGTTAGCTTAGCTGAAGATAGACTAAAGTTGGAAATATGTAGCGTCAAATGTGTTGAGGACGTTAGATCCCTAGAACTCACTTGGAAAAGGTTTTTATTCTGTAATTTTCTTCTGAAAAGTTGAATTTTATGTTTTCGCGCCAAGAGACGCTTAGTTGACCTACAGCTTACATTTCTCACTCGGAAATCCTTGACTGTCATCGGTTGACGAATTTTTTAGTACGCTATTTTTTGGCGTTTTTATCATTGTATTAATAAGCTTGATTTGTGTGCTCAGTGAACTCATATTTTTTGGGTGCTTGTAGAATATATTCTCTACGCCTCATTAAGACTTCTTGATCTAGTTATCAGGGCCTGGGACAACGGATTAGAATAGCCTATCGTATCACTGTATCGTTGACCTTCGTTCCGTTTACCAACTAAGGTGAACTCGTAATAGCATTCAAGCATATCAAAATATAAGGTCAATGTTCATAAGTTATTGAATTTACATTAAGACATGAAGTTTTTGATTCCAGTATTTGTGGAATCGTTGGTGAGCACTTCTGAATAGTTGTGAACTAATATGAAATATCTATCTATTACTTCCTAGTTGATCGACGGTTTTACAAATAGGGTCAGTTCATAATATATTCTATTTTTTAATATAGTTAATTATCAAAGACTATCGGAAAAAACTGTAAATATACTTTCATTTGATTGATTTAGGCTTCTGTATATTGTCCAAATATAAATAAACCATATTAAATATTAAATAAATGAAGGGTTTAAAAAGCTGTTTATAAAATACTGAACTAATATATATTACACCATTCAATCATTCAGTACATATCTAATTCATTATCACAATATGTTTATATGCAATACATATTATGTGAACTTATAACAAATTTCATATTTAATTGTCTAGATTTTAGGTTGAGTATAATTGTAGATCATTAAATCACACTACATCGTGTTATTCTTCAATGCATTCATATACAATTATAATTGAAGTCCAATTGAGAATACTAATGATCATATTTATCATTTCGGTTAACTAAAAAAGACTCATATTTCTATGTATATTCGCTTATATACTTTTCTAAAACACATCTTAGTTACAGAAATCAAATAGGAGTGTATAAACAATAGGAATTCACTTATAATAACTAGATTAAAGTAGTACTTAATAAATTGTGAATTGAAACTTTCATTATCTTATAGTTCATTATAAATCTGTATTAATTATCAGTTTATGAAAGTAGCTAAAATCACTGACATACAGTAAGAAAAAAAAATGCGAAACTTGTAAAACAATTAGGTAACATGAATGATCCTTTTCAATTCCCAAGTTTAATTTAAGTTATTCTTTTTATTTCTTCGCTTTTTAATCATAACTATCATAAAGAGAGATAGTGACAAAGAGTGAACGGATAGAAAAATCGATTCTTCTAACATTTCAAGATCTTGCATAGATCAATCAATCTATAGTAGATAAATAACTTTTCCAAGTTAAAACAAGTTTTATCATTATAAAAGTTGGTTAAATTAAATTAAATATCCAAACATGTCTAGACATGTAATTATTGTTTACTTAAAATTGATGAATACCTTTTGTATGCATGTTACTGTGAGTAAATATATGAATTACAGTGTAATAAGACAATACAATTTTCATATATGTTTACAACATGATTATCAATAGGGGACATAAGACATCTTTGATTGATTAGTTATGATTTTTTGGCACCGGTGAGATTTCTCTATAAAAGTACTTATTTTTAAATATTTTCAAAACTTGTAGAATTTGGAACCACTGTTACAAGAGTACTAAGAATTTATTATGTATAGCCTAAATGTATTTTAAGATATCATTTGCTCTTCATATATAAAATTACATTATAATTAACATAACAATCTAATGTGTTATATTGAAATGAAAAGAATTTTTTCTTTCATTCTAATTAAAGCCTTCTAAAGTGTAATCGATGTCACTGTAGATGACGTTAATTCTGTGTTGTTTAAGAATTCGTCGTAATTCTATTGTAATGGTTTAATGATGAAGTAAAATAACACCGACTATCCATGAGTGTTCTTTCAGGGTTTGTTTTTTCAGTTGAAGATATATTTTTGTATTTCAAAACGTTTTGAATAATATTTATTCAAAGATCAATAAATACCAAGATACTTATTTGTTTCAAATCATTGTGTTGAAACCTGATCTTCAAGTTTAGTACTTCATTTGTAGAAAGATATTATTTTGGGATAATATTCAGTAATTTGGTAGAGTTGGTTGGTAACTTACAGTGAAATATAAGACGTGTATTTCATCTTCTGGGTTTCCTTGTATCCCAGTGTTAATGCTCACATTGAGACTCAAACCCAGTATCTTTAGTTTTAAATACCCAAAGCGTCAACCATTGAGCTAGTGATATTATATAACTACTAGGTTGTGTAGAGGGCATTGATATTATTTACATAAATTAGTATTTGCTGGTTGTTGATGTTAAGGACTACAACTAGTTACTAATTTTTGAGGTATTTTCATTATGAAATGGTAAATTCAGTTGGAAAGTCCCAAACCAGATAAGGACAAGTCCCAGAATCTGTTGTTTGTTACTACTAGCAATACAGAGGCAATCAACTTAAAATGATTATATACTGAAATAGGTTGATCAATTGCGATTATTAATATCAACGACGAGAATAAAACAAATCAATATAAATATTGAATATTGTTTATTATGTGAAATACATTTGCTGTTAAACTCTTCTTTTTATCAGTTAATTCACATGGTTACATAACTAGCCATCTTAATCATTTTTATAATCCACGTGTTGTATATATATGAAGATATATATTCAGTAATTACTGAAATTAAAGTAAATTACTTAAACAAGATACTAAAACATTATGAGTTTGATTGAAGAAAATGAGACTATTTTTAGTGAAAAACAATGTGAAATACAATATTTGTCTTTTATTTTTCTTATAGAGATTAATAGATTGTCTCAGTGTTATATTGATCTTTTCAATTAAAATCAATCTTATAGTCGTGACTAAGCAATATGTATATCAGTTTTCTCCTTAGCAATTTTGGAATTTCAATGGAATCACAAGCCAGTCTAAGTTAGATAATCATTAAAGATCTGATCAAGAACTATCAGAAATTAGATAGACTGATAAATGATGTTTGTTGAAATTTGTGTACCATGAAATTATGTTATTGGAAATGTTACATTACGACGTGTGCAAGTATATATCATTGAAATCATACTCACTACATTCTCGTGATGGGGTTTTGTATATGAAATTGAGAGGACGAGAAAACTAATGTTCGGCGCTTTAACCGGGTTGATAAGTATGAAGAATCCACCTAGGGGAGTTGGAAAACCCTGATTCTAAACCAATGAGGCACATGGACTCCAGTATATTGAAGGATCAAATAGCGCATGAACCAATTATTGGTCACCGGCTACCAGGGACCTGCATCTCCTGACGTTGCTCCACCGCCTTGTGGATCAGACCTTTAGTTCAAAGGCTCCAGGTATGGCCCCCTAAGAGAACCACCTGCTTCTGTTTGCGCACCCGGGCAGTATCACAGCTCACATACAAATCAAGTGACTTGTGTGGCGCATATGTATTTGCTGCCCCTTTGTACTGATATTAATGTGTTCAAATAAATAAATAAATAAAACTGATAAACAAAATCAAACCTTACTGTATAAGACAGATTTTACCACGAACTGATGTTAGCAAAAGCTTTTCAAAACCAGGGAGCAGTGGATAAGTTTATTTTCTTAGTTTGGGACTATCTAAGGACGTACACTGACGGCATCATGCTGGACTGAATTCAAGAATATTAAGTCTTGCTGAGAGTTAAATGCCAGTGAATCCCCAACTTTGTATCTTTAAGTTCATTTGAAGTGTAATATGAAAATTTGACCGTTTACTTTTATCAATGACTTACTATTTTTCTTTTGAATACAGTGGATTCATAAAAGATAGTAATTAGAAAAAAACTTTTTAGAAAGTTATCTCAAAATTATCTACTACTAAGCACTTGTTTATTATTTACTAAGGCAACTGTATGTAATCAACCAAGTTGTTAGTGAAACAGTTATATTTAACAACAACAGAGTGTATAGTGTTACCTATGAGATGTGAATGTTCCAGTTTCTATCCTGTTTAAGGTTATGAGTTGTCGGTACTGAAAAGTCTCAATTTAAGATCCAGGATGTTGTCCAATGCACTATAATTTTAACTGTTTCTTCAAATGACAATGGTTTATTATGTAGATTATATTTTAATTGCACGAAATCATCATAGTGAAACGATTTACTTTTATTTAATTTTACAGTTTCACCTTTCATTATTTTTAATCTAACAATAAACAATTAAAACTAGTATAATTTTCTTCATGTGTATATTTCAGTTTAATTCACGAATAGTTCTGAAAGGAGCATCAGAAATCAATGATGAACATGAACCACATTTTCATGGTATGTTCTAGTTTGTTCTCCTATTTGTTTTTCTTCTTTTTAGAAACAGAATTTAAAGTTATTTTGTATTTTTTTTTAAAAACCGACTTATAATAAGGAGTGAACAATTAAGGTGATTGAGTCCTGAGATGGTGGAGTAGATTTTTAGCTCAGGTAGATGATTTCTCGGCGGAGCTTTGTTCTCTGAGTTGGATGGTATGGTTAGTGATTGATTCCTTTTTTTTCGAACTTATTTTAATGTAATACAATAATAAGATGGCAGAGAAGATTTGTAGCTCAGGTGGATAATTTTGATGGAACAAAACTACATCAAAAAAACAATACAATAATGTTGTCGTTTCCATAGAAACTAATTCCTTGATTAAAGTTAAACAAAGTAGGAAGAAAAAGAGACTGCTTCCGAGAATAAAACGAATTCATTCTATTTTATGAATTCAGTTCGTTTACAAAACAACCTCAAATTATAAGTAGTAATACAAATGCAAATAGAAGTATAACGTGCTTTAGTAAAATGAAGGAAAGGAAACATCAGAGCATAAAATATAGGATTAAACAAAGTTAGAATCAATGCATGTTTAAATTTTAAAAATAAAAAAAGAAGAATAAAAAGATTGCATAACAACAATGAAAATAATAATTGACTATACCATTTCATTGAAATGATGAAGCGATATAAGCTGAACGATCATTGATAACCTGGAAGTACTAGTTAGCTACTTCGTTTTAATATATACATCTCAGAAGTCCACAGTGAAAACAAATCATATCAGTGTCCACAATCTGTATACTAATAATAACCATGTGCTTGCTAATGACTATCTTCAAAACGGAAATTTCTGGAGTTCTGTTGAGAAGTTATGACCAGTAGAATTGAATTATGTCTACTGTGAGGAACTTATTCACCACAGGCAATAGAAGATAGTCATATAATATCACAAATTGACTGAAGTTAGACTTGTGCTTCCGGCTGAGCGATCTCGTGAATAAGCGTTCATTCACGAGACCGAGTGCCCTGATTTCAACTTGCGGTGGTAGGAGTGATAGATAAGAACTTCTGAAGAATTTTATATTAATTAAATATATATATATATAATCACATAACTCCTTAACTTTTTAAACTTCTTCTTAGCTGATAAAAACCTGTAGAACAAAAGAACCCACTTTATTCTATAGATCTTATTGTTCCTGATCTTTTCATTGTAGTTTACTTATGAATATTCATACATAAAGTTTATAAACGATATTGTTTTACCTATTCAAACACAAAATGTAAATTTTATTAAAACTAAAATCAATTATATTCTCTTTACATGAATAAACAACTAAACAGTCAATTAAAATTTATTCAATCATCTGTTACAACTTAAGAATAGAATTAAGAATTAAGAACAACATTAATACGGATTAAGTGGAATTTATTTAATCATTGTATACTATTACAAGTTGCTTATGTTATATTGTTTAGTTGAAATACAGAATCTAATTACAAGTTCGAACTAACATTTTCATATATTTTTTACCTTTATTATTTGTAATCATTTGTAACTATGAAAATCTGATAAAAGTTTGATGATTAGTGATTCCCCTTTCGTCATATTCATGATGATAATGATACTCAATCAGTAAGAATAGTCATTTTGATCTCTTCAGGGTCTAGAAATTTCATGGAACTATTAAGCATGATAGACAGAAGATAATTTTTAAAGTTTCTCATAAAACTCTAGAACTCTCGAGTTTTAAATTCACTTGGTATTATTTGGCTTCTATCTTCCCATTGAAGTTTAAGACTGCAATTGATCAGTCTGTTATCGGCATATGTGCATACTGTGCGAATGTCTCGATATTGCCTTAATTCACAAGCTTTTTGTAAGCAATGGTGGATAGTGGCTAGCAGTGGAATCCAGGACGAGCGTTTTTTCCTATTTAGGACTCGTCAGTTGGATGTACCTGCATCTCAGTGTTGATGTTCACTGTGGGACTCGAACCCAGTATATATATATATATATATATATATATATATATATATATATATATATATATATATATATAATTGAACGTACATTAAAGAAAAGAAATGTTATAGCCCATAAAAAATACTTTAATAGGTAGTTGAAGTTGATCGAATATTGACAATTGACAATGGAACGTTTATTATTATTGATTAACATAACATGATGGAAAATGTATCTTTGGCTCGTGGTTATTCATAGAAACAAATTTTAAATAGTCAGCATCATTTTTTAAAAAAATTTCAAACACTAATCTTTAGTAATCAATTATTATTTTTTAATATTTCAATACATCAAGAGTATTATTTACACTTATATATAATAGATGTTGTACATTTTATTCACATACAACTTGTAATATTCAATTGTTCAAGGTTAACTAAACAAATGAATTTTGTTTTTACATCCATTAAATTACTTTCTATAACATTTTCACAGACTGTAAATTAATCGTGAGAAGATTGATATTTAGTAATTAATGTTCTCAGTGCTAAAATATTAAATCAAACAACACAGTTACTACAGTTTAGGTTGTATTCATCATCATCATCATCATCATCATCATCATCATCATCATCATCATCATCATCATCATCATCATCATCATCATCATCATCATCATCATCATCATCATCATCATCATCATCATCATCATCATCATCATCATCATCATCATCATCATCATCATCATCATCATCATCATCATCATCATCATCATCATCATCATCATCATCATCATCAGCAGCAGCAGCAGCAGCAGCAGCAGCAGCAACAGCACCATTATCAAACAGAATAGCTTTTATACTATGTAACTATCATTACAGCATTATTACAAATACAATCTTATTAGAATGGTACTTCAAATTGACAAAAATAAATTATTCTTATGTGTGAATCAATTGAACTTTTGTTTGATGCTATTTAATTAGTTGGATTATTTTTTTTACTGTTTATCTGACAATTTAATAAATAAAAAAAATGAAAACTGTCAGGTGAGACTATAATTTATGAACGAAGCAATCGGGTATAAAATAATAAGCCTTAGATTTTGGCGCGAAATTCATTCACCCATTTGGCTAAACAGAGTTTTGGCATTATAGCTGATGTTAGTTCGTGATGGAAATCCTAAATCTAATTCTTAACCTTAATCATTAACTGTAAATCATAATTCGAATTCTTCACACTGGTCCTAGTTATTCGGTGGACACACTTAAGGTCACTTTAGCGTCGCTCAAAAATTTTTCAGAAAATATAGTTTCACCAAACAGCCTACTTCATAGTGTTAACTTATCAAAATAACACGATTGTCTATTTAATGTTATGTTGAAAACTCCTTTTCTGATAATATATTGTTATGACCAGTCGGTTAAAATGAGCAACTTATCTAATGACTTTTATCGGAAAGTTTTTAACAACTCATAATATTGAAGTTAATTTAGATCTGAATGTATTCATAGTTTCTTTTCTTTTGCTAATCTTATTAGTATATTATGTTACGTAATTGAAGGCAATCTAAAAAATTTTCCTACATAAGAGCTTCCTGGCGATTGATTTCTGGCACCAATATGTTTCAATTCAAATATTTATGCTTGAGTTACATAGTACTGAAATTACAGGTGGTACCGCTGACTTATTTAGAATATGATGAATCACTTGTGTACTACTTATCAGTGATTCTTTTGTTGATTTTCCCTAACTCTCATCTATTTAAAGTACAAAGAATAAGCACATTATTTATCATATATATGAGAAACAGTAAAACACTTGTTAACTGAATAAAATTTTGAACTTCACTTAAAATGGATTAACTTAATTCAATAGTTAACTTGAATCTATCTAGTACTTAGTTTCAGATCCATGTTTTTTTCTCTCAATTGAACATCTCATACTTCTTGTTTTAGTTATTCATTGTATCGTAAAATGTCATAGAATAACTTAACAGTTATCAGTGTAAATCATTTACATTTCATAGAATCAAAACGTTTTTATGACGCTCTGTTAAGTCCAATAGGAAAACGTACTTCATGTCTATTTGAAAATAGACAAAACAAAATGATGTTAACTTTGTATTAAAGTACTTATTTACCATAGTTGATTTACCTTCGATGATAATAGTCGATGATTTTAAACCTGACCTATTAAAGTTTTCTTAATTTTATAGGGTACTAGTTTGTTAATTTTTTAAACGATTCATCAATTATGTGAACCATGTTATGGATGAACATTAACAATAATTCATAGAAGTATTTCAACTTGAATTCACCTTGAAATTAAAACATGATGATATTTGTTATACCATTTTCATTATTACAAAAACCATGATCAGTCCAGTGTTTGCAGGTTTTCCATAGTGATCTAGCCTCAATTGACTCATGATTTCAACTATTAAAAAAATTACTATAATATCCACAAAACTCCTTTCTGAACCATATATGTTGTAATTTAACCATTAAAAAATTCTAAGAGTTGAGGTCATTAGTCAATTGAAGCTAGACCACAATGGAAGACCTGGAAGCACTGAATGGCTGTTTCCTCCTACTGTGGGACACCTCAGCAGTGTACATCTCCGATCCCACTTGGCGAGATTCGAACCCGAGATCTATCAGTCTCGCTCGCGAGACTATATTATTCACAAAACCCCTTGTGATAAAAAAAATTCTGTTTGTGCATAATATTTAATCCAGAAATTAAAATTTAACTACACTATTAATATAATGTCTATAAAACTGTTTATTTGATATCATTTTGTTTAAATATTATTCATAATCAAAATAGGATAAATCAGGTCTTTGGTAGTTTATAGATTTCAGTGATGATCATTACATATATTCCCAGTATATTTTGCTCAATATCCTTTTTCTCTTAACGCATCATAATGTGTACTATTAGCTATTATTATCATTATTATTTTTATAAGGTGGTTTGCGTTATTTCCGCATTGATGATAAAGAATATTTGGCCTATCAACGATTTCGAAAAAGAACTAAACAACATAATGAATCGTAAGTGTTAGTAAATCACAGAGATAATAAGTTTTTTTCCGCTGAATTTTTTTCGAGCGGAGATGGATGGTGGATAACAGTCTCAATCGGGACTCGTCGGCAGGATGCACCTGCGCCTCAGAGTTGATGTTCACTCTAAGACTCGAACTCAATACCGTCCGCTTCGAACGCCATCGCGTTTTCCACTTAGCTACTGAGTGCTGATAACGACTTGCTTGTGCGATGGGATAAAGTTTATGTTCACTTGGTATTGTTTACTTGAATTTCGCCATTAATTTAAAGAACGGTAATTGATCAAAGTTTACATTTTTTGCAGGTTTATTTCACAACTTGATAATTGTCTGAAGGTCATAAGTTCTACTGTTTTAGCATTCACTTACATAAAAAGTTGACGATCATCTCTCCCAACTTGTGGGCTTCCTGTTTTATAACTATACAAACATAACTAGAAAATTTCGCATTTTATTCTGGTTCTAACTAAATAACTGTAATGCGAGACAAACATGTGTAATCCTACGCTCATGTGAAATGTTTAATATCTATAACAAAACCAGTTGCTTCAATATACAAACCACTATCACCGTCGGTTAGTCTTTTGAGAAGAAACAAGATGAAATAAAATTCACATGTCATGCATATTATGCAATAAAAAACATGTCAATAAATCAAAACTGTTTGAATGGATGAATATGAATGTCATTTATATGTACATATATACTCTCACACTTTCTCTTTCTCCTGGTGATCGACTAGATTACAAAAGCGTCAACATCTAAGTGAAAGCATGAGATACAGTGAAAAGCTAGGGTGAATCTGGACGATCTAGAATTCGTAGATGATCTGGCCTTCCTATCGCATATGCAACAACAAATGCAGAAGAAGGCGACCAGTGTAGCAGCAGTAGGTCTCAACATTAACTAAAGAAAAAGCAAAATTCTCCCATACAACACAACAGGCAACAATCAAATCACACTTGATAGAAAAGCTTTGTAGGATGTGAAAAACTTCACATATCTGGTCAGCATCATTGATGAACACAGTGGATCTGGTGCATATGTGAAGGCGCAGATTGGCAAAACAAGAGGAGCATATCTACAACTGAAAAACATCTGCAACTCAAAACAACTGTCAACTGCCAACAACAGAGTTAGAATTTTCAATACAAATGTTAAGACAGTTCTACTGTACGGTGCGGAAACTTGGGGAACTACGAGAGCAATCACCCAGAAGATACAAGTGTTTATAAACAGTTTTCTGCGTAATATACCTCGGATCCGTTGACCAGCACTATCAGCAACAACCTACTATGGGCGAGAACAGATTAGATTCTAGCAGAGGAAGAAATCAGGAAGAAGTGCTGGAAGTGGATAGGACACACATTGAGGTAAGCACCCGACTGCATCACAAGGCAAGCCCTCACCTGGAATCCTCAAAGCCAAATGAGGGGAGGAGGAAGACCAAAGAGCACATTACTCTGAGAAATGGAAACAGGTATGAGAAGAATGAACATGAATTGTATAAAACTAGAAAGGAAGGCTGAGGACAGAGTGGATTGGAGCATGGTGGTCAGCGGGCTGTGCTCCACTGGGAGTAACAGGCGTTATATATATATATATATATATATATATATATATATATATATATATCGTGGGTGCGTACTGCTGAAGAATCCCACGATAAGACAAAACGGCTCTACAGTGGTTCCAGGTTTTCCATGGTGGTCTAGTTTCAATTGAGTCATGATCTAAATTATTGAAAATTACTATAATATCCACCAAACCCCTTCTGATACTAAATTCTCTTCAATTGCCATGTGGTTTTTTTCCCATGTTTTTTTTTGTGTTATATATTCTCACAGATAAAAAAAGATGTTTTTCATATTTAAACTGTTAATTAGCTGTTTATTTGTTGTTTACAAAAAATAAGAACATTTTGTTTTTATCTGAGTTTTATCATGTTTGTTTATTTTCTTGTTTATTAAAAGTCTAGGTAAATATATTACACGTGATCCACAATCAGTTCATAGTTATACTAAGAATAATAATAACAATAATATAAATGGGAATCAAGATTATGTGATCAAGGTAAGTAAATGTTGTGGATACACCAAATTATAGATACTGAGAATTTTTAAAGATTATATACAGTGAAGTAGAACTACTTAGAGAGTCGTTATTGTTTTTGTTATTGTAATCATTTCAGTTATTCAAGATGCTATTATGTTTTTTCAAGGGTTGGGTTGGTGAAAATACTCCAACAGAGACTAATCAGTTGAGGTCCAGAAATCGACAACGGGGAATTAAAAACGTTTATTAATAACTTCAGACATGTTGAACAATATGAGAACCATCTGAACACGCTAGTAGCCGAGTGAATAGCTAGTTGGCATTGAAAAAAGTAACGCAATGGGTTTGATTCTCCTTGTTACCATTAACATAGAGAACCAAATCAAATAAAACGAGTTTCCTGCCTTTTACATCCAGCTACGTACATTATGATTTAACCACCCAGATGAAATCCGTATGTGGCTGACCCTATATGTGATGGCTCCACAGTTAAAAATCGTTTAACTAAATATCAGCTGACTAGTAATGCAGTATTGTCAAGCAATTTTCGGCTTAACTCTAATCAGTAATGCATTCGTTTATTTTTAGAACAACAGTAATTTAATTCTTTATAAACTATTTTGAATAAAAAATTAACCACCCTGAACCTATTAAGTATTGATTCCCGGATTACGTTTTGTATGATAGTTGAATAAACTAGTTGTTTAAATATATAAATTTAATGTTAGTGGTTGATTTCATCCTTTTCCGTCATAAGATCTGTTGATTAGTTGTTTTATGATTTATGAATTATAATTCTTTAGTTATCAGAGGGGGTTTTGTGCAGATTTTAGAAATTTCACTGGTTGAAATCATGAGTCAGTTGAAACTAGAACACCATGGAAAACATGGAAGCACTGGACGGCCGTTTCGTCCTATTGTGGAACTTCGCAGCAGTGCGCACCCACAATCCCGCACCCCACGAGATTCGAAGCAACGACCTATCAGTTTCGCGTGCGCGCGCTTAACCATTAAACCGTTGAGTTGGCACCCAGCGGTGTTAGTGTCTAACTTCAACCAATCCACGAAGTTGCGCCACTGTACACCATTGTTTTCAGTGAGTTGATATCACAACAGACGTGGTTGAACTCCACTGGTAACGGCTTCCTGCTAGGACTACAGGAGTACCTCTTAAAGGCCCTGAGTTCGGATCTCGTGGGGTGCGGGATCGCGGATGCGCACTGCAGAGAAGTACCATACTAGAACGAAACGGCCGTCCAGTGCTTCCAGGTTTTCCATGGTGGTCTAGTTTCAATTGACTCATGATTTCAACCAGTGAAATTCTTTAATTACCTTTTCATGAAAATTCATATTCAACTTAATGAACATTATATTGTAATAAGATTAAAGATTGCTAATTTAACAACGATACGTTTTGATAGAAAATATTAAATTATTACCTTGAAACACTTTTGATCTTTGAATTGAAAAAAAACATAATTTAAATTACGTCAAATAAGTCGTAAGTTTTCTCTTAATAATAAACTCTTTAGTTACACATAAAATGTAATATTCTTGTTTTCATATTCTTTTCTTTTTTTTTGTTTTTTGTTTTGAAGTTAACTGATAGTCATAAAAAAAATTGGACTCTGAACGATTAATGTAAACTGATCAAAAATGTAAACATAATTTTAAAAAATTCTTTTTTTAAATAAATATGGTAAGACACCTAGCAACTATACCACTTTTTTTCAAAACGTAATATAATATTTCCTTTTTATTTGTTTAATTAATTGATTTTAAAAAAACAAACAATAATCGTATAACTTGTTGAATATACAGAAATCAAAATGAATTGAATTCAAATTATAATGAGAGATATAAAGTGGTCATTTAAAACTATGGGCAATAAACTTTTCTTTTACAAAATACCTTTAAAAAAAATCGATAATTTATTTAAATCGATTTCTATTTAACTTATTTATGGAAATCTATATAAATTATGTAACGAGAATATAATTTATGGACGAACCAATCAGATGTAAGATAATTTGGAACGAAATTCATTCATACATTTGGCGAAATAAAGTTTTATCATGATAACTGATATCAGTTCGTGATGAAAATCCTGAATCTAATTTTTAACCCTAACCATTGACTATAAATGAAAATTGAGCGAGACTCTAATTTAGGGACGACCTTTGAACGACTCTTAAATGACCTTGACAATTATTAGCCAATCAGAAGACAGTTAGTATAAAGTGAAAACATATTATAAGAAAGTAATGAATCATAGTGGATATTCTTCTTTTACATGATTTAAAAATTTGTTAAGGTTTGATAAAAGATCAGAGGTTCTGAATTCACAATGCATATGGTATAGAAACTCGTCCATAGGGTTAGGGTTAGGGCTTAGTGTTAGGTTAGGGTTAGGGTTTAGGGTTAAGGTTAAGGATAGAGTTTAGGATTATGGTTAAGGTTAGGGTTTAGGGTTAAGGTGCTAACATAAGATTGGTTTACAACGAATTTTAAAGAAGTGGTATTTATTGAGAATATCCACTGTAATTCATTACTTTCTTATAATATATTTTTACTTTATACTGTCTTCGGATTGGCTAATAATTGAAATCGCTCAGACGCTTCTTATTGGCTCGTCCCTAAATTGCAGTCTCGCCGTCCCATCTGTTGTAACCTCTCATTAATCACCTCCTCTCTAAAATCCTCAGTTTACCGATCGTATGTTAGCATCGCGTGTTGAACTAGTTTCCGTGACCTTGAAATTGCTCAAACGCTTCTGATTGGCTCGTCCCTAAATTAAAGTTTCGCCGAAAATTTGTAACTGGTTTATAACATTCATTTAGTCCTAATCAATAGGTGTCCACTCTCCAAGTCATGCCAGTGTTACTCAAAGGTCATTCATAAATTATAGTCTCACCGATTATGTTATTACACATGAGTAAATTATATATTTGTATTTATTTTTACTATTATTTTTTTTACCTAGTTCAATTCGAGTGGAAATCAGAAAAATTAATTGATGACCTTCACTACAGATTGTATAAAATGTTTTTTATTAAAGTCTGAATATATTACATCATTTTATTAGTATTGTTACTAAGCTATTTGATGTCAATGATTTAATGAAAGAATGTTATTTACATTTTGTAATTTAGAATAACGGTGAAAGAATTACAGTTCGTTTGTTTGTTTTGTTTTGTTAATAAATACTTCGAGATTCCATACAATATATAAGTAATATATTCACTTGAATGAAAACATTGACTTTTCAAAAGAACAATATCTTACATCTATACAATTAAACTATTCTAAAACTAATATAATAAAATATATGACAAATGTATTAATACTAAATCTAAGAACAAAAATACATTTAAAACTAGTTTCTCATATCTTTTCTGAAGAAAAAAAGAATGATAGTTTCCATCAAGTTTCTATATCTTTCGAAATTCTATTGTTTACTTTAAAAAAATTGATTGATTCATTGTATCTATGCCTAAACAATATTGAAATCTTTATCTTTTTTTTTAATTTAAACAAATTTAAACAATCATCTGTTTACTTTTTAAAAAAAAATAATAAAACTATTTACCATTTATAATCAGATTTTTAAAGAAAGATTCAATCTATATGATTATTACAAATCGTTATTTGCTTATAATTGATATTTACATTGATATTTTCTTGTTACTAAGTGAATGATTATGATTTGATTTATTTGTTGTTGTTGTCGTTAACAACTATTAATTCGATTATTTCTTTTCTTTTCTCTTCTAATTTCTTTTAATTTTACTTTCTTTTATCTTTTATGTATTCTGTTGTTGGTTAAAGTGATTCATTAACTTTGAATAGAACAACATAAATCACAAAATACATTAAAGTTTTTTTTAATGAATAAAATACATTTTCCTTACACTTCATTATCAGGTTATCATAAAATAAAATGTTGGTTTCTATTGAAATGAAAATGATAGATGAAAGATAATCTTTGATATGGTAACTTTATTTTTCAAATTTTTATCTATTCATTTATTAGCATTTTTTTAAAGAAATATATCTAAGTTCAAATAAATCTATACACAATAGTTCATGTTAGTCAAATTATAATTTGTATATCACTGATGGATTGATTGATATATGATGGTGGTTAAAGGTAGTCAACAAGAGACTCTGGACCTGAGTTTCATGCTATTCGGCATTTGTCAGCAAGGTGTACCTGTAATCTTGTGGGAACTGGTGCTCCTTTACGGATTCAATTCCGTGTTATTCAGCTTCAAAGTCAGAGATGCTACCACTGGTCTATTCGGGTCGTGACTGACCTCCTGTAGGACTGAGATGTATTTACGATTGATTGATCAGTGGTTTGTGGTAATCAATGTCATATGTGTCAGGTCGTTCTTACTGCAGATCGAATGCTATCGTCTCTGACTGTGAAGCTGGATTACAAGGGATTGCATTCGTCAGGGAGCATCAGTTCCCTCAAGATTATAGGTACGCCTTGCTGACAAGTGCCAAATAACACGAAAACCGGGTCCAGGGTTTCTTGTTGACTATCTCCAACCACCATCTTATCTCAAGATAGTGCACTCAATGTCGAGTAACCTAGACTATTGGCCATATCGCAGCTTGGTCGATAGGATTCGATCTACACTAAGAACGACCTGACATATGACATTGATCATCACCCAGTGATCAATCAATTGTCAATTGGTTGATTGAATAATGAAGTCGAATTTCAATCAATTTGTAACAAGATGGAACTTCTGTTCCATATTTTGAATTCTATACTTGGTTGTTATTATTACCATGTATCAAATTAAAAGTGTAATTTAAAACCTAGTAAACTAAACTAAGTTACATTTTCTATCTTTGAAGTTAAGCAGCATAAAAAGGAGAACATTTCAACTTGTTCAAAGAAATTTTATGAGAGTTAAAACAGCATATTTATTACTGTACTTGACTTTTGGCATAGGTTCATATATATTATTTCACAGTGTAATATAGATAAAGTATAATAGTGTACCTTGGAGTTGTTGACTTAATTTTACCAACTGATATTTGGTTAGTTTTGTGGTAATGAATAAACAGATATATTTGTTCGATTTGAAAAAGTGTATACGAACCATTTTACAGCAGAGTGATGATTATAAATAAGTTGACCGCTACCATAGTTAGTTAGATATAGATGAGATGATTCTACATAATGTATTTAAGATATAATGGTCCACTGAATGATTGTCATTGATAGTTTCCGAATTCACTTATTATAATTTACTGCCACTTAAGTCTAAACAGGACTTTATTCTAAACTAAGAGTGTACTGTATTGTTTATGTTTTCATTTTAATGTGGATTGTTGAGAGTGTCTAACTGAACCTTACCAGCTTTAGATTCATGCATACTAAATAAAGTAACGAAATATGTGAAACTTGTATTAATTGATAAAAGGTTTGTATATTATTAGTGGAGATTTACGGAGGCTAGCAGTGGAATTTAGGACGCACTTTGGGGGCTCGTCACCTGAATATACCTGTATCCCAGAGCTAATGTTCACTCTGTGGCTGAAATCCATCACCGTTCGTTCCAAACGCTACTCATAGCTTTAAATGTGATTTAAAGTTATGAGGATCCAAGCAAATGTTATTTTTACTAGGCCTTGCAAAATTTTATATTTTTCTGGGATTTTCATTGCAAAGACAAATATTTATATATATATTAAACAGATTAGACACACACATTTTTTATAGATATGATTAATATGGTACAAAACAGTCAGCAACATGAATACTACCCTCATAAGGTTGTTGAGAATGTTTGGATGATAATCAACACATTTTACAATATAAAACCCTTAACGGTTGGTCTTTGGTGTATTAATAACAAACATTTGCTTTCAAGTCGTTTTACGTCACATGAAAGGTAAATCCGTCTAAAGACGTGATCAGATTATTACAAGAACCTACACAGGAACAGCTGTAGAGGGATAAAAATCTCGATTGACATGTCATAAGATTTATAAACTCTATACGAGAAAAACAGAAAAAAGGAATGTAGATTTAGACAAGGATGAAAATAAGATGAGTATTCAGTGAAACCGGTGTGCACAACTTACCGAAAGGTTACATAATTAAAAATTACACAGGAGTTACGAAAAACTTAAAGGCTGTTTGCCTTATGACATTTAAAAATAACTGAGAACAATACATGTATGATATGAATTTTTTGTTGGGGCAAGACAATATTACAGATGCAGTTTCTAGATAAAATCACCAAGTGTAACAAGTAATTCAATTAATACAACATGTTAGCAGCCTCTGAATGTAAGCCTTGAAGATTTTAAAAATAGAGGGAGAAAAAAAAGCAGTAACATTATTTATCGTTACTTTGATATTGTTTAAATTCCGTTGATTTGACTCCAGCGGTGGCCGTTTATTTGATTTTAATTAAATCACATGAATGATTGTTATCGATATATACATACTGCCAATAATCGTACATAACTATTGGCTTAATTCGCGTTTGAGATTAACGGAATAAAAATAAGTCAAATACGATAATGAATTTTGACCACGTATATTTCGTACTTTCGTTGACAATCAGGGAAACAAAGCGAAGGGAGCAAAGAAAGACGAGACGACGGGCAGTGGAGAAGGCGAGTGAGCCAACTGGATTTGTTGTCAGATCAAAAATAAGTTACAGACACATAATTTGTAAGATAAGTAAGCAGCACACATACGAACGTATAAAAACAGTCAGGACTATTAGGCGAATAATTGGCAAGGTAAAATGTGGTTTGAGAAGAATGAATAGATTGGTCTGTTCAGAAGCTAGAATAACCTATATGAGCTTGACACAGTGCAGCCATTACATAGCCTCCGTTAGTTTAACTGAATAAGAACTCAGTTTGAAAACAAAGTATCAAATGTACTGTTTTGTTTTTATGAACTAATGATTCCTTTGTACTTGATGTTTGCCTGATTTCAAATCTCAATTACAATACGATGTTTGTTTCTCTTCTGTCTAAATTGCATTATTTCTGGGATCCTAGTTCGTACAATAATTCAAATACTTTGAATTATCACATATACCTTTTCCATTTACTGTCTGCCTCTATCCGGTCTTCATGATTTTCAATGTTAGTAACAACATTTTTAATTTGCTTTCGTATGGTGTTTGATAACAGTTATGCACTTGTGATGACTGGTCAATTATCCAGATGTTGATTCTCTCTCAGTGACTAGAGTTTTATATCATATGGTATACTGCTTTCCACGGTTTGATTGACAGTCTGATTTATGCATATAACAAACATTCCTTGTTAATTAATTGCATTCTCAGACTTGCATACATATACTCAGTTTTATATCATACGTCTTGAACAGTTTATACATCTTTCATTCAAACACCTCAGGTTGTCATGTTATTTGTTGACTACTGTGTCTACAGAAGCGTCTGAGACCAGTGGATAGATTCACAAATGAAGCGCAACGGGTCAAATATTTCATCTGCAGTATTGATATTTCTAACATTTCGACACTTTTGTCTTTATATCCTTAATAATAAACCAAGTAACTGTCGTCATCCATTAAAATCGGCCTAATGGATAATTGATATCGGAATCAAAGGTGTAACTCTTATGGATTTCCACTTGAAGAGTGAGCACTCTAGAGAGATCTTATATTCTGGCGTTAAAAAATTTGGACTACTCCATGTAATTATAGTTTACTCAAGAGAGCTTCCAAAGGCGGCTTGACAACCAAAATCTTAGAAAAACTGCCATTTTTGGTTGGATGACCGAGTTAACGAAGTGAAAAACCTTCTTTACAACCCACATTTATTTGTCAGATTAGGTTTCATGTTACCTATTTCTTTTCGATACTTTAGTTTTCAACCTAACTGCTGACATAAACTAATAGAAAATACAGTTCTTTTGCAGATTACTTCTCTCAAATGACTTTTAATTCAATACGACAGTCTAAACTATTCGACAACGTGACAATGGTCACGAAATTTGAAGTAGAATCATATACTGGGTTGTCAAAAAACAGTCTACAACTGCTTGTTGAATCCACTAAGAATATGACGTTCAGTGTTGTAGATACACTCCAATAAACATATTCTATGATCTGAAAACATTCTTAGAAACAAAAACACTGCAATAGAAGAGATTGTTTGATAATTTAAAGGGAGTGTGAATGAAAACAACTCCACTGGCTTAAACCAGGTTATTACCATGACACAAGATTTATAGATTTTAATGCGAATAGTGCCACCGAGCAGAGTTACGGCCTCAGGAAGTCGGAACCGGGTGCACACCATTGATTTTCAAAAAGGATATACGCCACGAACCTTCTAGCTACCATCCGGTAGCACTTCTCCTGATGTCCTTGAATGTTATTGGGTCCCTGATATACTATGGCCTAAGTGACTAATTATTGTCCATAAACGTTTTTCAACCCCACAGAACGGTTTAAGAAAGAGTCACTCCAGTATGATCAACTTGTTGTCCACAGTGGAGAGATGGACAACCATCCTTAGTCCCAAGGCGAAGGTTGATGTCATATACCTGACCTCGAAAGCTTTTGATAGGGTCAGTCATATATTTCTCATCAATAAGCTAAAACTGTTAGGTACCAAGTCAACGTAAATTGATTTACTTCATTCATATCATTATAATCAACTGTTTAGGGTAAAGGTAATTTTGCCTTTTATCAGGCTATAGAATGTCCCAGTGGGTCCCTCCAAATATAAGTGATCTCCTTTGGCAGGTATCATCTGAGTATTTTTTTCATCGAAGGCTTAAGAATTTAGAAAGAACTTTGCAACCAACATGATAAGCTGGCACTTCACGAGGACCCAACTTCAAAGTTGGGTGGACAACAACGAACATAATTTTAATTCCTAAAAGTGTAGTGTAGTCCATCTGAGACATGTTACAGACTAAGCATACAACTTGAATAACGCTCTTTGAGAAGTATCCCAAGTTGAAAAATATCTAGGAGACTTGATATCCTACGAACTAAAGTCTTACGCTTACTGAGACGAAATGACTTTTGAGCAAAAATTTCGCTGTTCAAGCTAAAGTGCATTTTTGGCCATTCTGACGGTTAAACTTTACATCTAATCTTTCAAAGTTTCGACCTCATTTAGAGTATGGGAAAATAATATTTTCTTCCCCACTCCATAAGGATGAGAAAATACTAGAATGTATTGGAAGAAGAGCCGTGAAACCAGTTTAGGAATCTAATGAAAACCTCCTAAAACCACTAAATCTTTACCCATTAGATTATAGGCATCTATGAGGTGACTTTCTAGTGACTTGTAGAATCCTTAACACATGTGAGCATTCCTTTAAACACACACTTACGCCCAGTCCTAATACAAACCTTAAAATTAACACCCAGGAATTAGATACAACATAGCAGGATGAACTGTAGTCACACATTTTACTCTTAACTGCTAATGAAATTCAGGAAATCGCTGCCGGATGGAGTAGCCTAAGTTACTTCTTGGGTGTCTTTTAAGAGAAAGCTTAGCATGTTGGGCACTGTGTAAGTTATCTCATTATAATTTACTAATATCTTTATATTTGTTGCTAAATATAGTCAAGTTCCTATCTGGGGTGATCGGTGATCCGCTGCTGCCATATACGGTAGCCCGTTAAACAGAAGCTTCTTTAATTCCATTTAACCCCTTTTTGTTGAAAAATACAATTTCTCTCAGGCTATGGAATCTCCTAATGGGGCCCCCCGTGGTTCTGTACTAGAACCTCTTCTTTTCTTGATTTACATAAGTTATATTCCACGACAGATGCTGTCTGACTTATTACTTTTTGCTGATGGCGTGAAACTTTGGAGAGAGATACGAAACCAAGAAAACATACTGGCATTTAAGGAGGACCTGGCTGAACTTAAAGTTTGAGCACATGACAACGGATTTACATTTAGCACTTTGAAGTGTAAAGTAGTCCATCTGGGACATGTTGCAAACTACAGTTACAACGTAGGAAGTATTCCAGGTTGAAAAAGATATAGGAGTGTTGGTACCCTACGATTCAAAGTCTTACTCTTTTGGTGTGACGTCGAGTCGCGGTTGACTGTGATCACCACTACAAGAAGGTTGCGTAACAGATATCAAAATGCGATTGGAGGTTGTAGCTAGATATATTTGTTGGTGATCTCGTGGTATCAAAAGAGCGCATCTCATCACTAAACCTCTACTCACTAGAGTTAGGCGTCTTAGAGAAGACCTTCTAATGGCTTACAGTATCCTTAGTACTTATGGAATTCCCCTAAAAAAACAGATACTGAAGTTAAGCTCCAACACAAAACTAAGGGGTAACACCCAAAAACTGAAGACACAACAAAGCAGAACGGACAGTAGACATAACTTCTATTTTTTAAGAGTTGTCAAATGCTTTAATTTGCTGGCGACTGAGCCAGTCCAAGAGACTTCTCAGGAGTCCTTTAAGAGAAAACTTGACCTATTCTTAAGGACTAGGGACAGTACCTTACTACAATTTATCAATTTTTTAAAACTCTATTATAGGTAATATACCTAGGTTCCCGTCTGGAGGTATTTGTGATCCATTTCTACTAGACACGGAAGTCTGGTAAGGGAAAGCATGTTCTATTCCGTCCACAACCACTTGGACCATTTGAAATTCTTATGGAGCGTGAGATGAGTGCCGCGTTACACTTACGACCTCTTTTCTCTTCCTATAAATTACTGTTGTCGGGTTTATTCAGCATAGGTCTTTAACGGTTTCGTACATAACATAAAATGGATAAATTAGTCAAATTTTTCAAAGAAAAGAATGCAGACCGAAAGTTCGCCAAATTGGGAGAAGGCCATCGCCTTGGTGATGCCAGTGTTCAACATTCTGCCTCTACTTCTAATGCTAAACGTCAGTCGACATCATGTCAAAGTACACCACCTTCTTCGAGGTCAGTGGAGGCCGCTATGTCTAGAATAGCTATCACAGAGTCTCGAGGTACTAGTAATCAAACTGGTATGTTATCAATATTTTTTGTTGCATGCACCTAAAACTTACGCTTGTGTTTTGTCTTTCTGAGCTGCTATGTATTTAGTATGTTAAAACACTGTCCTTTGTTTTATGTCATTTGGTTTGGACGTTAGGCGGCTTTGGAACAACACATTTCCACAACTTGCCATTATTTCACTTAAATTCGTCTGTATTTTCCTTAATTTGGACACAAGTAACTAAGTTAAGAAAGTTTTCTTTATGTATTTTGGGCTTTTCTCGATTAGGCGTCAGAAATTATTGTGATTGGATGAATGGGTGATTCCAGGAAATTGGTTCATTTGTGTTGATTCAAGTAACGTGGCGAATACTTATCACCAAACCGGATGTTATATGAATACACAGAGATATCTTCCCTCAGTAATAGTGTATCACCACCAAGATAACTAAAATGATCGATGTAGACATTTTAAGCGCGATGGAAACTTGGATCTGTTCAAGAACTTGCACCAAATTACTTTTCTCAAGTGTTTCGTCGTAAGTTGAACTAGTCGCATTAGCAGCTATGCATGCGTTGAAATAACTCAGTATACTTTGCATGATTACTACATTAATTAGGGTTCGAAGTCTAGTAATTCAGTCATAGAACAAAGTCCTTAATCGCTACTTCATGAAATAAGATCGTTGGCCATCTTGATGTCAGTCAGTCAGTAACAACGTAGAGCCTCGTACGTACGTACGTACGTACATCAGTTTGAGTTGCCACACCACATTAGCACAGAGATGCAGTGGTCGATTCAAATCCCGTAGTGCTAGATGTAGTAAAATTATAAGCTGTAATCAGAAAAGTTAGGGTTTGAAGATGTTATTCATGGAGTATAATCCAGTAAAATAAATTTGGAAAGAGAAAAAGGGGGCAGGAAGAATTCAGAAGATTAGAATTTGGGAGTACACAAAGAGTGGATGCACCTGCGCCATTGCAAACGATTTTGAGTCATGTCATTCAGGGTCTCTAACCATCGGTTGCTATCATCTTGCGGTCCCCAACCAGGTAGTCTACACCTACCAACATGACTCAGTCCACTTGTCAGTGACTTCATGGACTTGTGCCATCTTTTGATCTGGCCGTCCCTATCTTTCTTCGAATCTACTCCTATACAACAAAACATCGCACATCGAGGCAGTCGGTCGTTGGGCATACGTAACACATGTCCCAGCCATCTCAACTGACGAAGTTTCACTACTTCATCAATTGATTTGCCATCCCTACCTAGTACCCGTTTCCTAACAACTGCATTACTTACTCGATGGTCCCAGCATATACGAGCAATATTTCGAAGACACCTATGATCAAATACTAGTAACCTACGGATGTCCTCTACTCTTACCGGCCATGTTTCACTGCCATAAAGTAGGACAGAACGAACTGCTGCGCAGTAAACACGTCCTTTGGTTGATAGACGGATATCTCGCCTACGCCATAAATGACGCAAGTTGGTAAAAGCTAGTCGAGCCTTCTGTATCCATGCTGAGATTTCGTCATACACCAGACCACAAGGGCTGATGAGACTTCCAAGATAAGTGAAACGATCGACACACTCAACTACTTCACTCCCTATCATTAGTTCGGGTGTCGATGCAACCCAATCCTGAAGCAACACTTTGCATTTCGAGGGGGAGAATCGCATCCCGAACATGCTTGCATTGTTGCTTAGAGTGGTCAGAAGACTGCATTTTGTCAGCGTCTTCGCCAAATAAAACTATGTCATCAGCATATTCTAAGTCAACAAGTGAACCTCCCGGTAGAAGTTCAACCCCTGGAAAGTGTTATCTCTAAAAGCACGTCGACCACAAAGTTGAACAAGAATAGAGGGAGTGAATAGCTCTGAGGAACACCACTTGAGGTAATCAATTCTAATGACAGTTCGCCATAAGCTCTCACTCTACCAGTTGTGTTCGAGTAGAGAGCCTTTTTAAGGTTAATGTATATCTTTGGTACTCCTTTCAGTGACAAACACTCCCATAGAACCTCACGATCACTAGAGTCTAATGCCGCCTTAAGGTCGGGAAATACTACCATTGTGGGGCATCCGAATGCGTGTCTGTGTTCTAGAACCTGACGTAGTGTGAATATCTGATCTATACAACCACTTTTAGATCGAAAACCAGCCTGATTTTCTCTAGTCTGCTCTTCACGAGCTTTGGTTAGGCGTCGAAGTATTATTAAAGCCAATATTTTAGACACTATATTAGTCAAACTGATTCTTCTGTGATTGTCACAAGAGGACTTTTGTCCTTTCTTATAGACCGGCACAATCAGTGATTGAGACCAGTCAGATGGGATTACGTCCAGTTCCCGAATTCTACTTAAGACCTCAGTTAATCTCACTGCTAATACTGGACCACCATCCCTAAAAATCTCAGGAGTAAACCTGTCAGGGCCTGCTGCTTTCCTTCGCTTCAGATTTCCTATGGCTTTTTCAACTTCGTAAAGAGATGGAGGACCTACATTAACTTGCCATTCAGGTTGACTGGAGATCGTGGGAAACCGAAGTGTGGCTGAAGGCCAGTTGAACTGATCCCTAAAGTGTTCTGCCCATCGATCCAATCTCCTGGATTGAGAATGTATAATGTGTCCATCTTTCTCCGAGAGTGTTTTGCTAACAGTCGGGTTCCTAATACCAGTTTCCTTAACAAGTCTGAACAATTGTCTGCTATTACCTAATGCCGCTGCCTTTTCTATCTCTCTTGCTTTCGCTACCCACCACTGTTCACGATCATTGCGTAGACTTCTTGTCAGCTTGCGCCTACGCTGACTCCGCTCTTCGTTATGTTCAGAGCTAGGTAGAATGAGTTTCCGAGCATCTATCAGTGCGATAACGTATAAAGTAATAGGAATACTACTGTAGTGAACGAGAACAGGACAGTCAAATGTATTTTAACATAAAGTTACCGAATCTCTTAGTAAAATTTCAGAACCATACACTAAATACTTCATTTGCAAAATGTCAATCAATTATCTTAGACTTAATTGTTCCTTCGTGTCCACGCCAATCATTCTGTTCTCGCTTTCTTTTCTTTGATCTTCTTAAACGTCCGCCTCCAGGCATTTTGCTTTCAATTGATGATGCATAATACTTATATCTGTCGACATCAGTAGCACACACCATACTATTGTATAACTAAGACAGTAAGATGTACACAGTGTAATATCATCATAGTATTTTTTATAACTTCCATAAATAAACTTTAGTTTGATGGTAAACACTAATGTATGTAACGTCAAATTAAATTTAATCGTCTGAAATTTCATGTTTTAATGGTTTATATAGTAAGCTCCACTCAAGATGAGAAAAATCTACAACATAAATCAGTCGAAGTAGAAAACGAGAGAGAAATCCATGCTGAAAAACCCATATTTATTCCAAGTAAGTTGTTTACTGCTAACTTTCTTTACTTTAGCTCGTTTTTGTTAAAGTGGAATGATTGTTTTTTGTGCAAAAGGGGCGATAGGTCTTTACTGACTAAATAGGACGAACCGAAATTGTTGTGTAAAAGCTAGAAAAGTTACCTGGCTAGTTTTGTCTTCAGTACGTTTAACGCTTACCGGACCACTGAACTTCGCTTGACCAACGACGCCATTTAACCGACAACAAAAATCTTTGAGCAGCGATCGCTAGAAGTTTTATTCTTGTTGGTTTAAGACGCAGCACTAATCTTAGTATTGTTCGTATAGGTTTATTCTTATTCGATTTAGCTCTGCTTAAACTTCTGACTATCTTGGTGATTATATCCGCTTCTTCAGAGTTCTTGGTTACTTTTTAGTTTATAGACCAGTTGAGATATTTAATACCATGAAATAGTCGTTCCAACTTTTTGTTACCCATTACCTCCTGAACAGTGTCATATCCATCTCATCGTCGACCTTTATTGCAAAGGCAGCTAATGCACCAAAGAATACTAAGCTTTGCTACATATTCTTGGTTAAAAGTGCATATTCATTCCTCCAGTCCCATAAACGATAAACAATTCTTGGTGGGTACTAATGCTTCTTAATGACTAAAAATTCATTACATGGAGTCCGCTTGAGCGAAAGGTACGTTGGATAAAATAGCTGTCTTTAATTTTCTGATATATTGGTATCAGATGTTAGTTCGCATCGTCAACATTTTCTTAATCTTCCACTTTAAGTGCTATCAAGCCTCCCTTGGACTCCTCCGCTCTACTTACATTTGAATGTTCAAGTTGAGAGATTTTTTCACAAGTTTAAGATATCACTGATCAAGGCAGATGGGAAAAATGAAGGGAGGAAATAATATAAACATTTCTAGTAACCTATCGTGAAACACTCAATTCTGTATTGAAAAACCTTCAGACATAATACTCGTAGCAGGTGACTTTAATGCCCAGATAGGTAGGTTAAACCAAACAGAAAGGCATTTAGGTGGGTATATTAGTATTCCGGCACAACGAACAGATAATGGCGATCGTCTGCTGCAACTGTGCTCAGACAGTCGTTTATTTTTAGCAAACAAATTTTAAGCATAAGAAGAGACATCGTCTAACATGGCGACCCCCTACACCAAACCAACGATGGACTCAAATAGACCATATTGCCATCAGTCATCGTTGGAGAGGGTCGGTAGAAGATTGTCGCTCATTCTGGAGTACCTGCTTGGTCTTCGACCACGCCCTAATACGGGTGCGCATCTGCTTGCGCCTCACTGGGTGCAAAAAAGCCACAGTAAAAAGACCCATTAGAACTGAATTGAGTAGCAAGAAAACCAAAAGTAGGTTCCAGGAACAACTGAGGTCACACTTAGGTAGTTCTGAAGACGAGGCTGACCCACATGTTGCTTGGAAAGCCATACAAACAGCTGTGGAAACAGCAGTGACATCTATCAGTGATTTAAACCACAGAGTTACAAAGAACCAATGGATTTCCTCTAGGTTTATTGCACTGATGGATCCTCGTAAACTCATCCCATCAGGCTCTGAACACGATGAAGAGCGAAAACAAATCAGATATAGGTTCAGAAAAAGTCTAAGGAACGACCGTGAGCAGTGGTGGGTAACGAAAGCAAAAGAGATGGAAAAGACGGCGACTATAAGGAACACAAGACAGCTTTACAGACTAACAAAAGAAACTGGAATTATTAAGTCAAGTGTAAGTGAGATTATTTCGGAAAAAGACGACACCCTCATCTGCTCTCAGTCCAGACGTTCAGAACAATCGACGGAACGTTTTAGAGAACAGTTCAGCTGGCCTTCAGCTACTCTACAACTACCCTCCATTCCTAGACAGTGTGAAAGGAACATTGAAGTAGGTCCCCCAACTGTAGCAGAAGTTCAAAAGGCTATAGTTAATCTGAAACGAGGAAGGGCAGCTGGTCCAGATGGTTTGGCTCCAGAAGTCTTTAAGGATGGTGGTCCATCTGACTGGTCATAATCACTTATCGTCCCAATATATAAAAAAGGGTCAAAATCATCCTGTGACAACCACAGAGGGATTAGTTTAACAAATATAGTATCTAAAATACTAGCCTCGATAATTATCAAACGCCTAACTAAGACTCGTGAACTGCAAACACGAGAGAACCAAGCTGGCTTCAGACCTGGTCGTGGCTGCACCGACCACATATTCACCATTCATCAGGTTCTACAACACAGGCATACTTATCGGGGTCCGACAATGGTGGTCTTTCTTGACTTAAAAGCAGCATTTGACTCTGTAGACCGCGAGATTCTGTGGCAGTGTCTGTCATTGGAAGGCGTTCCCCAGAAGTACATAAACCTTGTAAAGGCTCTTTACTCGAACACTACTAGTTGAGTCAGGGCTTTTGGCGAACTGTCATCTGCTTTTGCAACATCAAGTGGTGTCCGTCAAGGCTGTTCACTTTCTCCATTTCTGTTTAACTTCATCATAGACCTATAGATGGAAATAACATTCTTGTCTACTGAATTCTCGGGTATTGATCTCCTACCAGGAGGTCCACTTATCGACTTAGAATACGCAGATGACATAGTCGTGTTTGGTGAAGATGCTGATAGAATGCAGAGTCTTTTGGTAGCACTGAGCAACAATGCCAGAATGTTTGGAATGCGCTTCTCTCCCTCTAAATGCAAGTTGTTGCTTCAGGACTGGTCTGCGTCAACACCTGAACTAAGGATAGGGAGTGAAGTAGTCGAACGCGTTGACAACTTCACTTATCTTGGAAGTCTGATCAACCCTAATGGGTTAGTATCGGACGAAATCTCTGCACGGATTCGAAAAGCTCGTTTGGCTTTTGCCAACTTACGTCACCTTTGGCGAAGGCGAGATATCCGTCTATCAATAAAAGGATGAGCATACTGCGCGGCAGTCCATTCTGTTTTAATTTACGGCAGCGAAACATGGCCATTAAGAGTAGAAGACACTCGTAAGCTACTAGTATTTGACCACAGATTCCTCAGAGATATTGCTGGCGTCTGCTGGGATCACCGGGTAAGTAATGATGAGGTTCGACGCAGGGTATTAGGGAAGGATGGTAAATCAGTTGATGAGGTTGTGAACTTTCATCGACTGAGATGGTTGGGCCACGTGTTACGTATGCCCGAACACCGATTACCACGACGTGCAATGCTAACCGGTGTTCGGGATGGTTGGAAGAAAGTAAGGGGCGGCCAAACCAAAACGTGGCATCAGTGCTTGAAGTCACTAACTTCTAGTCTGAGCAATGTTGGGAGATGCAGACTACTTGGTTGGGGTCCGCGTGACTGTCGTAACCAATGGTTGGAGACTCTTGGTGACATGGCTCAGAATCGATCACAATGGCGTCGGTGTATACACTCTCTATCTTCCCTTAAACTAAGAGATTAAAACCACCTCATATCTTTCTTTCTACTGACTAATTCTTTCTTCCTGTACTATATCCTTATTGCAATCTTTCTTTTATATATTACCACATCTGAATTAACTACTTTTATGAATCCGGTGTTCATCTTGTTGTGTTAATGAGCTATGGCAACTTGGACTGATGCATAAATATGCCTGGTCCTACGTTGTAGCTGACTGACTGACCGACTGTATTGAAAACCATGTCAGCTCAGCAGAAGCAATATTCTGAAGGAAAATTATAATACCCATAGAACGAATAAAACCTATTCCAAAACCAGTCCTAATCTGGATTAAAAAAAAGCGAATTCCAACAAAATAATTAATATACCCCACCTTTAATTTCCACTTTCATGGTATTATGTTTTAGATCTACCAGACGTTAGTATTCTGTAGTAAATGTTTGCAGCGTCATGTCATTATCTTTTTCATTGAGAAATAGCAATGGCCTACAAAAATCAGCATTGGCAGGTAACTGTAGTTTGGAAACAAGTGATAAACATTTAAAATGATCATTAGATAGTGCTCGACTAGTAAATTAACTTTCCAAGCGTATGTAAAGTAGTCTTCATCTGCTTTCTTCGTTAGTTGGAGATAATTATGGTGAATATGGGATGAATATGACTGTTCGTCAAAAATTTCGATAGTCTCACCAAAGCTCAGTTCAAGGAGGTATATTTTGGTAAAATATGATTCTTGAAATTTTTAATGCTTATTGGAACCAAGTTTTTTTAAGTAATAAAACCTTTCTAACTTCTTCCATAGCAGTATGTTTTACCCTAATATGAAATATTCTGCCGAATCAAGATTCAAATGTATTTTTACTTTCTGCACTAAAACAGTTTTGTATTTAACTTAGACGTCATTCTATTCGTTTTTGATCTGGTACCATTAAGGTTTGAATAGAGAACTTCGTCGACCAGTTATGCCCACCAATCCTCTGATATATCTTTCTATGTCTAACTTGCATTTTTTGCACACATGTATTAGAAATTTTTCGATTTAAGCTTTGGTTTTTGTCTAGATATATGATAAATATGTGTATTGCAGGTGATCTAAATCCAACGTTCAACTAGTAAGATTGCCAGGAACTATTCCGTACACAAATATGTAACTCTGTCTCTGTAGTTTGTGTTTTTTAGTTCCTAGTCACCAAGTTATACGTTTAAACGTAAGTTTGCTCATCTCATGTAACCTGTTTACAATAAGTATGAGCAACGGCTTAGTCACTAAACCTTTATACTGTTGCCCTTGCTACTACTACTGGCACTAATAACAATGATATTATTATTATTGTTATTATTATTACTATTAGTAGTAGTCGTCGTAGTAAAAGTAGCATTAGTATTACCGACTCATTCATAATTAAAGCATTATTCTGAATACCATATTAGTGTGAATGTAGGACACAAACTTATGTTTACCTTTTCAATATCGGTTTATTTACTCTTTGTGTTTTAACAATCAATTAGTTATCCATTTGCAATTTTTCTGGTCTGATTTCATACAAATGAATATTATCTGTAATCTAGTATTTCTTTCATCATGAAACCATATAACATCAGTTCAAAATACTTTATTAAGATTTTTACACATTTATTTACATTGTATCCTACTTATCATATTATTGTTGATTTTCTATCAAACCCTATGAAAAAATCAATAAGTTACCATTCAAATTATTGGGTATCTATGCAGGGGGTAGTTTATTGATTAAATTTTCACGTTAGAATTTCTTGTATTAATTGTTTAAAGTAATATGTCATGTGAGTGATTTGATGTTAATTTGCGTAATCTACTGTCAAGTTAAAGTAAATTCTAATTTTATTTGTTCAACAAATAATAGTAGTAACAGCGGTTTAATGATTAAATAACATTAAAGAAATACAAACTCTTAAGTAAGAACTTTTGTGATATTTTTCCTTATGATTTGAAGTCAGTTGAATAACCCACTTAAAATGAAGAAAACACTAAAGTGTCGTTTGATCTTGGACACCGTTTAGTAACTTGCACCTACAATCAGTCTCATCAAGGATCGAACTCAAGTTGTTCAAGGCTTGTTGATTTTTATAACGATTTGTATTTCCTGATTTCAGTCTATTCGTGATGTAACATAATTGTTCTGTACCCCCTTTAAGTCGCTATATTATTCCTAACTTGGTAAATTTCAAAGGTGATGAATCTCTACTAAAACGAGGAGAAATTCATCTCGGACAATTAATTAGTGAGCATACTGTGCTGTTTTGAGAATTATGTCTACTTTGCAAATAATTGTTTTTATGAGCTGAGATCAAATGGAGAATCATTTACCTATCAAAGGAACTTATATACAAAGTAGTTTTACCATAATATCTGTAGATTATTTCATCTATTTGTTGTCCGTTATGTTTCCATGAAATCGTTTTCTTTGGAAAGTAATCTCTCGATATCATGGTGTATAATAAAACTTTAGAAATGAAAGCAAATAACCTATTTTGGAACTTTGTATAATTGTCTAAATGTTTGTCATATTATTAATTTTAGTGAACTCAGAACTAGTTCAGTAGGATACTATTTAAAATTTTAGACATATGGCAGAATTCTGACGAAGTTTGTATATTACCGAGCTGTCAATTGGCACTGTACGCCCAATAGTACAGTAACAATATAGATATTTTGTTTTTCCATGATATCTAATTAAATCTAAAAAAATTTTCGAGCAACTTAAACACACACATTTGCGTATATTTTAATAGATTTGCGATTGTCATTTGTCTGAAATTATGGAGTAGTGGTTTATTGGTTAGGAGGTTTGATTTTCAACCACAGTCCTAGGTTTAAACTGCTTTCCACCTACTTTAGTTTGGGCGTCTGAATATTATCATTAACCCTTACATTACTTTAGCCCATACCCAAGTACCTAATGAATGAATTAAGTTTTTTATTTCATTTTTTGCACTACTATCAAATGTTGTTATTGTTCTCACTATCCGTGACGCGATGATGCGGAAAATACCTTTACGATTCAGCCATCGATCTTCCCATAGACAAATTAATTTTTATAGTACCTATATCTACCACTATTGGATTATGTCACTGGATAATACTTGATTCTGTGTATTCCTTTTTCTTTGTATACTTGCACTTCATTACTGAGTTATGCTATTTATTATGGCTTATTCATTTCAGAGCTTTTATTTTGGTGCCCTAATCTTTTTGGTGATACAGTGGTGGGAAGTCGGGATGAGATTGAACAAGCTATCCAAAATTATCTTTTATCTGGTTCCGTTTGTAATACTAATGAGGCCATAGTGCTAATGGTTATCAGAGGAATAGAGAAAAGTAAACTTCCGTCATCTTCAAATATCCCATTGTCAGAATTACCGTCTCTTAGTGAAATTAAACAGAATCGTAAACACAATATCGTTAGAATTTTACAAAATTTAATTAGTGCACCGGAAAATCCAGTTTATCGACGTCTGCGTGCATCAAATAAATTGATACAGGATCTTTTGTCTATCGATGGATTAGAATCTTTTCTCACAGTAATTGATTATTTTTATACATACAATTATTGTTTTTATTTTATAATGCTTTTGATAGGTATTTTGTAATGGATTGATTATGTAATCGTTTGAAAGGATTGCATTCTAGAATTCTATGTTGTTTTGGGTATGAAATCTAATTGCTATTTAGAGTTAAAATACCTTTGAAGAATTACGTCAGTAACTTGCTTATTAAGTCCCTAGGTTTTTGTACTTGATTTTGAGCCACTAAGCTAAGTGCAAAACGATTTGAACCTGTAATATATTGAATAAAAGTAAAACTTTCTAAGCAATAAACTCAGCGTTTCATCCGAAATTTCTATGCTATATCGACTAATTTAAAAATTTTCTCTTTATAAGCGAGCCGACTCGATATATTTTTCTTGTCATAAGTTCATATAAAATGTCTGTAATAATTCAGTATATGTTGTTACATTGCATCATTCAAATTATTCTATGCACAAATGCCCTGGTACGGCTGTGAGTAGGGAGAGTCAGCTCTTCCACTCGAAATTCTCTCATATGGCCACGTGAACGCAACCACTGCCACGAAAGTCCTACTCACTGCCTTCTTGCGGCGCGGGTGTCGTTTACAAAATGGAGAGAACGAAAAGCAAATGTCCGGTGCTTTAACCGGCTGGTGGACACAGAGAGTCCACCTAGGTGAGTTGGAAAACCCTGATTCCCAAACCAATGTTGTACATGGGCTCCAGGATTTTGAGGGAACAAATAGCGTATGAACCAATTATTGGTCACTGGCTACCATGGTACTGCATCTCCTTACTTTGCTCCACTGTTTTGTGGATCAGACCTTTAGGTTGAAGGCTACAGGTGTGGCACCTAAGAAAACCACCTGCTTCGGTTTGAGCACCAGGGCAGTATCACAGCCCACACACAAATCAAGTGACTTATGTGGTGCATATATATTCTGTGCTCCTTTGTACCAATATTTATGTGTTCAAATAAATAAATAAAGGAAATTATACACAAAAAATTGTGACTTTGAATTATACTGTTCTAGATAAAGCTATAACCAGAAACGTATTTATAAAACTGTCTTGTTAGTTGTCACACTATTCTTCATTAAATTTATAGATATATCTTCCTAATATTGTACTACTGATGATTATTTATTTTATTCATGCATTACTGAATGTTTATTTTTCTTTCTACAAATAATTTTTTCTTGTGTAAATCGGAATACAGTTATGTAATTTTAAAAAGATGATGTTACCTGCTACACGTCCTAGTGGGCAACAACAAGTCGAAGGTGATGATGAAAAACCAACCGTGGGGAATAACGAAGATGCAGTTGAAGAGTACAAGGAGGCTTTCTATGTAATATCAGAAGAAGATGCTAACAAAAGAGAGCATTTAGAAAAACTGTTGAATCTATTTACCATAGCTGATCCTATTCTACCTGAATTATATCGTAATACCAAAGTGTATCGAGTGAGTTGTAGTTTATTTTTTTCCGTGTGTTTGGGTATATATCATAAACGCTGTTTAAATACCCTTTCACGATCTAGTGCTTTCGTTTGACTGAGTTTAACCAACTTGTTCATATTCTGTAATTCATTTAGCAAGTAGATATTAATGTATTCAGCTTTGAGCTACATCGTTCACGTGACAACTACTAGTGGTACACTAACCAGCTGGGTAAACCTGAAATAGGAAGTGTGTGTAAGAAACAGACTTATTGATTGAGAAACTAGTGATTCAAACATTAGCACACTACTAATAAACTAAATTTAATTCATTTCAATGTTTCTAGCTTAACTATTACAAACAAATAGAAATAACACGCAAAATAAATGTTCTTCTTTGCTAGTTAACTACCTATGATTATCTAGGTGGATCTGATTGTATTGTTGTTTTGTTATACTCATTCATGTCAATCTATATTATTTCAATTGGATTCATTATGTAATTAACACATGACGCGTATCGTCAAGTTTACAAAACTTATGATTCTCTACCTAATTATCTTTCCAATTATTAATTCTTCATTAGAAAGTTACTGATAAGTCTTGCTAATTGAACGCTATATTCGGTTCCTAAGCTATTCTCGTAACCCCCAAGCCAGAACTATACAGCAACCTGAACACAAGAGAAAAGGCGCAAAATATACGAGAAGTACTTTACTCCGAAGGTTCGTTTTATTACAGAAAATATAGGGGGTTTTATAGTATTTTAGATGTCCTTGGGTTTCCCGAAAATTCTGGAATGCTACTAAACATAGTAGCAGTATATTAATCAGCCAATCAGAAATTCAACATGTGACTTCATTTTCTTGGTGTTTCTGGCTAAGCTTCAAATGAACGCTGATTGGATAAAATGATTCTTAGTGTTTCCTGAGCCTTTCTTGTCTTTTGCGAGAAGTTTTCTGGATCACCCCAACAGTTACACATTCAACTGTATTACTCTGTTTTAAATCTGATGCACTGGTCTCAATACCTTATAAACCCTACATTAATTAGGGCATATAGACTGAGTGCTTATTGCATTACTGATACGAGATTAATACAACAGTCAGAAGACCTAATGAAATTCCAAGTCGTCAACACTCTGATGGTTACTTAACACAACGTACGATAAGAGTATGGGAGATTGACTTTTTACAAGAATGGTTTAATTATCCCTATGATTGGCTAGTATTATCGGATATGACTATGTTTTAATGAATTTATTTGTAACTTATTACCAGGCTACTGGTCGTACTCTGACGTGTATTCCGCGTGATCATCTTCCTGATGAGTTTTTCTCCCTAACAAAGGAAGAATTTCGTAAATGTTACGATCATCAACATCGAATTATAGAAGAAGGTCGTATGTTACTTACTAAAGCTATGAGAGAACGATTAAAAACGCAACATATGAAATCGTTTCGTTACGCTGTTATTCGTGTTCGGTTCCCGGACAACCTTCTTCTTCAGGTTTGTGCTTCTCCTTTTTTATTGAATTGTGTCTATTTAGTCAGTTATAGTTAACGTTACATGTTACAGTCGTTTCTCTAAAAACATTTTGTCCACAGTCTTTAATCGTAATGTACTAATTTTCACGCTTCATCGTAAACAATCTGTAGATCTCTGATTTGTGCATAGTGCAGAAAAGAAAACATGAGATGTCAATTATGGTAAATAACTATATCTAATACATCCATAAAAACCATATGGTTCGTTTATCACTTATTGTCGATGTTTGGCAACTGAATCATCTCAAATTGTTTGGATTGAGAACTGACTGTTCACTTATAGGATAATTTAATTAATAGTCAGCAGTGCATCTGTCTATCATATGAGTTAAAAGTTTTCTTTTTGCTACTTTGAGGTTATCGAAAATTGCTTTGAAGATATACGAAAGTTTCTGGTATTTAATGATAGGTCTCTTCAAAGCACAACAAAGCGTGGTGTTACCACTCAGTAAGCAATCCCAAAGGCAGTTGTATCTTACTTACTTACGCCTGTTACTCCTAATGGAGCATAGGCCGCTGACCAGCATTCTCCAACCCACTCTGTCCTGGGCCTTCTTTTCTATTTCCATCCAGTTCTTGTTCATTTTTCTCATGTCTACTTCCATTTCCCGGCGTAATGTGTTCTTTGGTCTTCCTCTCCTCCTTTGGCCTTGAGGATTCCATGTGAGGGCTTGTCTTGTGACGCAATTGAGTGCTTTCCCCAATGTATGTCCTATCCACTTCCAGCGCTTCTTCCTGATTTCTTCCTCCGCTGGGATCTGGTTTGTTCTCTCCCACAGTTGATTGTTGTTAATAGTGTCCGGCCAACGGATTCGAAGTATTTTGCGTAAACAACTGTTAATAAACACCTGTATTTTCTGGATGATTGCTTTCGTAGTTCTCTAGGTTTCCGCCCCATACAGTAGAACTGTCTTGACATTTGTATTGAAAATCCTGACCTTGGTGTTGGTTGACAGTTGCTTTGAATTCCAGACGTTCCTCAGTTGTAAATATGCTGCTCTTGCTTTGCCGATCCGCGCCTTCACATCTGCATCAGATCCACCTTGTTCATCAATGATGCTGCCCAGATATGTAAAGGTTTTTACATCTTCTAAATCGTCTCCGTCAATTTTGATTAGATTGGTGCATGCTGTGTTGTATCAGATAATCTGGCTCTTTCCTTTGTGTATATTGAGACCTACTGCTGCTGAGGCTGCCGCTACACTGTTTGTCTTCTCCTGCATTTGTTGTTTCGTTTGGGATAGAAGGGCCAGATCATCTGCGAAGTCTAGATCGCCCAACTGCATCCTAGATGTCCATTGTATCCCGTTCTTCCCTTCAGATGTTGACGTCTTCATGATCCAGTCGATCACCAGGAGAAAGAGAAAGGGTGAGAGTAAGCAGCCTAGCCTGACACCGGTCTTTATTTCGAACGACTTTGTCAACTGTCCTCCATGCACGATTTTGCAGTGTAATCCATCATATGAATCCTGTATGATATTGACTATCTTCTGAGGCATGCCGTAGTGTCGAAGAAGCTTCCATAGTGTTGTCCTGTCCACGCTGTCAAATGCTTTCCCGTAGTCAATGAAGTTGATGCAGAGTGATGAATTCCATTCAATTGATTGTTGTACAATGATCCATAGAGTTGCGATTTGGTCTGTACACGATCTATGCTTACGGAATCCTGCCTGTTGGTCACGAATTTAGGCGTCTACGCAGTCCTTCATCCTGTTTAACAATACTCTGTTGAAGACTTTTCCCGGTATTGAGAGAAGAGTGATGCCCCTGTAGTTACCACAGTTGCTAAGATCGCCTTTCTTCGGTATTTTGATCAGGCGTCCTTCTTTCCAATCTTTTGGTACTTGTTCCTCATCTCAAATCTTATTGAAGAGAATGTGGAGTATCCTTGCAGTTACCGCTACCTCTGCTTTTAGTGCCTCTGCTGGAATGTTGTCTGGTCCTACTGCTTTGCCACTCTTGATTTGCATGATGGCCATGCTGATTTCTTCAATTGTTGGTGGGCCACCATCGATTGGGAGGTCCGTGGGTGCTGTTTCAATGTTGGGTGGGTTCAGGTGGGCTGGTCGATTCAAGAGTTCTTTAAAGTAATCTACCCACCTGTTTCGTTGCTCTTCAATGTTGGTGATTACCTCGCCTTCCTTGCTTTTCACTGGTCGTTCTGGTTTGCGGCGATTTCCAGAGAGTTTCTTTGTTATGTCATACAGTTGTTTCATGTTTCCTCTTGCAGCCTTTTCCGCCGTCGTTGCTAAATCTTCCACATATTTACGTTTATCGGTTCTGATGCTCCTCTTCACTTGTTTGTTTACTTCTGTGTATTCAGCTTCTGCCCTGACTTTTTCTGCTCTTGTTCGGCTGGTATTGATTGCTGCCTTCTTGCTTCTCCTTTCTTGAATCTTATCCAGTGTATCAACAGTGATCCATTCCTTGTGATGGTGCTTCTTGTGAGACAGGACCTCATGACATGTTGAAGTGATTGCCTTTTTGATCCCCTTCCAGTTGCTCTCCACAGTAGTTCCTTCTCCATTGAGATCATGAAAAGCCTGGAAATTGTTGCTGAGGACTATCTTGAATTTGTTGAGCTTGTTAGTATCCTGAAGAAAGACCGTATTGAACATTTGTGATATTGTCCGCCCCATTGTCCAGTGCTTTTTGAGTTTCAATTTCATCTTGGCGACCAGCAGGTGATGATCTGATGCTATATCAGCTCCTCTCTTGGTTCTCACGTCCTCTATAGTCCTCCTGAACGTTTTGTTGATGCACATATGGTCGATTTGATTTTGTGTAGTGTGATCCGGTGAAGTCCATGTGGTTTTGTGTATGAGTTTATGTGGGAATATGGTGCCGCCTATGACCAGTTTATTGAAGACACATAGGTTTGCGAATCTCTCACCATTTTCGTTCCTTTCTCCCAGTACTTGTTGTCCCATGATGTCCTCATATCCAGTGTTGTCCGTTCCAACCTTGGCATTGAAGTCTCCCATCAGAATGGTCAAGTCCTTTGTTGGGCATTTCTCGACGATTGACTGCAGTCTATTGTAGAATTGATCTTTAGCGTCTTCATTGTAGTCGCATAGCATTGGATAACGTTCATTGTAATGCCCTCTTTCTTTGTTTTGAAGGAGGCTTTGATGATCCTTGGTCCATGAGATTCCCATCCTATAAGTGCATTTTGTGCTTGTTTTGGCAGTATCAATGCAACTCCTTGTGTGTGTGGGGCATTTTTTTCTTCATGGCCGGAGTATAACAGGAGTTCTCCTGAAGTTAGTCGTTGTTGTCCAACTTGCGTCCAATGTGTTTCACTGACCCAAAGTACCTCTAGGTTGTATCTTCTCATTTCTGCAGCAATTTGGAAGGCTCTCCCGGTGTCTCACATTGTACGAACATTCCATGTACCTAAATAAATGATTGCTCTGGTTGTCACGTTGTTATTATTAATTCAGTTGGAGAAGGGCAGGTGTGTCACAATATTAGTCTAGAATGATATTTATCATAATCATCCACCTACAAAACAGTAAGGTCGTTTTCGCAAGCTTAAAGATAAGTCGTCGATCACGATCATGATTGATTATATCGGTCAACAAAGTTTCAATCAATCATTGGATTTCTTTCGAACTTTTCGCATTCTTCACATAATTATGCACTGAATTTCCAGTGATACATCATTATGTAAAAAAGCATTTTACATTGTAGGTGTCATTACCAAGGTTTGACTTGATAATTTCGAATAAATTGAGCATTGGGTAGGTTGTTATAAATAAATTAATTAATATATTTGTAATATCCCAATGAGTAGAAAAATTGAGTTTTCTGACGCTTTGTGACTTAATGTAAGCCACTCCTTCAGAGAATAAATAACCAAACCAAAATTAATCTAAGTTTTATTCATTTTATATTATTCTCCGTGCTAACATTTTGCATATGCTTAATAAGAATTTTTGTTGTTACTTTTCAGGGTACATTTTATGCTATGGATAAAGTTTCAACTGTTCGACAATGGATTTCTGAATGTTTAGCTAAGCCTTATTTATTTCGATTATATGCCCCACCAAGCATTCAAATAGCCACACTTACGAATGCGCCTCCGACGGTGCCTGTTGAATTAACCGATGATAATCTTAGTTTAAGCGAAGTAGGTTTAGCACCTTCCAGTTTAATCAATTTGATTTTCATTGATCGTATACAACAAGAAGCATCTGGGACTAGCGTTTTACGCTTTGATTTAAATCAATCGGTTGAAGACATTTAGAGTATTTTCGTCATCTATATTCCTTCTGTTTCTTTATTCCACATCTGCTTATTACTTTATACAAGAGAGAGGATAATTATTTAAATGCTCCTTGTTTTTGCTATTTCACATTGTGTTGTCAACTACTTATTCAGGGACTTACAAAATACCTTACCAAATATGCATATATATATATATATATATATATATATATATATATATATATATATATATATATATATCACCTGTTTAAACTGTGATATTCATCCATCAAAAAGTTTACTATTTTTTATTGAAAACTTTTTCCTATACCCAGCTAGGCATTTGGTTTGTGTGCGTATTTATGTAATTGTTTGTTCATTCATTATTACTTCAAGATTATCTTAAACTTTTTTATGTGTCGCTATGACGATGAATTAGTCCCATTCAATAGAATGTAAGATATAATTCTCATCTCACTAACATCATAAGAGAAATAATTGTCTTGAAATATCTACTTTTTAAGTATCATTTGAATTGATATTGATCATTTTTAACTCGAAGCAGTGTATATATCATCCCGTTACTGTTGTTTCAGTCAGTCACAACGTAGAACCTGGTACGTGTTTACATCGGCTCGATTTGCCAGACTCCTTTAGTACGGAGATGAAATTAATCCAAATCCCAGAGTAGTAGAGGTGGTAGTACAAAATATTAGGCATCGAAGGTATGATTCAAGAAATTATAAATTAGTGGAATTAAAGCCAGAAAAATTATAATGAATTCAAAAGCTTTGGATTTCGGGAAGGCAAAGAATGGATGCACCTGCACCATTGCAAACGATTTTGAGCCATTTCATTCAAATTATTATTGCTTACTGACACTCACTAATGATGCATACTTCGAACCTTCTAAACGGTCATTTCCGCAATATTAGGAAACACAGTTTTGGCAAATACATAATTCTTGGTAATTTATTGTCAAAGTCCCAGCTAACACTTAACATTGGTTGCTTATTAATTGGGGGTAATCAACCTGAAGCCTGGTATCAAATCGCTGTTACTTTCTCATTTGTGTCAACAATCTTAAAGAAACTAATTCTCCGAACAAGTATTAGTCATTTGTCAGTTGGAGACAATGAGGCTGAGGCATTCAGTCCGTAACTAATTTATTTACGACGTATTTACAGTAAATGATCGCTCAGTAGTAACCTACATCGTGATTTCTAATCCTTAGTACTAACTAGATTCTGTTGATCGAGTTTCAATATGAAATTCTGGTTAATGAACTTTATCGATGGTTTAAGCACCAATTTTTCAGGATTGTCGATGAATTGTGAAGTTGAGAGTGGTTGTGTTAAGGAATCTGTTTGTCATTTTCTAGTTGACCTATTGTGGTTCGTCAAATGCGGAATAATTCATCTGATTTTTATATACCACTGATTATTTAACTACTCGGACGTATGACCAGATAACTTAGTTAACGAGTCAGCCAGCAACTCCCTTCGTGGTTTGGAAAAAATTAATACACAGATGTGTTTTTTAATTGTACTCGATCGATAGTAGACTTATATTAGGTAGAATCAAGGGATTCATACTGATTTATCAAATAGTGATAACTAAAAGTAGTAAATTAATTAATTAGATGCCTTCCATAGGTGTATGTAATTACCATCTCAAAATTAAACTCAAACTGTGCAAAAATCTACATTATTTCATTTAACATACAGATAGACTACTAATAAGTATAAGAATATTTAATGACTGATTTCTTTGAATACGTTGTAAATAGTATTGTTTATTACAGGAAAGAAATCTTTCTATGTTATTACTACTACTATTATTGTTGTTTTGAATTTCTACACATCTACTCCCACACCTTGATTAACATGTTATAGAATACATTTTTTTTATAAGAAATGAGACATATCTACTCCTTTTGTACAAATGTTGTTTATTGTTCAACTGAACACAAAAACATTTACATTTTTTCAACTGTTTCAATTCCAAGTATATCAAATCCACATTTCATTACTCGAGCAGTAGCTTCACATAATACAATACGTTCTTTATTAATTTGAACATCACCTAAAATGAATGAATAACGATCCATATTACAAACAGTAAAATGCAACATGTTAAAAAGTGAATGAATTATTCCAAAATAATGCAATAAGGATAAAGAATATGTTTTTTTTAGAAAATCTTTTCGCTGGTATGATATCGTGTATTGACGTTAAACTAGTTTTAAATGAAATAATGGCCACAATTTCAGTTCAGAAGGAATGATCTGATGGAACGACCAATCCAATTCAAGGTCGAACGAATAAGCTGTTAGTCAGTTGTGGATGAATTTTGGAGTTATATACTGCTGTTATGTAGAAAGACATTGAAAGCTTCACGATTAAACCAATCAGTTAAAACAGTAATTTCGACAAAAATCATAGTTCATTACCTTAATTTTGATTTTACTCATAGTCAATTGTTATAATTAGTATTTCTGGTTTATTATCCTGCATACACACTACTAATTAAAAGCATCTGGATATTACTGTACGATAAATTACAAATTAGGCACTAATTTTTACGAATTAAATTCACTGTAAAATGTAGATGAGTAAAATAAAACCACTATGTACTTCAATCATTAGTTACTAATATTATTAACAACAGAAAACAAATAAAAATAGGACATCTAATCATGTAACAGTACGAATATAATGCGGTCAACTGAAAAAATGATTAACTTCATTGAAGAAGTAGACAAATATACTTACCGGTCTCTTGATTCCGTTCAATACAGTAACATGCATCGTAAAAGTTTGTAAAGTCACAACTCACTTCGTACAAATAATCGCATAGGCTATGCAATAGGAAGTCATTTTGAATTTTTAGTAAAATATCTGGTAGACGACATAATGCTTTGGCTAATGTCAACTCCATAGGATGTTCAAATTTCAGCGGTACTGTTTCACTAATTTCATTGATTGTTCTTTCAGAATAACCTGCATTTCTTATAATTGATCTGTAAAATAAAACCGTATAAGATAAAATAATCATAGAATTGGCTTGTATGAAGTTAGTGCATTTTTTGGATAATTTAGAGCTTAGATAAAAATATACAGTGATATTTCAATAGGACGATAACTCTATTGTTTTCGAAAAAAAAATCATTTTGAAATCAACGAGTCACATCAGTGATAAACATTTTTAAATGGAAATAAATATCACCAGTTTTGTATGTGGAACGAAATATTAGTAATGTTATCTAATACCAAAAGTTGCCCTCTAAACGTATCAAAATGGATCGAAACAATACTGTATTAGCTTCTTTTTAACAATCATAACACTACTAAAATAAACATTTGGTGTTGGAGTGAAAAACAAGTAATTCTATGCAAAAAAATATAGTCAAGGCAGTATTTCCTCAGTCAGCAACCTTTGTAATAATAATCTTACTACATGATCAGGTTTTTTCCTAAATGTTGCGCTATTGTATGCCATAGCCGTCTGCCAAACAAATTCAACCAGATTGCATCATGTTTAATTGGAAAAGTATCTTAACTGCCGAATAGAAGCTACATTGATTTTACGACATTACTCCTACTTAAAATACAATTCAACAGGATGTACTTTAAAAAAATTAGGTAGTAATAAATATCTTACGCATTTTTATGGTACACACTACTGAGGGCTCAGACAAAAAAGATAGACTCTGATAAGATCGAGCATTAATGGGTGGTGACCATCAAAAGATCGCATATTGATAGAGGTGATCAGTGAAAAGGGTAATAACATTCTTGATGCTGTGAAACATGTTCGATTTACCCTCGGTCCCTTGACCTTACGACTAATCAAAAACAGCTTGTTGTGCTAATGAGGCGCAGCGACTGAGACTGATATATATGACTGGTCCTACGTTGTAGCTGATTGACTGGATCAAAAGCGTACTATGAAGAGTCTACTTTTAACAAACACTATAATTTTTCGAATTCGGTAACAAGTTCTTATTGGCCTAATCATTTTATCACGTACGTCTATTTAGAATAGCTAGTTTATAACCTATTAAAACTGGTATTTGTGTTGAATTCCCTACCGAACAAGAGATTATTAGACAATTTTAGGTAACCGGAAATATCATGTAATTATATATAAGATAAATTTGTATCGAAATAAAATATTTGACTGGAGTTTAAAATGAAACAAAATTTGCTTTTACACTGACCACCTTTATATATATATATATATATATATATATAAAGTCGTTACCTGATTCGTGTATATGCGTATAACAAGTAAACTGCAGTGTTTCCTTTATCATCCAACATCTAAAATTCACATTTAAAAGTTATAGAACAAAAATTAAAATTTTTATCCAGTGATTTGTTTGACATTTTAACAAGATCTAGATAAATATCAGTGAAAAACTTCACAGAAAGCGGTTGAATATTCAGTATACTTCGTCATTAATTCGAATGGGTTGTAACAACTTAGTTGTTAAATGACTAGGAACTCAGGTTACTGGGTCGTACGTTCGAACTCCGTCCCACTTTCGTTTTAGCTAACCAGATAGTATCAGTACTCTGAGTAAATAATAGATTACTCCCTAATTACTGAGTTACATCATTAATCCAATCAGTAATTAAAATCCTTTTGAACTAAAAAATAAGCACTCGGAAATCTGGAAACCCTGTTTGTCTCCATATTTTAACTATTACTAGACTATTGTTTGCTTTTCCCATTTACGTATATATATATATATATATATATATATATATATATATATATATATATATATATATATATATATAAAACTTGCTTATACCGACACTTATCTTTGGTTTCCGATATCCTTATTACTGATTTTCCAGTATATACTAGCTAATTTAGTTCTTATAATCTGTATTGGTTTCAGCACTCAGATTCACAATATTCCTGGCACACATTTTAATAAATTAACAGATCACTTAGTCAAATAGTATACTAATATTAGTTAACACACAGGTAGACAATTTTAAAAGACATGAGAAATAGCAATTATTTTTTTTATTATTTACATAGTGATATCTATGGTATATACATCCTAACAGATTAAAACATAACATCAGTTAATATGAATTAAGCTTAGTAACACAAATATTTAATCTACACACATTAAAATATGTTGAGATCAGTGAAAAAAACAGCGTTCAACTAAAGGATATAGTTTATGAAGACTTCTTGCAATAAAACGTAACATCTTAGAAAATATCAAATTATATTTGTATTTACTAACTTTTTCTTGAAAGAACTAAAAGTTATTCAATTTGGAGTACTTTTCAGTAATTGTTTAAAATATGAAATACACTAAGTGATCCATTGAAGATTTAATATACAGTGAGACGGTCAAAAGGGGTCTTGTGAAGATAGGATAATCAATCGCATCCTAAATGGATTATTTTATGAAACAGTAGGCTTTTTTAATGAGAAAAACAGTATCACATAACGAACACCTAAATGAAGCTGTTACCCATCAATGGCATTGTAAAACGGTTGCAAAACTGATTGAAGTTAAAAATGTAAACCAATGGATCTCAGGCAAATGATTAAAAATAGAGGCTCGCCACAATACATGAATACCCTAGGTCCGATCTCTGGTTGGGTCATGGGTGTGCACTGCTGTTTGGTGCTTCCTTGTTTTCAATAACACCTGGACTGATATTAATGTGTGACAAATAAAACGTGTAAATTATACAGCGAAATAGTTCGTCTAATTTTAAGGACTAACATAAATTTCGATTTTTAATATCAACTAAGGTTTCAGTAACCAATGTATAAAAACCACGTAACTATTAAATTTAGCTATTAGACATTATTTTATAAGTTGGATTGAATTGTTACCAAATATTTTTAATAAAAATAATAACAGATCACTTTTCTCCTACATATCATCATTACTTACCCTATCGAATGAGAATACATAGTCAATTGTTCGACTATGTGATAAATCAGCATACTTGATACAACCATATGCTACAGCCTTTTGAGCTCGTTCAAATTCAGCTTCAGTTAGCTCCTTTAAAAAAGAGAGAAGAAAATAAAAGAACAGAAACATAAGATCTGCAAATAGAAGAGAGTTTATTGTCCTACTCTCTGTACGTTTAATACTATAATGTTCAGTATTAAATGCCCAATGTAGGATTAATTTTTATGCTTGGGGAAATAATTATTTGGGAGGAGGACATGAAATATATGAAAACTAAATGATAATAAATTAGAAAGCCTTCGAATTTAAAACCGGACACATTTCAATTTCAACTAGGATTTCTTAAATTAACTGAACAGGGGCATACGTATGTTATATAAAATATAGATTATCTAGAATTACACAAATGTACACATTTATCTGAGCCCTCAGCACATCAGACGTAAAGACAAACCATAGTATTGAGATAAATGACTAACTGTGCTATCGCAATATATCCACGACAAAAATAAAGTTTTAAGATTAATATTAGTATTACTACTGCATCGAAGTTTGTGATGGCCACCAATATATACAATGAGCCTATTAATTATGTGATTTTTATTACTCTACAGGCTTAGTTGGATTATATGATGGGTTTGAATGTGTTAAAAAACAACACCAATAAATTAGTCTGTAACTTCACCACGTACACACTTACGTATTTGGCCTCAAACTACAACTTTTACATAAGATCTAGTTATACTAGCCTGTTGCCTAAACTGAAGCAGACGAAGCTGGGTTCGAACCTGCGGTTGTCAAACTTTTTAATCACAAATCTACCGGCGTACATATAACGCTCAAACCATATGAAAGGACTCAAGGTGCTCATTAACTGCTATATATATACAGCGATATGTGACCGAAAATCATGAGAGAGTTATTTCAATTTCAAAATATCTCACTTTATTCCTTTCTTTCTCAAGCAATCGGTTCTTTGCTCGTTCAAGACCTTCATCCAATAAATCAACAAGACGAACTGTATCACCGGAACGAGTTTTAAATTTTTTCCTTAATAAATAATCCAAGGAAAATGTATTCCATCGATAAAATCAAACAAATAAGTTTAAACATGATGGTAAAAAAATAAGTGACTGAGAAAAACTTCACTGTACCGTGCTTTTTAAGACGACTAATCTAGTATTCTGGGGTCCAAATGTTTATTTATTTTTATTTATTTGAACACATGAATATTGGTACAAGAGAGCGCCAATATATATGCGCCACACAAAACAATGAAAATTCGAAGAGAAATAGAAAAAAATTAAGGAGCGCAAAAGAAAAAGAGAACAATAACGAAGAGATTGGTGTAAGGTAGTGTGGTAGTAACGAGGGAACGGAAAGGTACAATCAGAAGAAATCTTTCAGGTAAGGGAGACAACCACTTTTTATGAAGAAAGTAAAAGAAGGTTACAGCAGGATCGCCACTGGCTTCTATTCTGAGCCATATCTGATAACGTCTCTAGCCACTGTGTAGCACTATCTCTCAGACCCCAACCAGGGAGTCGTGAAGGACCGACAGAAGCCAGTCCTTTGTAGCTTTCTTTCATACCACGACACTATGTCATGCACTGACCACCTCTCCGCTTTTCCCAACCAGTCCCAGAGTCGGCAAATAATGCACGACGTGGAATTCTCTGGGACGACATTCGTAGAACATGTCCAAGCCACCGAAGTCGGTGTTTCAAGATGGTGACACCAAATGCATTATCATCTCTGTGCCCAAACACACGATGCCGAACCTCTGCATTACTAACATGGTGTTGCCACTGAATGTCAGCAATCCTTCGGAGACAGCGATGATCGAACACAGAGAGTCGTCTAACGTACTCAACTCGGAGAGGCCAGGTTTCACAAGCATAGAGCAAAACTGCTCTCACCGACGCGTTGTAGATCCGACCTTTTACAGCCAGACTAACATCACGAAGGCGCCAAAGGTGGCCCAGATTGGCATTAAGCCGCTCTGACTTTCACTATACGCGCATTGATCTCATCACTCACACCCCCACCAGCACTTATGCAGCTACCCAGATACACGAACTTCCAAATAATCTTTCCCATATAACTATAAATACGAATATACAGCTTGAGTAAATGATTTCATCGAAAAGAAAGTTTTCTTCGCTGAATTATCTTTAGTTTCAATCACTGGTTGTTAAACAGTGATTATAAGGGGCAGCTTGATTTTCCATGTACGAAAGTCTCATGCGTTAAAGTGTTAGATTTAATCACGGTATTCCATGTGTCTATTTTTTTATTATCACATTGATTAATGAACGTTCTTCAGTAAGTACTACTAATCCAATCATGTGGTAGTATTCTTAACACACTGTGTAATTGTAAACTATGTTGGTAGACAATGTTTTAGCCGGTTAATATGAAGGTTTGAATTGGTGAAGATTTATTAACAAAGTTGGTGTGATCTATAGTCCGGAAAAATATCTGGTTACATTTCCGATTTATGAATAACATTGTTTAGTGGACCAATCAACTCTTAGAAATTTGCGAATATCATATAAAAACTAAAAATGAAGTAAAAAACGTACTTATCTTCACCGAGCACCACACCGAATCCAATGTGTTGAACTCTGTGTACATTAGGATTATAATAACCAAGCATTTCTGCACCCGCAAATACCGTGTTAAGATGAACAGACTAAAATGAAGCAGCACATTAGTACAGAAAGGTATATTAATTACACAAGTGGTTGTTGATATTTTAAATAACTGAACGTCTCGTAAGTCCTACATTGTAGAAACAAGTAATGATTCAGACACTGAGTAGTATTTTTTAGATAAGAATGGTAACAAGTAAAACAGATGCCTTAAATTAGAATGTTAAAATTTGCAATCAAAAAACAGTCGTGGGATTGTTAAATTAATAAACTTCATGCCTACCGATTGATAATATGCAGCAATATAATGTGGCCTAGTGATAACTGGTTATGAAGTCGAATTATTGATGTAAGTATCCCACTCCCTCAATGAAATGATACCAGACGACAAAACAATTGCCTAGTATAGGTTTTTTTCAATAAAAAGAACATTTCTATCCGCAAAACGTTAACACGACTAGGTGTCATAAATGGTTAAACGGTATTAATTTTGCAGATAATTCACTCCGGTAAATTAAGACTTTGAGCATCATGTCGCTTCCCTCTTCCCATACAACGACCTGGGATCCTTTCGTGTCAATATTGTGAGACGCTTTGATTTGTCTCATATATTCTTCAGTTCTCATGAAAATCATTTTTCTGTTTTACCCACCGACTGCGGTTGCACTATTGACACGAAATTTAAAGCATCTCCTAGTTATCTCCTGGTTGCTAAATAGACATGAATATTTGATCTTTCTTCCTGTCACTAAGCAGAGATAATTTGGGAGAGATTAGTGACCAACTTCAGCATAAATGAATTCCACTTACCTGACCCATGTCCACAACATACAAGACCCAATCCGCCTTTTCTTCATGCAAACGCTGAAGTAAAGCAGTTAAGTCAGATGTATCATAGGTAAAACCACCATCTGATTTTACAACTGTGAGAGGAACTTCGCATTTGGGTGGCCACAAAATTAATCTACCCTCATCTTCCTGCAGAACATTTTGACTTTTTAGATCATTAACAAACTCTTCCATTCGACTTTGATAAAACGATTCTCCACGCTCAATAAGATTCTCAATACCCAGTCGACGGTATACATCGTCGAATTCTGAAAATAGAATAGTGAGATGATCAATTTGTATTGAATATAATGACAACCAGCGTTATATCCATTAATCGCAAAAACTGATTGTTGGCTAGTAACGAACTTCATGTCTTCCTGTCCTTACTGATGACTAAACTCTACCGAAACTGTGTGATGTAGTTTTCGGTACTATAGCGACCACAATTTCCCCAGCAATTGAGATTGCGCTTCGCTGACGAGTATTAACTAACGAGAAACCTAACCCTATGATTTCCGCAGATTTCATCCCGCCACTCAACATATAATAATTAGGTATGAGTGTATACACACACTAGTTTCCAGTGAAAATGTGAACCTATGAAAAATCAACTAAAAATCACGAATAAAACACCGTTCATGTTAACAATATGTTTATAAATACAAAATTAATATCTGTCGCGATTATCGTCTTATTATAACACAAAAAATTAAACGGCATTATTTAGAGAGTACTTACAGACTTGTATTCGAATAGATTTATTCATGAGTTAACCACTTTGTAATCTATGTGATACTGTGATCCAACTATGCCTACAGTGGGGTGAAGAGGTAATCCAGCTGTATGTACTATGGATATGCCATATAGTCTAGGTAGTATAGGACCTGAGAGTATTAATTTTCGAGCTTTTTGGATGTGATTAAAGAACTGTTTCCCATCCCCCTTACTATATCCGGTTTCATTCCCTTCTTCACCAGGCTTAGAAAATTTACTGATGTCAGGTAGTGAATTCTTCATTTTATATAAGTAGTTTTGCATGTATAGTACCCCCAAGACCGGAAAAAGTATGTGTCAGAAAATGATTTTGTATCTCATATTAGTAAATTTTCGGAACCTGGTAAAGGAATAAACTTGATAATTATGAGAAATTTAGTGATTACACTGTGACAAAAATATATCGCATTATGCCTGTACTATGAATAGCACCCCTAAATGACCTGATACGGCCGAGAGTGGGGAGAGTCAGCTCTTCCTCTCGAAATTCTCTCACATGGCCACGCGCATAAAACCGCTACCAAGAAAGTCCTACTCACTGCCTTCTCGTGGCGGGGCTGTCGTCTACGAAGTGGAGAGAACGAAAAGCGAATGTCCGGCGCTTTACCGGTTGGTGGACACAGAGAGTCCACCTAGGTGAGTTGGAGAACCCTGATTCCAAACCAATGGTGTACATGGGCTACAGGATTTTGAGGGGGAAAATGGCATATGAACCAATTATTGGTCACTGGCTACCATGGTACTGCATCTCCTTACGTTGCTCCACTGTTTTGTGAATCAGACCTTTAGGTTGGAAGCTCTGGGTGTGGCCCCGTAAGAAAATCACCTGCTTCGTTTTGGGCACCCGGGAAGCATCACAGCCCTCACACAAATCAAATGGGATTTGTGTGGTGCATATGTATTCAGTGCTCTATTGTACCAATATTTATGTTTTAAAATCAATAAGTACTATGAATAGGTTTCAATTACATACCTTTTCGTGATATGTCACAAATTTGTTTCCAGGCATGTACATACTCAGGATCATTTTGTTGAAGTTTAACAACGGCCACATGTGCTCTTTGATTAAAATCTTTTTCTTCATCAAATCTAGTTTTGGAAGTTTTATAAAAAGCTTGAAGGTCTGATATCGGAGGTGCGGTTTTATGATCAGGATATATTTCTTTTAAGTGGGTTATTAACATCCCAAACTGTGTCCCCCAATCTCCAAGATGATTGAGCTTCAGTACTTTGTGACCCAAAAATGAAAGCAAACGGGAAATACTTTCTCCAATAATAGTTGATCTGTAACAAAAAAATAACACCAAGTAAAAGTGTCGGATAGTATTATTATTACTGCATTCCCCTTTACTTGTCTTATATTCTCATTAGTCTATTCATAAATGCTCATCATATCACCTTACTGATTTTACACTTCTATGACCTTTAATTATTGCAACAAAAACATCTTAATCATCTTATGATATTCACTAAATCTATTGTTATAATTCGTATTACGTCATCTAGTATTATAATATTTCTATTACGTCATCTTAGTTATTCGTGTCCACATTTCCTCATGAAATTAGTACTTTAACAAAAAGATTTTCATACATATATACGATTGTACAGCTTGATAAAAAATTAGTTGAAAAGACATCCCTTCGCTGAACATCGTGTTTTTAGTTTTTTATGTTTAAATTGGAATTATCTGGTAATACCTGAGCACTAAAAACTTTAATATATGTTTACTGAAATGAAGTTTGTTTCAAATTTATTTCTTATATAACGACACTTCAACTCCTGAAGCGCCACAGGCCAATAGACACAGAAGACCTACACCCTCAGCTAGTTTTAAGGATGGTGGTGAAAATTTAGTGAAGTAGCTGGCGGGGTTAATTGGAAAAGTTCGGGAAATCGAGTGTTACAGCACCCATGAATGAAGCGATTGTCGTCCACATCATTAAAAAGCACCTAATTCATCCATACATATTATGAGGGGATAAGTCTACTTTCGGTCGTCTCCAAACTGTTGGCTCCTGTGTAGGATTGGCCCGTAGGAGGCAAGCTGCTTTTGGTCAATTTTCGGATGTAATAATGATATTTTCACTCTTTGCCGGATGTTAGAGAACCACCACATCAACTCCAGACGAACAGTCGTGTTTCTTGATATCAGAGTCGCCTTCGATCTGACTGGAAGGAGCCTATGCCTGTCCTTGGTGGTCTTAGTGACATCAGTAATCGTAAATTCTGCGTGCCTGGGTAGGTGTGTGCGTACTGGTAGTGACATGAATAATAAGATCAATCTAAGCATAATCAGAGCCAGAGTGACTCATGTTAGGTCAGAGCATATTTGGCGACGTTTAGATGTTATTCTGGTTGTAAACTTTTGTGACTACAACGCGCTGGTGAAGGCAATTCTGTTTTGTGCTTGAACAACCTAGTCCTTCTGAGTTAAGGATGTTCCGCGATTTTTCGTATTCGATCACCGTCTTCGAAGGGCTGCTGACATCCAGTGGCAATACAATGCCAATAATGCTACGGTTTTTAAATGCGTATTTGAGCGCACTGACGATAACTTATTCAGTGTCACCAACTTGAAACAGCGGCTTCGGTGGCTTGGAAGTGTTTTATGATATCATCCTGAAGACTTATACATCTTGAAATATTTGCTGGCGCTGGGAAAGGATGGAAGAGGGGGGATGGTCAGTTTATGATATTGCGCAGTGGTATGAAAGAAAGTTGTATAGGACTGACATATTTTGGCCCATCACGACTCAATGGTTGTACTCCAAGAGGTGATGTAATTCAATGGCCTGAGACATTATCGTACATAGCTCAAAGCAGAATACAATAGCGATGTTGTAGTATTTTTCTTTAAAATTCTTCATACAGAAATGAACAGAACCTCCTCGACTGCATTTTTTCTGGTTGTTTTTAACTGAACTGTTCCTCCCACCATATACTACTACTGTAAATTTGTTTTTATCCACTTATTTGTTTTTCATTATCCTACCCCTCCTCAATGTATCTCTTCACAAGTTAATTTCCTTACTTGTGTGACGCATATTTAATTTGATGACCAATCGTACCAGTATTTTGTGTATTAAGTAAATATGGTGATACAATTTAAGCAGGACAATGGTGTGGCAGTATTTGGTTGATAAAGTTAGAGACAGAATTTCTTATCTTTATTAGCCATTTCAGAGTGACTCCGGTAGTCTTGAATTCGCTTGCAAAGTTTAATTGATGTAATTACAAATAAACATTCACATAAAACAGTCCACTTGGAGAATAACACTAGACAACTATGAAATAGATTTAATAGTTTAGTAAGCTTTATTTTGTATATATTCAGATGGGATTTAAAAATAACTCACTAACAAACCTTGTATTAGGTCAGTCACTAAATGATGATAGATGTAATTTAGTGCACTTACATTCTGTAAGCAATTTGCTGAACTTTACTTTAATTGTCTATTCATGGCAAACTATAGATAATCAAAATCTACTGATTAATTTAATAAATATTAGTGAACGAGTATGGTTCAATATACAGTTTTGAAATAATAAAATTTGTAAAGTTCAAGTGATATAAATGATATGCTGACCCCTACAATTCCCCTAGATTGATGTTCTATTGTGAGTACCTGCTTGGACTCCGACCATGCCCTAATACGGGCACGCATCTGCTTGCACCTCACTGGACGCAAAAAAGCCACATTAAAAAGACCCGTTAGGACTGAGTTGGGTAATGAGAAGACCAAAAGTAGGTTCCAGGAACAACTGAGGTCACACTTAGGTAGTTCTGAAGACGAGGCTGACCCACATGTTGCTTGGAAAGCCATACAAACAGCTGTGGAAACAGCAGTGACATCTATTAGTGACTTAAACCACAGAGTTACAAAGAACCAATGGATTTTCTCTAGGTTTATTGCACTGATGGATCCTCGTAAACTCATCCCATCAGGCTCTGAACACGATGAAGAGCGACAACAAATCAGATCTAGGTTAAGCAAAAGTCTAAGGAACGACCGTGAGCAGTGGTGGGCAACGAAAGCAAAAGAGATGGAAAAGGTGGCGACTATAGGGAACACAAGACAGCTTTACAGACTAATAAAAGAAACTGGAACTAATAAGTCAAGTATAAGTGAGATTATTTCGGAAAAAGACGACACCCTCATCTGCTCTCAGTCCAGACGTTTAGAACGATGGGCGGAACATTTTAGAGAACAGTTCAGCTGGCCTTCAGCTACTCTACAACTACCCTCCATTCCCAGACAATGTGAATGGAACATTGAAGTAGGTCCCCCAACTCTTGCTGAAGTTGAGAAGGCTATAGTTAATCTGAAACGAGGAAGGGCAGCTGGTTCAGATGGATTGGCTCAAGAAGTCTTTACGGATGGTGGTCCAATTTTAGCGATAAGGTTGACTAATATTTTAGCTAAGATCCGGGAGTTAGACGTTATCCCATCTGACTGGTCGCAATCACTTATCGTCTTAATATATAAGAAAGGGTCAAAATCATCCTGTGACAACCACAGAGGGATTATTGAGACCTTACCGCCGGAGACGGATATCCATGGGATAAGGTGAGGTGGGCATTTTTGGGGTCGACCTTTTTAACCCCACCCCTCCTTGTGGGAAGGCAACATCGCTGTCATGCTGGCTGTCTGAAGGAAACACCTTACTGCTGTTACACCTCTGTACAGTCAGCAGTACGACTTCGCCTTCGGACCATGGGGTTGTTGCTTTTAGTCTTACCGCTCTTCAACCGACCTGACTGACATGGTAGGACCTTGAGGAACGGTTGTTCCAACCAGTATAGCTTGGTTGTTTCAACACGATGGGCAAGCCCGACCACCACGTCAAGGTAGCAACAACGGTCGGGATATTTGATAATATAATTATCAAAAGCCTAACTAAGACTCGTGAACTGCAAACACGAGAGAACCAAGCTGGCTCCAGACCTGGTCGTGGCTGCACCGACCACATATTCACCATTCGTCAGGTTCTACAACACAGGCATACTTATCGGGGTCCGACAATGGTGGTCTTTCTTGACTTAAAAGCAGCATTTGACTCTGTAGACCGCGAGATTCTGTGGCAGTGTCTGTCATTGAAAGGCGTACCCCAGAAGTACATAAACCTTGTAAAGGCTCTTTACTCGAACACTACTAGTCGAGTCAGGGCTTATGGCGAACTGTCATCTGCTTTTGTAACATCAAGTGGTGTCCGTCAAGGCTGTTCACCTTCTCCATTTCTGTTTAACTTCATCATAGACCTATTGATGGAAATAACATTCTCGTCTGCTGAATTCTCGGGTATTGATCTCCTACCAGGAGGTCCACTTATCGACTTAGAATACGCAGATGACATAGTCGTGTTTGGTGAAGATGCTGATAGAATGCAAAGTCTTTTGGTAGCACTGAGCAACAATGCCAGAATGTTTGGAATGCGCTTCTCTCCCTCTAAATGCAAGTTGTTGCTTCAGGACTGGTCTGCGTCAACACCTGAACTAAAGATAGGGAGTGAAGTAGTCGAACGCGTTGACAACTTCACTTATCTTGGAAGTCTGATCAACCCTAATGGGTTAGTATCGGACGAAATCTCTGCACGGATTCGAAAAGCTCGTTTGGCTTTTGCCAACTTACGTCACCTTTGGCGAAGGCGAGATATCCGTCTATCAATAAAAGGATGAGCATACAGCGCGGCAGTCCGTTCTGTTTTAATTTACGGCAGCGAAACATGGCCATTAAGAGTAGAAGACACTCGTAAGCTACTAGTATTTGACCACAGATTCCTCAGAGATATTGCTGGCGTCTTCTGGGATCACCGGGTAAGTAATGATGAGGTTCGACGCAGGGTATTAGGGAAGGATGGTAAATCAGTTGATGAGGTCGTGAACTTTCATCGACTGAGATGGTTGGGCCACGTGTTACGTATGCCCGAACACCGATTACCACGACGTGCAATGCTAACCGGTGTTGGAGATGGTTGGAAGAATGTAAGAGGCGTCCAAACCAAAACGTGGCATCAGTGCTTGAAGTCACTAACTTCTAGTCTGAGCCATGTTGGTAGATGCAGACTACTTGGTTGGGGTCCGCGTGACTGTCGTAACCAATGGTTGGAGACTCTTGGTGACATGGCTCAGAATCGATCACAATGGCGTCGGTGTATACACTCCCTGTCTTCCCTTAAACTAAGAGATTAAAATAGCTTCATATCTTTCTTTCTACTGACTAATTCTTTCTTCCTGTACTATATCCTTATTGCAATCTTTCTTTTATATATTACCACATCTGAATTAACTAATTTTATGAATCCGGTGTCCATCTTGCTGTGCTAATGAGGTATGGCAACCTGAACCGATGCACATATGTGCCTGGTCCTACGTTGTAGCTGACTGACTGAAAAAGAAAGATTTAATGGAGTGTACTTACATTAAAGGTGCTTTCATTACTAGTTGAAACAATCTATACTCACTGTAAAGGTGAAGTATAGTTTACTATGCAATTTTCTAAATAACACTTTAAATAAGTGTGATTATGGAGTGAAATGACTCATGCTATAGAGAGATGAAAAATACAACAAACAGCCGAAACCATATCGTATGAGATGGGTGATGAATCCGTGGAAGGAAATAATTGATAACAGTATAGTTTACTGAACCATAGCAACAGACCCAAGATGTAAGTCAGGGTAGTGAAATTTCACGTGATCGCAGTGATTTCAGAAAGATTGTTACGAGGGATGGGACTACACGTATTTCTAAGTGATGACGGACTTACAGGAATAGTGCTATAGGCTTGACATAAGTAATGGTGCCTCTAAGATTCAAACTAGAATTAATTAATGTAATTTACTAGCGCTATACATTTCGAACAATCTGGTCACACATATACTTGTCAGGGCATTTTTATATGAAAATTAATAAAGGTCAAACAAATAAAAGTATAATTAAAATAACCAAGGAGAGAGAAAGAATAAGAAATTGTCGCGTTATCCTAGGCCATAAAATAACTTAAGGATTACCAAGGTAAATTCAAGGTTACGACAAATTGTTTTTGTATACATAACGGGGGTTTAAATTTACGAATAGCCAAGGCTTCAATAAACTTAAGAATTCGACCTTGACAATTTCTGTACAACACTCTAAATGCTGTATTAATGTTAATTTTGTGCCCCGTCTCAATTATATGTTTTGCTACCGATGAGCTTGGTTTTCTACCTCCTACATTGATCGGATCATTTGACATACATTGATTTTGAAGCCATCTAGGCACATGTTCATTGACCCTTGATTGCATTGTTCGATTACTCCTCCCTATGTATGTGTGTTCACACAAACATGTAAATTGGTAAATACAATGGGATGTGACGTAATCATTGGTGCATTGTTTGGGTCTATTAGGAATCATGACCTTAGACTTTCCAATCACTACCAACTGAGCAGCAAAATACGTATTCTCGATGGCTGCTTTCAATCTCTGCCTTAAGACTATACTGTTAGATTCGCCTCTATATGGTAGATTGATATAAACTTTTTTCTTTGGCACTGAATAAATTAGAGGTCTTGGCATTAACTGACTCTTGCACCTATTAATAAACTTGAGTGGATAACCATTTGCTATTAATGTGTCAGTCAGTAACTTTTCATCTTTTTCCATCATGTCAGAGGTACATATTCTTCGAGTCCTCTCAAAGAGACATTTAACCAGACCTCTCTTGTATTGCGATGGACAGAAACTATGGAAATTTAAATATTGTCCCGTCCAAGTTGGTTTCCTATACACTGACCGTTTAATAGTGCCATCATCCCTTCGACTTAAAAGTATGTCTAGAAAGGCTAATTGGTCATTACTTTTTGATTCATGTGTCATCACAATATCGTTTTGAACACCATTGAGTTTATCCAATAATCGGTAAACATCAAAATCTTTATCACATATAATTAGGATATCGTCCATATATCTTCTATATAGAGTTGTCTCACTTATAAGGTCGCTCGTCATATTTTCCACATATGATATGAATACCTCAGCTAAGAGAGGCCCCAAAAATCTACCCATAGCTACACCATCAACTTGTCGAAAATATTCACCATCAAACGTGAACATTAGCTGTACATAGTAAAAGTAATTCTTTCAAAAATGGTAACGGAATAGGAAAAGGGGGGAAATTTTAGAAATATAATCACAAAGGAAATCTACCGTCTTTGTTAACGGTACATTCGTGAAGAGAGAGTTTACATCAAATGAATGCAAAGATTTATCTTTAATATTAGTATCCCCAAGAAGATCAATTAGTTCAAATGTATTTTTTAAAGAGAACTTACATAGATACAAAGATACATTTGAACTAATTGACCTTCTTAGTGACATTAATATTAAAGATAAATCTTTGCATTCATTTGATGTAAACTCTCTCTTCACGAATGTACCGTTAACAAAGACGGTAGATTTCCTTTGTGATTATATTTCTAAAATTTCCCCCCTTTTCCTATTTCGTTACCATTTTTGAAAGAATTACTTTTACTATGTACAGCTAATGTTCACGTTTGATGGTGAATATTTTCGACAAGTTGATGGTGTAGCTATGGGTAGATTTTTGGGGCCTCTCTTAGCTGAGGTATTCATGTCATATGTGGAAAATATGACGAGCGACCTTATAAGTGAGACAACTCTATATAGAAGATATATGGACGATATCCTAATTATATGTGATAAAGATTTTGATGTTTACCGATTATTGGATAAACTCAATGGTGTTCAAAACGATATTGTGATGACACATGAATCAAAAAGTAATGACCAATTAGCCTTTCTAGACATACTTTTAAGTCGAAGGGATGATGGCACTATTAAACGGTCAGTGTATAGGAAACCAACTTGGACGGGACAATATTTAAATTTCCATAGTTTCTGTCCATCGCAATACAAGAGAGGTCTGGTTAAATGTCTCTTTGAGAGGACTCGAAGAATATGTACCTCTGACATGATGGAAAAAGATGAAAAGTTACTGACTGACACATTAATAGCAAATGGTTATCCACTCAAGTTTATTAATAGGTGCAAGAGTCAGTTAATGCCAAGACCTCTAATTTATTCAGTGCCAAAGAAAAAAGTTTATATCAATCTACCATATAGAGGCGAATCTAACAGTATAGTCTTAAGGCAGAGATTGAAAGCAGCCATCGAGAATACGTATTTTGCTGCTCAGTTGGTAGTGATTGGAAAGTCTAAGGTCATGATTCCTAATAGACCCAAACAATGCACCAATGATTACGTCACATCCCATTGTATTTACCAATTTACATGTTTGTGTGAACACACATACATAGGGAGGAGTAATCGAACAATGCAATCAAGGGTCAATGAACATGTGCCTAGATGGCTTCAAAATCAATGTATGTCAAATGATCCGATCAATGTAGGAGGTAGAAAACCAAGCTCATCGGTAGCAAAACATATAATTGAGACGGGGCACAAAATTAACATTAATACAGCATTTAGAGTGTTGTACAGAAATTGTCAAGGTCGAATTCTTAAGTTTATTGAAGCCTTGGCTATTCGTAAATTTAAACCCCCGTTATGTATACAAAAACAATTTGTCGTAACCTTGAATTTACCTTGGTAATCCTTAAGTTATTTTATGGCCTAGGATAACGCGACAATTTCTTATTCTTTCTCTCTCCTTGGTTATTTTAATTATACTTTTATTTGTTTGACCTTTATTAATTTTCATATAAAAATGCCCTGACAAGTATATGTGTGACCAGATTGTTCGAAATGTATAGCGCTAATACATCATATTTTTTCAGATCAACTCCATCTTCTCATTGTTCTATCGAAATTTATAAAAGGGACTAATTGCTTTAATGTAATTTAAATACCAAGTAAAAGTTTGTATCGCCGGTCTGGACCAAACTTTAAGAAAGCTGGTAGTAACTGGTTATTCAAACGTAAGTGGATGTAGCAGAATTTAAGTGTGATAATTAACGGCGTAAACTTGTGCACAACTAAGAATAAATTGTCAGATGTTTATTAAAATCTAGAGAAACTAGTAGATGGGACTTTATGATGCCGAAGTTATACTGATAATCATGCACAGACTACAAACCATTTTTGTCTAGAAAATACAGGACCTGCTCCAGTTTGAGCACCTGGGCAGTATCGCAGCCCACAAACAAATCAAGTGACTTGTGTGGTGCATATGTATTCGGTGCCATTTCGTACCAATATTTATGTGTTCGAATAAACAAATAAGGGAATCACAGAGTAGTATTTAGCAGAATTATAAGATGACACGAAGTAGGAGAAACTTAACCGACTAGGTTCAGAAACTTTTTGACAGTTCATAACCATGGATATACAAAAGTAAGCTTTCTATTTCCGCTGATTTTCTTTACGCCTAATAATTGACGGGGTGGGAACACAAGTAAGGCTCAGAATAAGCGAAAGAGTTGATAATACGTAACGACTCCTACCTTAGATGTCCCACATGCATTTCTTTGGCGATGTTTGGAGATGACATATCTACAATCACAGAGTATTTATGAGGTATGAATGGGGGTGTAACTCCATGAAGTAAAATCTTTCTGACCTCGGTAGAAATGAATTGTTGTTTAATCCAAATGTTTATGAAGCCAGGAAGAACAACGTCCACTCTTTCAATTAAGTCATTGACAGGTAAAGCGGCAACGATAGATTTTGCAATATCAAATGGATTTTGATCACTGTTCGTCTCCTGGGCAATAGTGATATTATTCAGTACATACTTTTCGAATGCTAAGAGCAGAGTTGCACTGATAATCCCCAAAACTGCGCTTAGTGGGAACATTGAGTTGTACACAGTGTTTAGTATTTATGAACACTGTTTTTATGGCGTAATCAAACAAAGCAGCTACGGTAGCTTGGATACTTATAGAATTATACCTCACATGGTTGTCCAATTGTTTCAGATACTAAAACAGTGAACATTATACTTTACTACCTTTTCCAGATGGCTTGCTTGATACCGTAGCTTTTCACCTTCTTCCAACAGTTTTTTAATTTCAGAAAAATTGGCGGACTGGAGAAGTTCATCATATTCGTGTTGTAAGCACCTAACGTCTTTCCTCTACAAAACAATCACTAATTTCCAAAGGACGATACGAACCTGAATAGAATCGGAAGCCATCCTACTACAAGCAGACTGCTCGTTGCTGCAAATGACCTAGCCGTGTTGAAATTCCCACTTTATTCATCAAAAATATTCAATATCTAAAATGTATATCATTCGAATTGCTTGTGTCCTTCATTCTGACATCAAGTAATGGTTCTAGATTCTTCATAAAGTTTAATCATCCACCTGAGTGCAATATTTTCTCTACTTCGATATATTCAAGTACTTAAAATTGGTTATGAAATGAATAAGAGAATCTTTCGTTTGACGAGTTTCTATATCTTCGGTTTTCGATAATAAAGATAGTAGGTTGGTGAATCTGTATTAATCCTGATAGACTTCTCCCCAGTGAAGGTTCAGATCCCCCTTGAAAATATTCACTGATGTGACTGGTACCACTTGTTCGCTTAAGGCGTTCCAGTCTTTGACTACTCGATGAGAAAAACGGCACACCACTTTAAGTTTAGTAGATCGCGCTCTGTGAGCCTGCCTTCTATGAGCTCGAAGATTAGTTGTTCTGGAGGTAGGAAAATGATGAGACATATTAACACCTAGTAGCAACGGATCACTGGAGCTTCTTTGAAGTGACCAATATATATGAAATATGGACATGTATAAAATATTTGGTGAGCCGATTTTAGGTACCCTTCTTAGTGTCAAAAGTGTCAAATTTCCTCTTAATAAACTCTGAAGATCACGTTAGATGATAGGGCAATGTAAGAATTGAGTAGACAATACGTCTACAAAGACACTTGAAAATTTATAGTCTCAGATTGCGAGCGTTTTCTATTACGTGTGTGCTGAGATTGAACGTGAAACAGATGCTCATAAGATGCTTAATAGGGCGTTGCTCATTATCACATGGCTGCTTCTTAATTTCTCGTATTCTAGGGAGTTGTGGAATTAGTTGAAATTAAATTATCTTGTAAACAAGTTTTGTTATTTTTCCCAATTATCATTGTTCAACATAATTTGTCGAAATACTGCTACTGACTGTAAAGTGGTTGTTTTAATTTGACATTGATCCTCCTCTCATGGCACACTGATTTTTCGCTCATAAATACACAGCGGCACACACACTTTTCGTTTGCATTTTTTAACCATCGCGATAACAAACATATAATATATTTTATGTCTGTGTCTTCATAACACACTGATATTCCTGTCATGTGATTATTACGGATGCGCATTATCTTGGATTATATCTATCATATTATCAACTATTGATTATTTGAGGATAACAAGACCGAATTTCAGACGCACTTCTCACTTTCAGTTTGATTAATGTGACAAAGTTTTCTTATGTGTGGTTATGTTTGTCTATATTGCCAATTACCTGTTTAACTTATGGAATAACTTCATTATCATTTTGGCATTGATATATTTGTTCCGCAGTTGACTTTATGTTCAATATTTTTAGACGATGCTCGTATAAATCAAGCTTAAGATAACAAACTGAATTTTCGACACATGCTTTGATACTTTCCGAATGAGTAGGGTTAAACGGTCGCGTTTGCCAGTTAGGTGGGTCAAAATAGTTTAATACATAATTTTATAATCATTTCACCTTTTTGACGCAGTTCTGTTTTTCATCCGGTCTGAAGAATAACATTACATTGTGTACTGCAGGGATTACTTTATGATTCTCCTAGTTGATCCTCGAACAGTATGTAGCGGTAAATAAATCCCCAAAATAAATAGCTCTATAAGTTTTCGACATTGGATGCTGACCATATGTTTTAGTGGACTCATCTAGCTGAAGGCGCTCGGTCATGCATCCGCACCAGATCACGTGTGGTAACGCTGTGCTCAACATCGACCGCAATCGTTAGCCAGATTAGACGAGAGAATTCCGATATATTGGTAATCGCCAAATACACTATTCCGATCTCCTCGACTCTGTCTTTTGATTTCTCTCGGTGGGAACAAAGTATATTAGAAAGTGTTACTGGCGTGGCGTCGAGTGGAGATTGACTATGAACACCGCTACCAAGAAACTCGTGCCAAATGACTCTATAATATCCACCGGAAGCCAAATATCAGAAGGCAATTAATGGACCAAATCGAGATATATTCGCTGGCGATCTCGTGGCATCGAAAGGATACCGAGATCGCGCCAGGATACAAGCTTGGTTACAGAACGTAACCGAATTCGCGCGAAGACACAATCGAAGTGTAAGGATAAGAATGGAAACACAGTATAGCTGTCATTAGCACAGTCAAACAAAAGCACATTAAAACAGTCACTGGTACAAGTGGTTATAATAATAATTTTTTCAATAAACCAATCGTGTTCTCGTGATAAATGTGAGTCACTACAGGAGCCCGCTAGAAAGGGTTTACACTTTCGATAAATAACGGTTTAAATCGTGGGACTGATCGGCTGACAGGCGATTGTAGGACAAATGAATTGACGAACAAGAAAGCGATCGTTGATCGTCGAGTTGCCAACGAAAGTCATTTTCGGAGAACGGTACCAGGAGCGATGTGCTGTATTTGTTGCTTGAATTGACATACCACACCAGAGTGGTTTTTATCCAGAATCTGAAGATTGCGTTCGTAAGGAATGAGGACCAGAAACGCTGCAGACGTAGGACGAAACCACGTTGAGCCAAAAGACTAGAAGCGACCGCAACGACCAAGTTCGAGACCAAGCGTGTGCCAAACATTCAAAACCAATATATTGACTGAGTGCGTTGACAAGAACGTGGGTGATCAGGCCAGCTTTCGGCAAAGTTGACTGAAGTCGACGGTACCAAACGGAGATGGCCGAAGGCGTGGGCTCAGGAAACCAAAAGAAAATTAAAAAAGAGAAGAGTGTAGCATGTGTGTAGTTTAGGAATAATCCTACACCGTATCGGTTGACTGTGCGACTAGTCACGGAAGCGTACGGGCAACCGTACTCGGCGACCGGAACGTGAGACGATAGTCTCGTTCGCGTCGCGTGAGCCTGCAATCTCAACCGAAGTCAAGGGCGGCGTGGTCTGCTGATCTGGACGTGAGACTGTCGTCTCGTCCGTAGATAGCGCAGATGACGCGTGCTGTTGACTGGGACGTGAGAATGAGGTCTCAGGTGTATCTAACGTGGGACCCGTAGATAGTTTGAGGATCCCGCTAGTAGGTTTGATAGATCTAGCATTGAATCTCAGGTTTTCAGATAGGGCACTGTCATCGACGTGTGCTGGCTTGAGACGATCAATGCTGACGATCTCGACGCGGCCGTGTTGGTCAACGTTGAAGGACTTTTCGTGATGAGCGATCACGTGAAAAGAGCCTTCGTAAGGTTGCTGCAAAGGTTTGCGTACCGAATCTACTCGTATGAAAACACGCGTACAGGTAGATAACTCTCGAGGTAGAGCGAACTGTCGATGTTGTATTCGAGTTGGCACCGGAGACAGCGTACACATAAATGCAGACGGTCGACGGACGAAGTCTGGTTTTCCGAAATTAGGTCTGCTCCGTGGTGTGAAGTATTCTCCGGGCAGACGCAACGTCGTGCCGTAGACAAGTTCAGCGGCAGAACATTGGATATCTGCCTTTACGCTCGTTCTGATACCTAAAAGAACGAGCGGTAAGGTTTCGTGTCAGTTGCCGTTTTCGTGTGCTCGTAGAGCACTTTTAAGTTGGCAGTGAAACCGTTCAACTTAACCATTTGGTGTCGGGTGGTAGACGGATATACTTATGCGTATGCATTCCGTACCAAGCAGCCGGGTCAGCAAGGAGAATAGTTATTACGGTAAAATTTCTCGCATAAGGCGTGGGATTTGCCGTCACGCGAATAAAAAGTGACAAGGATTCGGTACACATACATGCGAGTCTATTATATTAACACGAATCTTATCGTTATCCGTCATGTCGAGTATACTATATATCAAAAGATAATATGAAAATATACGACAGACGTGGATAGATAAATAACAGACTCACCAAATTGGCTTCTTTGGAAGGTTTGACCAGAGGTTGTGTCGTGTTCCAGAATTCGGGTCAACAGTTGGTCATAATAATAATTGTTTTCAATAAACCAATCGTGTTCTCGCGATAAAAGTTAGTCACTACAGCTTTATAATCTCGAGCACATGAAGTGGAATCGCTACAGAAAATCGAGATTTGAGCATAGAAAGGTTGGTACGTCCATACATGTTCATCAACATGTTATTGGATCATTACTGGAGAATATTCGTTTACTTTAAAAAAAACTATAGGGCTTTGAATATTTTGCACCATTGAAAATGAAGTTCAGACACAGATATGAACGTTACTAGGACAGCAGGGAACTTAAAAAAAACACACCGTACGACCTGTGGTTGGATCTCAGTTTATTGGATGACCTTAGGCTATTCAGCGAATAGAAAACCCACGCGTTTCAATCCGTGGCGCGTTTTCTAGTTATTACGCGATATGTTTTCCTTCGGTTTTTCAAACCATCCTTGTGGTTCGCCATGCTTATTCATCAGAATTGTGGTCATTCTTATAGTGTCCTTCTCTGTTGTTTTATCGGAAGACTTGAAGCCGAAGAGAAAAAGTGGTAAGTATGCATGCAATGCACAGTTGGAAATTTCCGTCCATATGAATTTATCAGACACATTCATCCTCAATTGCTCCTTTTATATATTAAAATAAATGTTTTCTTTAATCGCTCCAAATAATGATGGTTTATGTATTACTTAACACTCTTTCAAGGCTTCCCTTATTCTGACTTCTAAGTAAGAGTATAATTCTTGAAGTGCATGCACCGACCTAATGCTTCGGGGACTAAAGCATCTCGACCTAATTTGTGTTGCACAGTATCCCTGTAATGACTGAAGTTCACCGATTTTCGTAGTTTATAGCTTTGGACCTAATATATCCTCTCTTTTTCTTCCCACTAGATCGGGACATCTCAGAGGACTTAGCGGGCGAGTAGGAAATCCTAGAACGAATAAAATACCCGTGGCATGCAGGTGTTCACACCGACTCATCAGTTCTTGGAACCACTTGCTCGGAGCAGTGGTGTTTGCACATTCAATTGACTCATTCAAGAGAAGACTAGACACTCGCAGAAGCATACATAGAAGGATCACATCCACTTTGAGGAATTACGACTAATCATAAAGTTTTATCAGTTGTAGGCTCTATTTTAGCTATAACTGATCCCTTTGTGTTGTTATTCTGTGAAATGCTACTTACCGAACCCACAAGCTGGGTCAATAATTATCAAATTTTATAGAATCCTATTTGTTTTGTAACTAAGATCCCAAAGGTTTTCATAATTGTGGTTTGAAATCGGTAGAGTAGATAACACACATTTCCAAAAGCGACCTTTGTATTTCCCATCCAAATTAAAAGGCCAGGTGTTATGTAAATGGTAGTGGAATGTGTTAAAACAAAACTTGAAATAGCAGTGCATATAAAATGGAAAGTAGTGCGAAATTGTGTAACCTATTGCTTGATCTTGTTGCTTTGTAACCCAGTTGCAACAATATAAGATATTTTCCACTGACATTACGGCTATTTGTGTAGATATTTGACTAGTTCTCATTAATTTTACTTGATATGCTGTCCCTTTACATACTTTTAATTACCGACTTATGATACTCTTTGTTGTGCGTATACATTCTCAGTGTTATACTATTTCAAACAACGTTCCAAAAACCTAGTATTCCGTTTTAAGAAATATAATAAGATCTATTTCCAACACTAGGTGATACTCGTGTACCAATAACTCCAGACAAAAAGGAAATCAAAAACCATATAGAGCAATTTGATGATCCGGAAACTGTCGAAAAATTCCTACGTGATCTTCTTAATCCAGATCTATGTAATAAATTTAAATTATCTCAATAATATTTTAAGTGTTCCCTCAAATTCCAAAGGATAAGGAAGGTGTAAACGTTGAGTCAGAATCACAAGATGATCCACTTAATTCAAAGATGAAGGATGAAAGTAATTGCTTTCACATCATTTTAGTATTTGATAGACCAAGAATCGACAGATGAGTCTGAACATGATTCAACTGCGAACGATTTTCCGGGCTCCCAAAGCATCCCAGCGATTAATGGTAAGCTGCAATACAAATTGCAACTCTTTTAGATGAAAACACAATGAAAAGCATTCATTCGCCACCTGATGAGCATGAAGATTCGGAACAAAGTGTTGCTCAGCGTTTGTATGACGAAGCTATGAGTATTTTGGAGACAGAAAATCACAAGACATCTGCTGATAAAACGTATGTGTACTGCATTACTTGTTTATTATGTTTCGTTATCCGTTCGTAATCGTATTTTAAATTCAAACTGTGACATCCCAAATGCATTTGATTCACTACCGTCTTTACGAAACATGCGTTATATATATTGCATATTGTGTTCTCTGTCGAACAGTGCACTAGAACTCTTGAACGAAGCTTCCAGACAGGGTCATACAAAGGCAAGGGAACAAGTGGCTATGCTGACATTACTTGGAGGTTACACTGCAGATCCTTTTAAAAGCGCATATTCTGCGTTCGAAGAGCTGTCTAATGAAGGCAACCCTCGCGGTCAGTTTGGCCTGGGATTTTTGTATGCATCTGGATTACACGTAAATGCAAGTATTCCACATGCATTGATATATTTAACATTTTCGGCTCTTGGAGGAGATAATTTTGCTGATATGGCTTTGGTAAGTAATATACTTAAATTGAGTTCAGTTGCTGATAACTATCTAATCTCACAAATTTTCATTTATAAAAATGATGGGGGTTTCAATATATTCATGCGGATAACTTCAATATATCCACTTATAAAAGCTCAACCTCTAAGTTTTTAACACCCATCCTGGGGAAGCCACTACAACCCTATTAATTAAGCTTTTGGCATTTGGGAACTATTTAAATGTTTTTTGCGGTGCCTATAACGACAGGCTCTGTATCAGTCTTGGAAATTGTACTGTAAAACAAATAAAGAATTATTGGAGTATCTAAAGCTTCAGAATACCCAGAGTTATGACTGTAACAAACCACTGGCTTTCGCTGTCCTCAGTAGTTTGTGCTTGTGTTTGATTTTAAGACTTCGGAAGTAGGTCCAAGCTAATATCGTTGTAGGAAATCGGGATCATCGTTGTTTGACAGAATATTTACAGAATACGGGAAATTTTACTATTTTTCATTTTCTTATTTGGTTTAGGGCTATCGTTACTGGACTGGTGTTGGTGTTGAAGAAGATTGTGAAGCAGCACTAACACATTATCATCGTGTGGCTCAAGTCGTCTTTAAAGAAGTTTCTGAACGCTCTGAATCTGGTGGTCCAACTCTTCTTGGACCTATGGTTAGACGTGCTCGTCTTTTAGACGAAATAGATGCAATGGGTAGTTTAGATGGTGGTGATCTTACAATCAGTGAGGATCTGTTCCAATATTATCAGTTTATGGCTTACAAAAAGAATGTTAGTGCTATGGTTGGATTGGGTCAGTTGTATTATTATGGTAGACATGGTGTTGAAATGAATCATGAAAAAGCTTTTTATTACTTTAATCTGGCTGCTGAATCTGGAAGCGCCATAGCCATGGCTTATTTAGGCGAGGTATGTAAAATTGTTGAAATTAGTTTTTAAAACTATCTCAACATTGTTTTTCTAATTTGTCGTTGTTAACACTCGAGTCTTGTAGGTAGGTTCGAACTGTCTGAGATTTTCATAACCAATGGTTGAAAACGCTGAATGATATGGCTCAGGATGAGTTACAGCGGCACAGATGCACTAACTATTTATATTTTTTAAAATATTGAATCTTAAAAAATATCTTGTGATCTTTTGTTCCATTATTTCATTTTTATCGAGTGATATCTATGCGTGATTTTTTCTACTATCACCGATACTGTTCTACTTTTGATACCTTGACATTTGTCTTGATAACATCATTTGACTGTGCTAATGTAATGTGTCGGCTTGAATTAACAAACATATGTGTCAGGTTTTATGTTGCTTTTGGTTAACTAACTGAAACATCCTTAATTTCACTATTATTACTTCTAATGCACTTTTTCAACAAATTTGATATTTCAAGAGGTTACCATTTGACACATTATTTAAAAAGAAACTATACTACATCACTACGTTTGATATTAAATGATGTAGGTCCTCATAAATCTGTTCATTTGTAAGCAGCTACGTCATCACTAGTAAGTTAGTGATAATGTGAAAACCCACTAAAATCTCATTAAAATACTGAGAAATTTTGAAACTTAAACAATTTGAGTGTTGTTTAATAATTTTAGCTGTCACTAGTGTTTGACGGCGTTGAATCTCTTTGTAGACTTAAATACGATTATTTTTACTAACGTTATTACCATTTGGAGTAAAAAACTGTGACATGATTTAATAACACAATATGCACTGTACGATATGAAATCACACAACAAATGAATGTTACGAGAAATAATGATTTGCATAAAAACAGCTAAAATAGATACTAGTCGTCGCTAAAGTAAACCTTAATGTTTATGAAATACATTTAATAAAAAATGTTTTTATTCTGAGCTATGTATGCTAATGATTTGGTATATAGTCACGATGAATCAATATCACTATTCTTCATCCTATGAAACCATATGGAAAACTGACCACCTCTTCACTTTTACTTCATACTCTTAGTGTCGGTAATTAATACTCTCATAAAACTGACGTATACAAAAAGTTTATGTGTTACCAAAGCCTATATTTCAAAATAACGTTTCCTATCGAATGGCTATTTACATTGTGATTTGACCTTAGGATTGATTAAATAGATGTCATTGTACTCTTAATCTTCCAGAATAAACCGATGAATGTTAAGACACTGAGTAACTTAATGTTTATGCACCAGCCTTTGGGTAACTTTACTCACTATTAGCGTAGTTTTTTAAATACTCTTCCATTCCATTTATGTTTGACCCCATTAATGTATTTGTTGGTTTTAGAAGATATTTTTAGAGTTATTTTTACTTTTTCTTAAAGATGTACATGGTTGGTAGCACAGCTGTACCTGCCGATTCGACGAAAGCCTTGAAATATTTACGTAAATCAGCTGAAGAGAATAATCCCATAGGGCAAACAGGTTTGGCGTTGGCCTACTTATATGGTCGAGCCGGTTTACCGGTTAAACCAGTTATCGCAATGGAGTTATTTCTGAAAGCTGCAGATCAAGGTTGGCCTGAAGCTCAATTACATCTTGGTCGTTTATTCTTAGGTAATGGTAAGATTGCCAATCATCATATTCATTTCATAAATACTCGTTGTACCGGAGATTTTTACGTTTATTTTTTAAAAGATTAGTAATATTTTCGGATTTTTACCAGAATAATGTTTTAAGTGCTTCAGATGAGCGAATCACGAAATATTAGTATTCAGATTTGTTCTCCATCTGTAAGGTGGATGTTGTTAATTATTTTTTCAGTTATCGCTTGATTCTGAAAACTACTTACGGGGACATAATGCATCCGCCCATCTCTTGATTCCAATCAAACCTGTGTATAAGTTAAATACGACATTAAACTGAGGCTTTTAAAAATAATTTACATACACAGTATGTCAATTTTGGCATACAGTCAACTTCTGTGTACATCAATTTTAGTCGTCTAGGGAAATTTGACGGAAATCATGGTAGGTTATTTTCAAAAATTTATCTTACGATTGTTTGAGCTTCATTCCTTGATAAACTGGGTTGTAAGTGGGATCCAGACATTTGATTGGGATGTGTTGTAGGTTGTAGAGTTATCTTGTAATATTCGTTGTAATAAAGCTAACTGAAACCTTTTTTTATAAAGTGGTAAGCATCAACACCCGAAGTCTTCGGTAAAAACTTTTTAAAACAACTGGTTGCTACTATTATCATGGCTTATTATTTATTTATTTGAACACATAAATATTGGTACAAGAGGGCACCAAATATATGTGCGCCACACTTTTGTGTGTGGGCTGTGATACTGCCCGAGTGCCCAGACCAAAACAGGTGGTTTTCTTAGGAGACCACACCCCGAGCCTTTGACCTTAAGGTCTGACCCACAAGGCAGTAGAGCATCGTGAGGGGATGCAGTCCCATGGTAGTCGGTGACCAGTGATTGGTTCATACGCCATTTGTTCCCGCAGGATACTGGGGCCCATGTACACCACTGGTTTGGGATCCGGTTAAAGCTCCGGACATTCGCTTTTCGTCTTCTCATTTTTGTAAACAACACCCCCGCCACGAGAAGGCAATGAGTAGGACTTCCCTGGCAGAGGCTGTATACACGTGGCCATGTGAGAGTATTTCGAGAGGGAGGGTGTGCTCATCCCACTCTCGGCCATACCAGGGCATTTGGGGCATCATGGCTTATATAATGAATGATATATATATATATATATATATATATATATATATATATATATATATATATATATATATATATATATATATATATATAAACAGAACAACGAATTTTTCGTCATTTTTGTACGTTATTTGCTCTTTATTAAACTGTCTTTTAATTGATTTGACCTAATACATTACAAATTCCAGTAATCACCTATTTTATTGTTATTTTTGGTACAGTGTTTGAGTGCTAACGTAATGAAAAAGGTTGTTACTTTTTGAATATCTCTGTCATACGTTTTCACTTTGATATAAGTTAAGAATATTCACAGCAATATATATTAGAATCTCATCGCTCAAGTGATCGATAAATGGAGATCAGCCATTGTTCAGAATAACGTTCATCTGAAATCGTTTTTGTGTCTAAACGTTACGCAGTGAAAAATTAACTTCCTATCAAAGATTTTGCTACTAAGTAAATAAAATCAAACAATTTTCCTCATCATAACATATAGGTACTCATGGAATAAAAACTGATTACAAATCAGCTTTGAAGTATTTCACTATGGCGTCACAACAGGGTAATGTAATGGCTTTCTATCATCTAGCTGAGATGCATGCCAAAGGTACAGGAGTATTACGATCCTGTAGCACCGCAGCCGAAGTAAGTAAACATTTTATTCTTGCACATATAATCCTTGGTTGAATATTATTTCTTGAGTAGGTTAACAAATTAGCATACCACTATGGGTTCAGTTGTTTTTATTTCAATTTTGTTCTTTACCACTTACTGTAATATTCTTGACAAATTTAGTCTGTTGTACATTTGTAATAGCTTTTCTAATCTTTTCTAAACTAGATAAGATGGTAAAAATCATTAAATTATGTTATTCGCTTAGATAGTATTGAATACGAACTAAGTCTTCATTTTGGGTTGATGTAAGGTGTATTTAACGTCCTTAAGCGATCGTGACTTAAAACGTTTACATTCTTCATTGATAACTTTTGTATAGGTGACAAAGTCATCAGTTTCCCGTTTTGTTAGCTTCATACATTGATATCGCGTTTTAAAAAGTAAAGACGTCTCCGAAAATCTAAGACAATGTCTACCGTGTCTTCAAAATTGAAATCGTGTAACCGATACACGAGTATAAAGTTTAAGCACTTTTCGTAATCTGTGATACTAAATATACGTAACAGCAGTAGTGTTTTCCATTCGTTATGTTGATTAGCAAATTCAACTTGGAACAAATCTTCATAACATTTGAAGCAAGAGCCAAAAGGGATGTCAGGAATAGGACCAAAGAAACCTCCCCAATATATTTTAAAAGGTTTGTTCTGTTGATAACACAGTGCAGTGTGCAGCAGGTCGGTCCGATGTTGTAGGACATAGAGGCTAAGTCACAGGTTCTGTCAACTTCATCTATTGTTGAAACATTAAATTTCAATCTTAATCAACTGACATTAGTTATTGACTAACCAGTACCACTGCTATAACCTAATCAGAAGAGAAGCTGTTATGTTTTGGACTAGACATCACTTGAACAGGACCTTGTAGATGAACTTCGTTGACACCGTTATGACCTTTTTTGTTGCTCAGTTTAATAATGGACCCGAAGGTAGCCGCAATGACTCTTCAACTCTGTATCCCCAATGCTCTTGACCCAACCCCCAACTATTAAGATGGCAAAAGATAAGTCCAGTCTGCGATCGGAAAGAATGTATTTTGTGGAAAAATAGCTCTCTATATACAATATTTTTATTGACTATTATATTCATATAATCATAACTTAGGACGGTTTTTCTACTGAACAAATATCAAAGCTGAGTGAATGCATAGTAAAAATGATCGGAATACAATAACGAACAACATACTGAAATAGTTGATAACTTAATTTATCAAAATTCAATCAAATTTTATGGTGAACAATTGTCATATTGAATTAATCAATAATCTTACACTTGATCGTTTATTATCACTAGTTTTGTTGCTTTCTATAGTTTTAACCATTTAAATTATATGCAATCAAGACTTAAAGTGTTCACGAATGTTCAGGTAATTGCAGTAGTAAAGTCTTATTCAGTTGACTCCAACTATTCAGACTTTATAGATATCGAGCAACAGTATTTTTCATTTTTAGTCTCTACATCAGAAACTTTGTTTAATAATGATGACTATAAATTAATTACAATTTTAGTGATTACGTAGTAAAAGACACATGTTGAAATTCTAATATCTCATTTTCGAATTATCCTTATAAATAAGAATTATCCTATTCTTTCAACCCCATAATTAGTTTAGTTTCTGTAATCCTAAGTATGTCATATCTTACTACTTGTTAGTAGTTAACTGAATCCTTTATAGAAAATATGCTATTCAGAGCATGTGCATTCATCGTAATAAAATAGTGTTCTCTAACAAATTTTTTCCAACTTTTGCAGTGAGTTAACATTGAGATTGCAACGTCAGGTTTATATCTCTAATGCTGAATATATATATATAATTTTTTATATCCGTGACCAAATTAGGAAGGGTTTTTATGGACTTATAAACTTAGGAAATAATTTTCAGTGATTAATTTCGGACAAATATTAGTCCTGTTTTACGCCTGTTAAACATTTATATTCAGCTTTTTAAAAATGTAGCTGAACGTGGTCGTTGGTCGAAAATGTTCATGTCTGCTTATTCTGCTTTTCGCAATCGTCGTTATCATGAAGCATTTGTTACATACCAACTATTAGCAGAACTCGGTTACGAAGTGGCTCAAAGTAATGTAGCTTTCATCCTAGAAGAAGGCAAGTATTTTCTATATATGTATTTTATAACTGATGATTCAACTTTTTATTTTAGTTTCTATACGAACAACCTATGATTTCATTAGTCTAAAGCTGTTTAAAATGTTTTGGTAGGCTCAGCGGTTAATGTGTTTTACTTTCAACCACTAAGTCACAGGTTCGAAATCTCCTTCGTCTACTCTGGTTTAGGCGACTGAGTAATATCACTGGTCCTTGAACCTAAAGTGTGTCTGAAAGCGAGGTGTATAATTTCAATTGATTGATCACTGGGTGGTGATCAATGTCTTGCTTGTCTAGTCCTTATTAGTGCAGATCGAATGCTATCGATCATGTTGCAATGTGGCCACCAGTCTAGGTGACTCGACACTGCGGACACTATGTATTGAGATTTAGATGGTGGTTGGAGGTAGTCAACAGGAAACCCTGGACCCGGGTTTCGTGCTACTTGGCACTCGTCAGCAAGGTGTACCTGTAATCTTGAGGGAACTGGTGCTCCCTGGCGGATTCGATCTCGTGTCACCCAGCTTCACAGTCAGAGACGTTACCACTGAGTGTATAATTTCGTACCTGATAAATGAGTTGAGTAAATAAAATGCATTAAAGACCATACAAAAATGTTTCCAACAGTTCATAGAATTTGTTATTGCTCATAGAGATTTGTGTTCTTCTGTTGTTAATATTCAGAACAAAATCTGGCCATTCACTGGCACCGCGCGACGTCCGTGAATTTATATGTTTAAAGCTAGGGGTAATTTTTCCGAGTTTTGATGTGAACGTAGACACTGATATGCTTCTGTGACATCCGGTTGAAGAACCTCATGTAGTGCGTAACGAGTTTTATAAATTCTACTACTAGCCACTAATCAAGATATGATTGAAGAAAATACTTTTGATCTATTGTCAATAGCTTATATTCAATATTGAATAGAGATAATACATATCTTTCTGTGTAAAATTTTTTTGCATTAGTAGAAAAAGCTACGGGAATTCCAAATGATGAAATTCACAAACGTGCGTTTACACAATGGCAACGATCTGCGACACAAGGTAGATTCCTTACTTTTCTCAATATTTTATAGATTGGGTATATTGTAATTTAGCAGTGTTAATTATCATCAACACTGTGTATATATGTGTATACATCTCTTCATCAATTTGAAATAAACTGATTACTACTACATCAAGGCTGTATGGTATATATCCCCTATTCCACATCAATCGAAAATGTTCGTCTGTAGTGATTTAGGATGAATAGTCTAAAATCACCAATCATCTTGTGACATTTGAAAAAAGGATAGATTTAGGCAAGAAACAAATTTTCTTTTTTATTTTGACTGCTAGTCATAGTCCTAGGATATTATTGTTTGTACAAGTACTACTGCTACTGAATTATAGTTTCGCCCGATTAGTTTAACGATATCGTTCTCTCCATATCTGGAAATTTCGACGTCGGCGTCATATGTGGTCCCTAGTGCTCACTGCTAAGACGAGTCAGCTGTCCAATTTGTCCCAAATTTCTCACTGGTTCTCCAGATGATTCTTAGTGTGGGATGAAGTTAGCCCTTAAACTAAGAAACAATTTAAAAATTGGCCTATGTAGTGACACAAATAAGATAATGTTGTCGTGAGTACATGGGAACATCCTGCAGATATATGCAGACTTTATCTTATTTAATTTATCATACTTCAATAATTCCAGTTCTACCAATTACGGTCTCTTTTTTCAAATCAGCATAACTTTCACTTTTGTACTCATATTTTTTCTGGTGAACGGGTATTCGGTCAAAGTAATTCCAGACAAAGATTTAATTGATACTCCTACAATCGTTTACTGATATGATTTTATTCTTCCTCAGATAATGCATTCTTCAGTGCCCATGGGTTAGTTTTCTAATACTCATAGAGAACATCACTGACTGCTCAGAAAATATTTACTTTATCGGAACCTCATAGATTAAAGTTGTCTGTTCCCCTATGTAAAGCGATTATATCGACATTGAGAGTTATTACAACCAGATCTGGCGCTCCAAGATTAGTATGGTTGTGGTATAAAGTATGATAATTTTTGGTTTGATTGTAAAATGTATTTATGTAAGCGTGGTTGAAAACAGTGGTCATTTCATAATTAAAGCCAATTTTCGATGATTAACTGACTGAATATACTGTAAGGTTTAAATTTTTCGAAAATTTTTAGATTATAAACAAATCTATCGTATAGGAATTCATTTTAGAATTACAAAGATACTACTTTTGAACTCTCAGTAAAAGGTCATCAAAGCAACTGGTGATGTATATAGTTTTATTCATGCATACGGAAATATAATCCGCATAGTATTACTGTATTCGTTAAGCAGTGAACAAACTAACGATGACGTTATGTTATCATTAGTATAAATGTATAAAACCGATTAAATGAAAAAAAGTTAATTGAATGCACATAAATCACAGAAAGGAATTTATCAATGTTCAGAATATTTATCAAAGTCATCTTTGATATAAATGTATTTGACGACTAATTTCTAATATGCCTCGAACTCTAGTTGCAAAAAAACATTGTGAAATTGCATGTTTCTGTTTTCGGCTTTTACAGTCTTCTACTCTGTCTCAATTTATTAAAGCAAATGCCTTCTCCAGTATCAATCCATTTGAATTATTTTCAAGTTGAAGTCCGTCTTCAAACGCCATAATCTTACTGGGTTTTGGGAGACTTGAGTGAAATATATCTAAAATACTGTGGTCTGAAAGTTATTTTTTAACTCATGTATTTTTCATATTGTCTTTTTAATTATTACTCAGTGAATTAGGGTCAAATTTATTTACTTCGTATTATTCCAACAAGTATTAATAAATATTGCCTTTTTCATTTAACTGGTCGTTTTTTTCATAGGTTCCACAAGTTCTCGTGTGAAGTTAGGTGATTACTATTATTATGGACTTGGTACTGATGTTAGTTACCAAAAAGCTATTCAACATTATCGAATCGCTTCAGATTTACATCATAATGCACAAGCAATGTTTAATTTAGGTTATATGCATGAACAAGGATTAGGATTGAAGCGAGTAAGTTATCATTTTTTGTTTGTTGTTTTGATCTGGCTTCTAGTTTATTCTTACTGATGTTGTTACAAAGAAGTGAATCCGATTAGCTCAATTCAGTCCTTTTTAGTCTAGATGTGGTATTATATTACAAGATGTGTTCATGCAGTTAATATGACTGAATGTTTATTAAATACTAATTACATTTAACTAAGCTCATTTAACATCGAAAGTACACAGATAAACTCTGCTTAAGTTTTAGGACTGTTAATTTTCTCACAGGATTATAACTGGACAGTTTAGGCACCTAATTTTGTTCGTGAGATTAGTCGGTATATAACCTTCAAACGAACCTTTAAGTGATTATCAAGTTTCATTACTGATAGTCCACCTTTTCGATGTCGCACTTTCTAACCTTTGCCAAGGTCGGGTCAGTCAGTTATTACCATCATTAACCTTCACACAATTATATTAGTTTAGATTATAGTACATAAATGTATAGTTTTACTTAGAAAAGAAATATTTATTGATTCGCCAAAAAGTTTTGTCATTGTGTTTGATAAATTAAATCAAACCTAATAAAAATTGAATGTTGACTCTCCCTACATTTCAAAAATTGCAACCTAAATACTGCCGAAAATAAGTTTTATTACTTCGATTTTTATTGATTTTTACTTCTGCGGGTTACTCGTGCTCACGCATTTAGTCTATCGATTTACTTAACACATTTTTTGTTTATTAGTATTCATCACCAGTTGATGTCAACTGCAAATTAATAAAAACCAAGGAGCCCACTAGACAGCTTTGTTTTTTTATCTATGGGGTTTCTCAGGGATGGATACCAACAACTCGACGGGAAATATATCTCTGAGACCTCGAATTCTTGGGATGTCATAGAAACCGTCGATTCGCAACTCAACGATTCATGTTTTACAAATACAAATCGTTTCGAATAGAATGTAATCACAACCGAATGTCAAAAGCCACCATGCACTTACGGGCGTGCTTGACTCTACGCATTACAACTCCCTACTAAAACGTTAGAATTAGCAGGTTATGTTGCCGGATTTCCAGCCTACTGTTACTAATAATAATTAGTAATCTTAATAGTGTTCTTTTTTAATCTATTTCAGGATCTTTACTTAGCCAAAAGGTTTTATGACATGGCCGCTGAAGCATCGATCGACGCACGAGTAGCTGTATACCTAGCTCTTATACGTCTTTCATTTTATTTTGTTATGGAATTTTTCGGTGAATCAAGTTTCGTGAGTTACTTACATTGCTTTAAATTTTTAAAACGTACATTATTTTCATTCTCAAATAATTGATGCACGTTTTGAACGATAATTTTAGATCGCTTTTACTGTTATGCTTTCGTCAACTAAGCATTTACAAAAATCGTTAATTATTCATTAAAATTTGTCAACATCTGTTGAGTACACAGGTGGTATTCGTCACGGACAGACATCTATTAAGGATAATATTAAAATACTGAGTGCGCTTCACATTTGTTTCGTCCCATTTTCAAGGAAACAACATTTTCTACACATGGTCCGTCAGAGATCGAACCGTCCAACGTTATTCTAATGTTGCATATATTTTAGGGTAAACATGTTTTAATTGTGAAGTTCCAACCATAAAGTACTTTTTTAAAGAAAAATAAACATCTTGCTAAGTAGAAGAAACAAAATAAATTTGTTATTATTCCATATTCTTAATTCAATTTGTCTCAATTATTTTGCAAATATTTTCATACATACTGTGTAATTATATTTGAAATTAATAATTATGCCGAAATTCAGCATTATTAAACGTTGTATTTTTCCTGTTTATCTTCAAATGGCATAATATTTAAGTAATAAAGTTATTGGAAAAGTTATCAGAAATTAAATTACAAATATTCATCATTACATTTGCTAAGATATTTTTGTGTAACAAATAAGTTCGGAAGTAACAAATGTGATCATAATCATCTTGTTAATAATAGACTTATAATTTACTGATTACATCATATAATTTAACTTAATGTATTATAATTATCTTAACGTCTAGTTTAAACATTTACTCCAATCAATCTACTCATGTTAGAAATTTCAATCATACAATAATTGTTGAGAATCAAATCATTAATTCACATTTAAGAGAAAGGCCCTATTCATAAACTCTCAACTATATTATCTATTGATTCTGTTTATCTTAAGTGTTAAAAGAAAAAACAAATCATTGGAAATTTTTATCATACACATCATTGTTGTTTTTCTCCTTCTGTTTTAGTTTCAATATCTTGGAAGTATGTTTGGTAGTAGATCATTTACTGATGAACATGAGGTAGATAGTGTAACAGATTCGACAAAAACACCAACAATATCATCTCATCCTTCAGGACATTTAATATCAACTATGGATTGGGATTTTTATGCAATACCATTTTTAACAGGATTATTATTGTTGTTCTTTTTTTATATTAGACATAGAAGGGTTTAAAATTATTATTTATGTGTGTAATTTTTCTGTAATGTATTTATATATGTAATTTGGAGCAGTGAATGAAGTCGGTAAATTTTGGAATATTTATTTATTCTTCAGATTTTCCTGTTGTGTGATAAATTAATTATCTACTATCTTTTCTTTTCACTGCCCTTCGTTGTCCTTCTTTGTCCCTCCACTATCTTTATTTTAAATTTATTTTTAGTTCTACTTTTGCTTTTTGTTTTGTAGACATCAATGTCTATAGATTGTAAAGTTCATTCTTTCCTTACTGCTACTATTACCAACACATACTGTATTTGTGTGTGTGTGTGTGAATAAACACTGGGTCGAACCTTCACGTTGCTATTCTTTACAAATAAAGAGGAACATTGTGTCACGAGTGTTTGTCGTTATCTCTTTTTTATTTCATATAATATATATCTCATCAAACGTAAATGGTACACACATACACACGGGTGTGTTGTATTGGTTTCGTCAAAATGAAGTTGTCTTATTTTACAATTACTGCACTCAGGAAGATCTTTTATGTCTGTATAGTAATAAACATTATTTTTCTCTAGTATTTTTTTGAAACGACAAGCTTTCTTTTAGTGCTAAATTTCCTGGAATAATTGTGTAGGCAAAACAGAAACAAAGTCTGTCTAGTTTTTTTTAAAGTGTTAAATATTTGTCATATACACTAAAATTGTGTAAAGTGTTGATTGGAAATAGTCTATATGAAACCCTGGACTTAGGTTTCATGCTATTTGGCACTCGTCACTAAGGTGTACCTGTAATCTTGAGGAAATCGGCGCTCCATGGTAGATTCAATCCTGTGTCACTCAGCTTCACAGTCATATATATTACCACTTTGCTATTTGGGTCACGACGGACTTCCTGTTGGACTGACATGTATTTAAAATTGATTGAGATAGGTTATTAGTCAGTGATCAATCAACTGTAAGGACTAAAACTATATCGGGCAACTCTTCCATTGACTTTGATACCTTTGCTTCTCAGCAATCATACATTAACGTACCAATTTGTCATTGAAAAGGTAATAAAATGTCTGTATAAACAGTATTTCTAGGATTCGTCTATGAATTTCTCAAGTTCGACTATCAGTTTCATAACTTTAAAGTCAGTGTTTCAGTAAAGAGACCTACTTTGATGAGTGCAGCTAATTTTTCACTCAGTATTATTCATAGGAGTGTGAATCATTTATTATTATTTTACTATTGGCTTTATTCAATAGTATATTTTTGGCACAATATAGAATTCTCAGCACAAAGTATTTCAACAAGTTTCCTTTCCTTATTTCTTGATTGATCCTAGAGATAAATATTGAGTGGTCGCCAGTTAGATGTTAGTAGTTGAAGGTTCGACATCTGATACATATTGCCAACAACTATAATGTCTGTGATTGGGTTCTTTTGTAACTTATACAACGAAATGTCGTAAGCTTGTCACAAACGCACCTGAATAGGTTATGCGACTAATGGGCATAATGATGTGTTAAAACAAACAAGAAAACATAACTTGTCGAAATATCCAGATGGTAGGAACAGGTAGCCCAGATATTCAAACGAGCCGCCTAAAATTTATAATATGACCCCAAGCATATTTCACATTGTTTATAAGCAGGATTGCTAATATTTCGATTATATAATACTATTAGGCAATGATCTTTGGGCTATATATATATATATATATATATATATATATATATATATATATATATATATATATATATATATATATATATATATATATATATATATATATATATATATATATACAATATTCAAATTTTAATATGAACTAATTAAGTAAATCATGTATAATTCATATTTGTGATACAACTGTCAGTCAATTAGAAGTTTTGAATTATCTCATCGTTATGTCTGATTGAAATTTCATTATACATGGTTGACATATAGGAATTCAGTGTGGATTGCCTCGACATAACCATTATTATGCTGAATTGATCAGGTGCAGATACATCCAACTGATGATTCCCAAAGAGGACGAAACGTACATCCTGGATCCCACTGTTAGCCACGTTACATCTATTTTATATCTAATTGTTGATCAGTTTGTGGATTTTATGGATAAAGAATACTAAAGACTTCAGCTTTACGTTCTTCCTTGCATTAAGCAACACCAGTCTTGTTCCATTGTAACAGCAAGTAACTGGGTTTTTCCGCAGTAACCATATTTGTTTTCCTTAAAAAGCTACAACAATTTTTGTATTTTTTAATATTCTCCATGGGTTTTTACCCCTATTTTTTTCACTGTTGATGTCATAGATTATTTGGCTTTAAAGTAGTGTCTGAAACAGCTTTTTTGCACGTGGGAGATATTAACATTGTAGTATGCATAACAATACAAGGACAAAGTGTATTAAGGTTGATTTAATCTCAAAGTATACATCAATGGAATAATTAATTGATCGTACAAATTTGACCAAAACATTAATGAAATAAAATGCGTATGTCAATTTAACAGGGAACATTTTCACGAATGTAATAAATCTATCTAGATTATCATGTTACAACTGTATGCAGTTGTTTTCATTCCGCTGAATTTAAAAGAAATGAAATGAGAATCATGGTTAAGTAGTCAGTTAGTTTGTGAACGTCCATTGATTGCAGTGGTTTAGATATCTACTCAGGCACAGCTACATTAATGTGCTGTTCTGGATAACATAAAAGTTGAATAATAATAAAAATATCAGTGACCAAACCTAGACAGTGACAGCAATTTGATATCATTAATCGATAATCTGAACTTCCTAGAAAATCTAGAATTCCTTGTTGAGTCGACTAAATATTCAGTATCGATGTTTAGGTTCCTTTGTTGATATGACTCAAAATCAATGTAGATGAATCTTTTTTTATCTTGAGTTGAGTATTACTTCATACTTTCTAACCCGTAGTTTCATTTGTTCCCTTTAAAGTCAAGTGTGGCCATTTTTGCCAGGTTTTACGTTATTAAAGATTAATCGTCAATTGAAATATGGTTTCTTTCCAATTTAACAATCAAATCTCCATTGAAATATTAATTTTCCAATAGATATAAATGTAAAGTTTTGATTGTATCTTATACATAATAAACGAATAAATTCTTTATACGAATATTCGTCAAGATTAGAACGAATAGTTTGACAGTAATTGAGCGCCGAGTATAGAGAAGTCATTATATGTGAAAATTATATTTGAAATATTCTCAGCGATTGAAATTTAACTAATTCCAACGTTTCGTCCAGACAAGTTAGCTGGACGAAACGTTGGAATTAGTTAAATTTCAATCGCTGAGAATATTTCACATATAATGAATAAATTCTTTGTTTAGATCGACTTTTAACTGAATAATTATGTCTCTTGAACTAATGCCAAAAATAGTTGTATCAATAGAATCTGTTATAAGTAATCTTTTTTGAAAAGAATATCTTAATTATACAGTTAGTTTTTGTAGATATTTATGAAAGAATAAACTATCTCTTCCTATATTCATATTTTAAATACTGATATTATTCAATTTAATCTTAGTTACATATTTCGTAAGCAAAGATGGATAGTGGCTAGCAGTGGAATCTAGTTTGACACACGTTTCGTCCTATTTGGGACTCGTCAGCTGTATGTACCTGCATCTCAGAGAGCTGATGTTCACTCTGGGGCTCGAACCAAGTACCATTCGCTTCAAATGCCATCGCGTTATCCACTCAGCTACTGAGTCCTGATAACCACTTACTTGTGCAATAGGGTGAATTTAAATTCACTTGGTATTGTTTGGTTTGTATCTTCCCATTGAGGTTTAAGACTAATTGATCAGTCCGTTATTGACACTGCTAGCCACTATCCATCATTGTTTACAAAAAGCTTGTGAATTAAGACAATATCGAGGCATACGCACAGCATGCACATATGCCAATAACAGACTGATCAATTGCAGTCTTAAACCTTAATGGGAAGATACAAGCCAAACAATATCGAATGAATTAGTTATATATTTCTTTGAAAATTCAACGTTCAGTAGCCATACTTAAAATAAATAAATAAATAGAAAAGTTTATAGTTCATATTTTTGTTAATACTTCATCTGTTAAAGTGATCATGAGTGTTTTTAGAATGAAATAGTTTCTGCAGCAATGCTTAAAGTATATTATCAAAACTGGTTTATGATAAGCATGAGAATCCAGGACGCTTATTTCATCTTATTCGATACTCGTCACTTGGGATTACCTATATTTCAATGTTGTTGTTGTTGTTCACTTTGAGACTGGAATGCCATAACTATTGTTTCTAATGTCAGTGTTTTATCCACTGAAGTACTGAATTCAAATAGCTATCAGCTTCTGCAACTGGTGTGAATTTTGTTGGTAAAGGCTTTTATTTAAATACAACTGATAGCCAGTATTCAACTTTAATAATTTTTTTTGACTCAATGGGAATATTGAAACAATCCTCTTAGGGTGCACACATGCCATATTAAACTGATCTATTACTGACCTTACCATTAACAAAAAACCATTACAAAAAGAATTCTTATTGTAGTTTACAAATGAATCACTGGAAACTTATGGTCATCAATCTAACAAAAGGCGATTCGTAGGATTCTTTTAACTGTGTTAACACTTTCACAGGTGAATAGCTTTTTCTGATTAATCACGTGATTTCTACCAGAAACCACTTTGTTAAAGTATGGTGTTAATTTAATGCTCCTTGTTATTCACCTGTATATTTTGTAAAATTAGAAGAAAATTATACATGAAGATTGAATATTTTCCATGTGAACTTCTCCAAATATTTCTATAGTTCGTTCATACGATGCCTACCTACCTGCATGAAGATTGAACATTAGTACATTACTATATCTGTCTTAGTTAATGTTATAATATATCAATATGTAAATCAGTTAAATTCTCCCCATTTTGTTATCACCCTCTAATTTTACTGAATTATTTATCTGAATATATTGTTAAATATCGTTATGTATGTCTTGTGTGTTTCTGTGTGTTGATTAGCATTACTGCAAAACCTTAATTGTTTGTCTAGAGAAAAGATCACCTACAAAATCCTATTTCTGAGCTGTAAATCTTTCCCATCATTATTGGATAGTTAATTATGCCTATCTAGTTGTCAGAATTAAAAGTTTCTGTTTTCTTCATTAGTTGACCTAAAAAAAAGTTAACCGATTAAAGCTGTAATTCTTTTTTTCAGTTTATATTTATTTCTTTGATAAAATGGTTATCCACATTGATAAAACTATACGAAATTAGGAAAGAAATTATTTCTGTATATATTATATTATTTGATAATATATTTTTCAGGAAAGTTTCAAGTCGGGCAAAAACATTTAACAAAAATGGAAGGTGGCTAGCAGTGGAATCCAGAATGTGCGTTTCATCCTATTTGGCACTCGTCCGCTGGATGTACTTGCATCCCAGATTCGATACTCATCCCGGGACTCGAACCCAGTACCGTTCATTTCAAACGCCATTGTGTTATCCACTTATCTACTGAGCCCTGATAGCTAGTTACTTGTGCAATGGGGTGAAGTTTAAATTAATTTGGTATTGCTTGTTTGAATCTTCCCATTGCTGTTTAGGACTGCAGTTGATCAGCTAAATGTGTAACACGACGTCGTTTGAAGCGAACGGTACTGGGTTCGAGTCCCGTAGTGAGTATCAACTCGGATGTAAGTATATCCAGCTGACCAGTCCCACATAGGATGAAACGTGCTTCCGGGATTCCATTGTTAGACACCACCTATCTTTGCTTATACTGCTTGTGAATTTCGGCAATATCGAGGCAATCGCTACAGGATGCACATATGTCAATAACAGACGGATTAATTGCAATCTTTAACAACCATGGGAAGATACCAAGTGAATTGAAAAAAAAATAATTTATTGATAATTTTGTATCGTATACTACAACAAATCGGAAGTATTTTTTCCAAGTTACACACTTTCTTCCTTTAATTTGACAAATCCTATCTGATCAGGCTTTACCCTAATATACAGTAATATTTATATGCATATACGAAATTATTAAACCAATCAAGGTAGTTTATGAGTCAATGATAACAACGAAAAAAGATTACACAATAAGTGAAAAGTACAAATTGATGGTATGATGACAGGTGTACTAGTTTTGACAAGAATAATAAAGGCTTAAATCGATGTTACATAATTGGAAATAGGTCATTGATTAGAAAAACTATAGGCAATGAGATAACATTTATAAAATTAGAGTAAAGCCTGATGAGGATCTGATCGAAAACAACATTGTTCGCTTATATATGTTGTTCTAAATCCTACCTGAGCTTCGAATACCCATCATCATTTGAAATACATATATGTATGTATATTCTCTGCCTTTTAATTCAATGATCAATACGCGTTATGATTGTATATTGTAAATGTTATATATTAAATATAACCACTAACATATATGTATTTGTGGTGTGTATTAAAGTTAATGAATTAACAAATGTCACATCAACATGTACAATAAAAACGACACCTAACTATTATTAACGTATTATTTTAATTTATGTGTAACAGAAAAGAAAAATATAGAAATATATTGATTCCAATGAAGTAGTGATATGTAATGGAATGAAATCATTATTAGTAGAAATGAATGAAACCTTATGAATTCTCATTTATTATTATAGACATATATTGGTTAATTGTCACTAAAAGTGAATTAACTAAAGTTCTAAATGTATCATACTTTTATTGATATACTGTATTTATCTTGAGAAAACTTTCCATTTTTTATTTCATTTATATCCGATTCATTTTGAATAATTCTAGGGTTTTTGTTTATTGAGTATTATTACAATAAATATGTTTGGGGGTAGGGTAATTCGTTGATCACAAACTGATAGTGACTTGAAAATAAGTATCAGTATATGGTTGTAGTAATTAATGAGTTTTAATTGAGATCATGAATGGATCAATTTTAGACCACCATTATAAACCTGAAAGCACTGAGTGACTGTTTCGTCCTAGTATAGGACTCCTATGCAGTGCGCATCCACTATTCCGCACACGGGACTCGAACCCATGACCTTCAGTCTCGTGTGCGAATGCTTAACCTCTAGACCACTGAACCGGCATACAACGAAATGGCCGTCCAGTGCTTCCAAGTTTTTTATGCTGGTTTAACATTGATCCATTCATGAAAATAAGTAATAATATACTAGCAATCTAGAGAATAATAATGAACATTCAGCCAATTGGCTTCTAGATGAATTCTTAAAATTGAACTTTAGTGTTTATTATGTCGTCAATGAATCAACTACATATGATGATGTTAGATAATGATCACAGTGTATTTTGCAAACTTATCAAGTTAAAAATGTAAACCATCATATATTCATATACAGAATTGTAAAGCTACTATGCTTACTATGAGTTATAAATGCTTTAGATTAAGCCTTTTTTGAGCCTAAAGATAAGCATACTAAATTTGTCTATAACTTACAGGAAACAGCTTTTTATTTTCAGAAAGTTATTCAACTGGTGTACATTTGCGATAAAATCTGTATTGACTACCTTACAACTAGAATAGTTTCATAAAATAAGATATTCAGTGATTCTCATATGTTCATTGTAAATAAATTTCTTTCCTGGAACTTTCTAATATATTTCTTTGACTTGAGAAAATTTGCTTAACATAATGCATAGGAATGTTATTTTGAAAGAAAATTTAAAAAATATATATACACAAAACAGTAATCGCTGCTATGACGCTATTCATCTTTGTTTAGAGTAATCATAGTATCGTATCATTTATTTAAAATGTTGTTTTTGTTAACTATTACTTGTCTGATTCGGTTTTTTCACTCATTTAAACAATTAGCATTACAAATAAATTAAAATAATTGTAATATCCAAATGAGTAGAAAAATTAAATTTCTTAACGTTTCGTGACTCAATGTAAGACGCTTCTTCAGAGAATAACAAATGGCTTACACTGAATCATGAAACGTCAGAAAATCTAATTTCTCTACTCAATAAATTATTACAACGAATATATAATTTATTATTCATAACAACCTACCCAATGCTCAATTTATTCAAAATTATCAACTTAAACCCTAGTAATGTTACTTACAAATTAACATTAAAAGTACACTCAAAAGTATAATTCCTGAATCAATTCCAAACATTTTTTTCCTGATTACCCTTTGCTTCACTACTATACTTTCATTTCTATTCAAATTATGATTAAAGTAAAATAAAAAGGAACTATCTATTCATTAATTTATTATTTCATTAATAATTTCATTTATTTTCTGTATTTTTTTTTCCAAAGTATCCTTTATAACAAACAGTTACTAGGAGGGATATTTTATTGAATAATAAAATTAATGTTAATTTAACAAGATGTTTTTTCTTCTTTTTTTTTTTAAAAAAAAATTCTGTTTTCCATTTTTCACTTAAATGAACATTAATTAAATCAAATTACCCAAATGCTGTTAATGGATTAGCACCAGACATCATATGTCTTAAATTAGAAATTGAACGCATATCACCATTAAATGAAAATGATGGTGAATTTCTAAATGATGTTGCTAAGGGAGCTGGACCACGTTTATATGTAATACTATTAGGATATTTGATTAATTCATGTTGATATGGATTGAATGATTGTTCATTTAAATATCTTTGATAATTATTATTATTATTACTGATAAGAGTTGAATCATCAACATCATTATCATCATTATTAATAACATCATAGAAATCACTTGGTTTTTGATTATGTTGTATAGTCATAGAAAATGTTTTGTTAGGTATTATAATTACAGTTATAATTATAATCATTATTGAACAGATCCGTTGAAAATGAAAATAACGATTATAATTTGGTAGACCTTTTTGTCTCATAGTTATTATTTTATTAAAATTAATTAAGATTTAGTCTTTTGAAAATGGTGTTTCTACGAGATTGTATTTTGCTGTACTATCCTTTTGTAAATATATTAAGAAAGTGTTATTTATCAGCAAACATAAATTGTTTTTTTTTATTCTAAATAAGTAAAGGTAACAATAATTATCACAACAGTAATATACTTAATGTTGTTGTTATATATATATATATATATATATATATATATATATATATATATATATATATATATATATATATATATGTTTATGAAAGGGGGTGGTACATTATTGAAATTGACATCCTCTTTACTTTGACTGATAATAAAATGATTAACGAATAGAAACTATTATGACCGCATAATATTTTCCAATATGTTTAAGTGTTCACATCAATAAGCTAACATATTTGAGTAAAATTTTAAAAGTATATTAATATTGAAATCATCCAATCATTATTTAGGATATTTTTATATGCTTATTTCCTTTATATTAATTATTACTGTTTCATTTTAAAAGTCCAAATTTTATTTAATTCCATTATTTTTTAATTGGTTGATAATAACAGTAATCAATGAGAAAAAAGTCTTTCCGAATTGAATACTGTATAAATATATTTTGGAACCAACAGTGAATATGATACTTTTGATCAGTAGATAGTTTAGGAGAGGGTAGGTTATAAATTATAAGTCAGTAAAACATTTGGTCAGTCAGTAACAACGTAGAACATCGTAAGTACGTACATCAGTTTGAGTTGCCATACCACATTAGCACACAAATGCAATTGTCGATTCAAATCCCGTAGTGGTAGAGGTAGTAAGAGTATAAGTAGTAATCGGAAAGATTAGGGTTTGACGATGTTATTTAAAGGGTATAATCCAGTGAAATAAATTTGGAAAGGAAAAAAAAGGGGACAGGAAGAATTCAGAAGATTAAAATTTGGGAGAACACAAAGAGTGGATGCACCTGCGCCATCGCAAACGATTTTGAGCCATATTATTCAAGGTCTCTAACTATCGGTTAGAATCATCTCGCGAATCTCAACCAGGTAGTCTACACCTACCAACATGGCTCAGACCACTTGTCAGTGACTTCATGAACTTGTGCCATGTTTTGTTCTGGCCGCCCCCAGCTTTCTTCCAACCTACTCCTATACAACAAAACATCGCACGTCGAGGCAGTCGGTCGTTGGGCATACGTAACACATGTCCCAGCCATCTCAACTGATGAAGTTTCACTACTTCATCAATTGATTTGCCATCCTTACCTAGTACCCGTTTCCTAACAACTGCATTACTTACTCGATGGTCCCAGCATATACGAGCAATATTTCGAAGACACCTATGATCAAATACTAGTAACCTACGGATGTTTTCTACTCTTACCGGCCATGTTTCACTGCCATAAAGTAGGACAGAACGAACTGCTGCGCAGTAAACACGTCCTTTGGTTGATAGACGGATATCTCGCCTACGCCATAAATGACGCAAGTTAGCAAAAGCTAGTCGATCCTTCTGTATCCGTGCTGGGATTTCGTCACACACCAGACCACAAGGGCTGATGTGACTTCCAAGATAAGTGAAGCAATCGACACGCTCAATTACTTCACTCCATATCATTAGTTCGGGTGTCGATGTCACCCAATCCTGAAGTAATATTTTGCATTTCGAGGGAGAGAATCGCATGCCGGACATGCTTGCATTGTTGATTATAGTGGCCAGAAGAATGTATTTTGTCGGCGTCTTCATCGATGGTGGGGCTTGATGGAAAACTGTTGCTCATTCTGGAGCACATGCTTAAATTCACATCATGCTCTAGTGCGAGTGCTTAGCTTTTTACTTCTTACTGGACGTAGAAAAGATGCTACAAGGAAACCTCTTAGGGTGCTACTTAATAATAGTCAAGCTAATAATATATTTCAGAAACAACTGGAAAAACAGTAAGGCAGCCATTTAAGTGGTGCCTACCCCGAGGCAGCGTGGAATGAGATCCGAAAAGCTGTGGAAACAGCGGTGATTATGACTAAACTTCTCTATGGCCTGAATATATCTTCCAAACCTAAAATAAATTTTTGGGTATTTTTAGACGTGTTTGTACGTGACCACGAATATTCTCAAAACGCACACTGGTTTCTTGAATAGTATTAACCCTTTCGCGTACTTGTAAATCTGTACTCTTTAGGGCTTATCACCTTTTTCATCAATTAGGACTTTCAGAACTTAGCTGAAACATTTGAGTCACTTACCTAATTGAAACACATCATTAATTCAAGTAACATGTACTGTATAAAAGGATGCTAATAGCCAGATTTCGCATAATCAATAATCTGTAACTAATTAAATTGGTCATTTTTGAGTGATGATTTTTTTCATTGATTTTCTGGTTAACAGGATTTCACTGACTTTTAATGTATATATTGTTTACCACAGTAAAAATGTCAATAATCAATCGCAATTCAAAGGCTATAAACAGTTATTTTATTAAATTTAAAAGGCTAACATAATATTGCTTGTTATATATCAGAACATATTCCTAGTGATCATGTTCATCGTCGATAGACACAACATTTAAACACTATTTTAATCATATTCTCTGAATTAAAATCTATTCATAATGTGATTCTGTAATTTAACGATAGGTATAGCTTTAACTGAAATCAAAGAATAACGTAAAATCTTGCTAAACGTAAATGCTGTGTCTTTCCAGCAGTCATTTATACAACATAGAACAATAGCTTTCGTTTCTTAATTAATTACTAAAAAAGTGGAATATTCATCCTTTTCAATGTGTCGTTTTCACCCTTCAAAGGGAAAGTCGTTAGTTATACCAAAATAGACTATTCAGTAAAACTATATGGATTAAAGCATTTAACTATTTATTCCAAATATCCAGTATTCAAATATCTTGTGTCATAAAATTCATGTATGGCCAACAACTCAATGAAAAATTATCTCATACTTATCAATAATCGGTTTAGGAATGAATTCCCTGAGTTTCCGATAGTAAGCCATAACTTATGTTATTAACTAAGTCTAAGTTAAGTAAGACAGTTATTAGTAGTGTAGTGAACGAGACGATAAGCAGAGACAATCGAAAGTGATTTAACACAAAATTACAGAATCGCTTAGTTAAATCTGAGAACCATACAGTAAATATTTCATTTGCGAAATGTTAATCATTCGTTTCAGACTTAATTGTTTTTCCGTTTCCGCACCAATAATTCTTTGTTCTCATTCTTTCTTCGATCTTCTTAACCTTCTACCTACTTTCGATTGATGATACATACTACTTCTATCTGTCGACTTTAGTAGCACACACCACAGTGGTACCCTATTGGACAACGGTCAAGTATGAATGAAACTGAAAGTATGAACAACTGGACTTAGACTCATTGGTTGAAAAATTTCGTTTCCTGTGAGGATTAAAGATCTTATTTATTTGTGTTTAGTATCATGTAAGTATGCAAAAGAGCATACTATTAAAAGGTCTCAAACTAACAAGAGAACATTGTTCAATACATCCTACGTTTTTATATTCTTGCAGTTGATGTCAGTTTGTGACTAAAATCATTCTCGGATCAAATATATTTCATATAGTTCAATAAAATTATCTATTAGGTTACTATATATACATTAATGCTTAGGAAAAATAGTGTTTCCGTTCATACGTTTTGCCTTAAGTTTCAATGTGTATGTTCAAAACCTTTAGTTATACACAAAATACATTTCTGAATAGTCTGATTAGTGATATTTATTACATTTTGATGCAGTCTTTGTGGTTAAAACCAAATTTAATCGAACACGGACTTCAATCAATTTTATCACTGAAACTAAGAGTAATGTACATTGAAACTGCTAGAAACCTCTCAACTTATCAATAATTTGTAGTTCTGACGAATATGCAAATCAAAGAAAACCTACATTTCATAATAAAAATACAATTTTTGCTACTCTCTGCTTATGTGCTTCCTCTTTTAAGTTCCTATTTCTCTGTATGTTCTCAATGACATCGTTGTTAGTATAACAGTAGATTTTTTCGTAGGATATTTTCACCTTCTGGAGGTGAAAAATTTTTTGTTAAAGAATGCTAGAGAAACAACGGTTGATGTTGCATTATTACACAACAAAATCATCAAGTAAACACCAGTAAACTGGGGATTCGGTTATCGTTACTGATCGGTTGAGTAAGCTACATCAAAAATATGGTCAGATAAAGATGACAACATTTAGTTTAGTTATCAATCTTTTATTTTCGATTCTTAAATTATACTTCAAGGAGACTGAACAAATCTTCATTAATTTAATGTAACTGTTATCTGAATATTAGTTTCTATTTAAAATAGAAATAATGAAACATTTCACAAAAATTTTATGTCTTGAAAATAAATACCTTATTAATCATTCATTGAATGCTTTCCAGCTTTTGCACATTTATTTCTTCTGGGTACATCAATATTAGGATTTAGATACATTCAGCTAATAAGTCTCAAATAGGACGAATTGTACGTCCTAAATTTCACTGCTAGACACGATCCATCTTTTCGCTTATTTTGTTTATCCTTACATATTTAAACATCAGAATGAAACTAGTTATTTCTCAAGTGCAACACGTCAAACCAAGCTATTATGCACCATCTCATATGTTGGTTCTTAAATATTACTTCCTAATGACTAATTAGTATAATAAATAACCTAAGTACATACAATGGTAACCATAGTGTAATTTCCTTCTTGTTTAGTATACATAAACTATGTTACCAAGAATGACTATTTATTACTCAATCCATCTAGCTCAGACAACAAAACTCCACCAAAATCATCCACCTGAGCTACAAATCTTCTCCACCATCACATTACTCAATCCTTTCAAAGATCCACACATTGTATAAAGTCTAATTACATTCAATACCATTAACTAACTTAATTCAGTTTATTTAAAACTCGACTCAACTGAATTAGTTCCTTGGAGTTGTATACACTTTTGTTTTTTTTTTCTTTAAT